AGCCGAAATATAAATCTGAAAAAGGGTGGGGTATATAACTATCAATAAATGGGTAGAATAGGTCAATATCTTGAGGAAAATTTGCACTCCGACGAAACTGTCCTCGCCCGTCCACGCCACTGACCACCGTTCAATATGACTAATCCTTCTTGAACCAGGAAGTACAATATCTTTAACGTATTTTTAAGACATCAAGAAGACCGCTCGGACCAATTTATCAATTGAATTTCTAAAGGAAATTCACATTTCAATCTTTCGATCTATATGAGGATGTGTTTAAGTGCATGTTTGATGTTGTAATCTATTTTTTGTAGACTTTTAGGTGTAGATATTGATGACGAACTGCATATTATATTACAGCAACATAACGTCTTTAACAAAAAGACCAATGATTATTTTGCTTTGTTCATCGTGTCAAAATATGTACTTAAAAATGTATAAGCTAGTTGAACAAACACTGGTATAAATTCTCTTAAGCTTTGATAAATGTTGACCAAACACTCGATTGTCTACTTTGGGTACATAAAGGAGTCATCATAGATTTAATTAAGTAAATAAAATACATTAAGCAGTTTAGAAATGAACCTTTCTTAAGGTCGGTGATAGAATTATCGATAGGATAGTTTTCATGTTTGATTGGTAACCAGTTTTCTAATTCTGTATATTTCTGCCCGGATAAAATATACTATACTATGAGACGTGGGATATTTCTTTTATGTATTTTTCCTCAAGACCCTGGAATTTTAGAGTTCTCAGCTTTTTGAAGCTGTGAACAGTACCCCATAGTTTTGTTCATTAGGTCATATAATTAAGTGACGAAACATTGTAGCCTCTGTTACCCAGTCTAACAATATACATTATATTGTCTGATAATTTTTAACAAAATTGTTGAATCTGTTTCACAGAGGTATTGTTATAGTCTTCTTATACATCTGTATTAGATGACTGACCTTATAAGTTCAAGTATGTCTTTTACAGGTGACGTCACATCACTAGGTTTCCATCATTGGCTCTATGGCTAGTGCATTGTTTACATAAGACGTTGTAGCGTTAACTGGTCCGGACAGAATGGTGTTTTTAAGTCATTTTATGCACAAGGTCGCCGGCAAACGTGAACAAAACACAAGAAAATGTCCAAAAAAATTACAAACTTGAAAAAAGTCGCATTCTCATAGCTTTCCAGTTCAGATCGCAGAACCTTGACGTTTGTTTCTACCACGCTTATGGTGATCTTGACGCGCTCTAAAGCCAATTTTCCTCGCCGTAGCAGCGCATTAAGGACGCCATCCCGGTCTGACGGGGGTATAATGGTCTGGGTGACAGAATATATTTGTATTTGTCACGAAACTATTTCGGAACCGCATCACTGTGAAATAGTTTGCTTTTGGGTGTCTTTGGGAAAGCGTGCAAATTACGAAATTCTAATCAGGAAAACAAATTCGTCCTCAATTCAATGAAACGAGGACGGTGATGTTTTGGCAATATTATTAAGGGCATACAAATCTTCTGAAGTTTAACGTCCACTCGAAACTAATCAGGTCATCTCGAGACTATCATTTCGCATATTTGTAATTCAATAGTTCTATTACTCGCAAATGGAATGAAAACAGTGTATCCACAGAAAACACACGAAGTTAGGCAAGTGACTTAATTCTTCCAGAGATAACAGGTCTTATCATCTACATCGTATGAATTAGACCCCTCAACCCCATTTTTGATACACTGATTACATACATGTATTTTATTGTGCCATAAAGATCGTTCTTGCCTTGATTTTTATGTATTCATGCCGAATCCTTAGGAAACATGTCTATATATTTTTGTTAATTCACCAACCTCTCCCTTTAAGCTCAAAGCAGAGACCGTGTTAAAACGGAATAGATTATGATTAATTATTAATACGAAGCTACCGGTATTCATTTTAGTTCACCCTCTTGTATGTTTTTATAGTTGATTATATAAGTACGTATATCAATATTCAAAATGAGATATATTTGATAAAACAATAATAAGTGAATATCTATTTTCCACAAAGAAAAGTGTACACCGTTCTCCTAGCGGCATAATTCAATAAACTAAATGTTTAGACGAATTCTATTACTTCTTGTCCTCAATTGATTTGGTATTGAACTGTATCGTTCAAAAAATCGCTAAAGATTTTGAAGATACATCTCAACAACAAACAAACTTGTTGCCTAGCAACTAAAGAATCTCGTATAATTATACAATGTTCACAATACCAGGGAGGAGATTTTCCGCTTGCTCCACTTCGAATTCTACGTGTCAGGAGCAAGATGGGTGGGCTATATTGTCGGTTTATTTTGTCCAATCTTCTGATCAAAGGAAACTTTTACTTTAACAGCACTTTCGTTGTATCGGAACGGATCCGACTCAAAAATCACCGAAGCATCCACGTTAATTATTTACAATTAAAGTCACGTAAAGATACATTATGGGAGATTAGATAAAGAGCCGACAGTTCTCACTATCATAGTTTAAAACTAGATAATGTAAAGGGAATTTGTGAAAATTTCATTCAAATTGATCAACTATGAACCGAGAATTAAGCGATTGAAATTTCGGCCTAGCCTCGATCATCCTTACTAAAGTCAGTACGATAAAAAAAAACATATCCTCGATTATCCATTTCATGATTAAATCATGAATGAAAGTTGAGCAGCAAATGGGATCATAATCCAGTAAATATCACAGGCTATCGATGACATCGAAAGTTGATTATAGTCTGGATAAGTTAATTAATGTCTAATTAATAATTTAGATAACATTTCAGGCCTAAAGAAATACCTGGAATAGGCAGATTTAGCTTTTGCATAGAATGTATGTTTAAAGAAAAGTTTCAAAACTGCTCATTTCAATGAAATAATGAGAAATAAATAAGCTAAAAATAAGTAGTAATCCAATAGTGATACTTTTAGATTTGAAATAGATTTGTTAGGCTTACTTATGAAATGAAATATCACCAAAAACGTTTCAATATTCATACAGTCTTGATAATTTCAAGAATTTTTTTATTTTTATTTAAAATCTTATTAAACATTTCATTTGATTTTTGAGGGATAGCAAAAAGCACAGGCACTAGTATTTATAATCTTGGTTGATCAGCTTTCCACAACATAATTGAAATGAAATGGGGTTTAACGTTCTACTTTCATTACATAATAAAAAAGGGGAACCGCGATGGCCCAGTGGATATTTCACTGGCTCGCTGATCAGGAGGTCCCACGTTCGATCCTGGTGTTGAGCGAGAAAGGTCTGCATGATTTTCCAGCGATGCATCTACCTGTCAGTGATGCAGGTTGGGGGTCTGACGAGGAACAGTTTCTAGTTGTTTGGATGGTATAAAAACCGAAGTACCTTGTACACGTTGGCGTGCACGTAAAAGAACCCTCGACAGTTGGAATTCGATGAAGAGCAGATTGCCCCCCCCCCCTTTAAAGCACGGCTCAATATCCCGGCTGGTGCAGAAGAGTAGGAGTTAAACCCCATTTCATTTACATTCACAGTTCATAGGATCCCCGGGTCCAAATTGGGAATAGGTAGATATAGAGACAGTTTTACTGACAAGACTAGAGTTGTCTTCCCTGCCATTGGGACTCTCTTGTGGTCCTATTGGTTTCATATCAACTCAAAATTGATGATTTATAGCCCTTTGGGATCCTGGAAAACCATACTCTTATTAATTATTACAATTTACATGTATATCCAAAAAGCACACGATAAAAGGTCTAAAGCAAATTCCAGAAATATGACCATGATCAGTGTCTTTACCATTATTATATTGATATTCTCATCAAAATGGGAAATGGAAAATCTCTTTCCAAAATAATATTAATCCGAGGTGAAATATTATACCTAACGTCTATTACGTTCATATTTGCAGAAGGGAGATAATCAAATTCAGAAGCAGAAAACTCAATCTGATTAAAATACAGATCTATATTTCGTTTCGGTTTTTTTATACTTCCGATGGCCTATACTATGAAGATCTGAACTGTAGTGGAAGGTCGCGTTAAAGGGTCGTGCGAACGGCTTTTGATCCTATGACGTCAGACATTGATTAATCAATCAGCGTTGACGTTTCTAGTAGTTTACCCACAGTTCTGGGCATCGCACGCCAAGAAGTCGCCGTGACAGATGGTTTCATTTGCTAATCCCTCACGCCATCTAGAACGTAGGTTATTTAACAACTCTTCCAGATCCTAGTGTAGTGCAGACAAATAAAACGAAATTTTGAACTATAAAAAAAAGAAACGAAATAGGACCTGTGTTTTAATCAGATTGAAGAAAACGCGTCTGAAAGTTCTTCTCGCTCAAAGTAAAACGAGAAACACGTATTTCTCATTTAGTTTTCTCCAACATCGACGTCATCCGTTCAAAAAAATATCTATTCATGTTCTCTAGGAGAATAGTTGTTATAAGTCCATTTGCACCATAAAAATACAACGTTGTGATATAAAGTTCCATGCTTGTAGCCGAAAATTGGTGGTGTGGGAATCTTTTGTTTCAATAGTACAGTTGAGGTGCATGGATGCCCTTCAGTGTGGCGCCATAACATCTATCTGAAACTGTTTTAGGTGATTCCGATAGATGGTGGCGGTGGGGGTATATCTTAAAGTCTAATTAGCAATCATAGAGCAAAATTTAACTGTGCACCACGGAAATTTCAAGGTTAGGGATAGAAAGGCTTTTACACGTCACACATCCCTTGATCGAATGCACATTCAGCCATGCATCAAACTTGTTCGACATTCTTCGGTATGTGGGCCAAATTCTTCAAGACACAATTCCGTTACGTGCAACAATTCATAATATATAATATTAAAATTAGAACAACAGTAGCTCACGCATAGGTCAATTTTGAGAGATTTGGAATATATCAATTTATGATAACACCCAAAAGGTGAATACACTCAGGCACAATTAAAACTATTGTCCAGAGAATAAAGATTGATCTACAAACAAAACGACTAACAGAGCAGTACGAAAGAAGCATCGATTTATTACTTACGATTACATATTAGTTTCCCGCCGATTGTTTTGCCATTGCAGAAGAAATAGATAACTGACAAGTGTCAATCACTTACTGAAATAAACATCGAACGAAATCTCACATTGATTTTCGTATTTCTAAAGGCCAGGATAAAAATAATATTGGATAAAGCTTCTAAAAACACTTGATTGAAACCTACGTCTTTTGGACTGGCGGAACAAAAGGAAATTGCCAATAAAACAATTAATACATTGGTCAATGACGAAGATAGTTGATAACCTAATGCCCGGAAATAACGTACAGTTTTGATCAAGTTTAAACATGTAAAAGTAAAGATAAGAATACAAACCGCCAAATTATCTAAGAGTTAAATATCCGCATTTGCTCCAGTTTTGAGAACTTGCTTTAAAAAGACACAAAAAGTAGATCATTTGATTCACAACTATTTGAAGAGTCCGCTTGATAGATAAGCTCGACTGGTACTCTTTCTAGAGTGAACTTATATTAGAGTTTTTGTCAATACTCTTAGAACTGGAAACCAATCCACAAGAGCGGTTATATGTTTGTAAATGTTCAGTTTGTATTGTCTCAGTATTACGTCGCTTACTTAAAATTTCAGTTAAATTCTCGATGCGCAGAATATGCATATCTATAACATGTATTCATTGTCGGTCACTTTTTTGCAATACTTAGGACGCTTTTCTCTACCCGTCCAGTACTTATTGTCCTATAAATCACCTTGAACAGGGGGAACAGAACAGTTGGGTAATTTCCTGGACATATGATCAATGCAATAACCAATAAACTAAAATGAGTTTATTAATATAAAATTAGAGTTAAAATAAGTGTTAGTAATATCAAAAAGTTATATCACAAATGCATACATATGAGTTACAAATTAAGACATGGATTAAATATGGCGGGTATCTGCTTCTGCTGGCCGTTCATGCTATAAGCTCCACATTCCTGAAAAAATTGGAAGGGTTTCGACTTATTTTAATTTTGAAATTTGAATACAGAAGAAAGTATTCCGATTGATTATTGATAAAATACAATAATGAATACAATTTAAGCTATTATAACGTGTTTATATATAATGTATATAAAATAAGTGTTTATGAAATAAAAACGAATGTTCTGGTGTATTTCTTTGGTTATATATTTCATCACAGCCAATTGCAAAAAAAAAATTAGTATTAATGTTTAAAAACTACTGACACTATTTTCTAGCTATTCAAAAAAAAGATCTTTATTACTGTATTAAACTCTTATTACGCCAGCTTATCTGTAATCTAAAGAAAACTTGAGTGATTTGTGCTATTGCAAATGCGTACTTGTTAGTTAATGGCTATCGCTAATGGCTACTGGTTTCACAGTTAATGAAAGCATATTGCAGGTTTTTAACACAAGTGTATATCTATTATCATAGTGTTTATAGTGGATACTGTCATGCAAACATTTGCTACCTTTCTCGTTGCTGGTAACAAAATAAGCAAGTTAGAAAGCATATACTCTTTGATGATTTCCACCGTCCAATATATTATCTTTAATTATTTGGCACATTAAGTTATATCGTTTATGTCTTGTTAAGCGTCCGCCACATTGTCTGTATGTCGGATATTTAACCACAGATATCCAGTGACTGTGTCTCGATCTTCTACGGTCTTTCTGATGTCATAACGTCTGATAATATGGCCACTGGTGTAATCACTCTTCTTGGACATTGGAATCGTCATGGCACCAATATAACTATCCTTGAGCATGTTATCATCCCACAACTGAAACAACATATTCTATATTATACGATATTACGAACCCACCCACCAGTGAAGATGTACAACGCACAGGAACACAATACTTGAAAACCAGCAGGAAATAGAATCAAAGGACAAATCTGTTGATTGGGCTAATCTATATGCAGTATATTACTAAATTTTCTTTGAAAAGGTGTCTATTGTCTACTTCTTGTTGTTTAAGTGAAAATAAGAAATTTGCCCCTTTAAGACTTCCCCCAGAAATAAATCAAAGAGAAATACTACAGAACGCTTATTTTTGTTATGTCAGCACATACCTTATTTGACTGAAACGTACCTCTATTTCAATATCTTCTTCTGGTTGTTTTCTATAAAACGTTACACGTTCTTTCCACTGTGGATTATTAGTCTTACTACTAACAGTTGTCTTTACCTCTTTACCTTCACATTTCACTATACAATACGCTTCAATACCTGTAATATAACATTTCACTATATAATACGCTTCAATACCTAAATATAACACACATTTCACTATACAACACGTTTCAATACCTTAATATAACACACACGTCACCACATAATGCGCTTCAATACCTATAATATAATACATATTACATCAATACCTGTAATATAACACACATTTTACTACAAAATACGTTTCACCTGTTATATAACATACATTTCACTATGCAATACGCTTCAATACATGTAATAGAACACACATTTCACTATACAGTAAGCTTTAACATCTGTAATAGAACACACATTTCACTTAACAGTAAGCTTTAACATCTGTAATAGAATATACTTTCACATTTACTAAACAATAAGCTCCAATGCCCGTGAATCTTAATATTATGCGCTGAAAAATTGGAATTGTTCCTACATTTGGAAAATGAGATAATGTCTTTGCCCTGGGTAAATATACAACTGTTGGTAACAGGAGAAGCTATAAATACTCTGGTTTTCAGATACATGTATAATTAACACATTGAAAGTTTAATGATTAGAAAGATATGCTTTATACAGCATACTGACGGTTTCAGGTTTTCAAAATGAGTGAACACTTTACCTATGGACATACTGTATTATAGGCTTGGCGCCCCCCCCCCCCCAGTCCGCCCCGAATTGCATTGAACAGTAAAGTTTATAGCATTCGCGGCTGTGAATGGATGTGAATGATTTAAAGATATTTGACAATGTATACCTTCTTTGTGGATATCTTTTAAGCCATCAGCATAATGAATAGTCACAGATGTTGCTGCTACTTTTGGTTTACCCATACAGCCAGGGGGTTTAGGTTCATCTTTTACTAACTCTCTGGTAAACAAAAAATAACATATATCCATTTAACAGGGCATGTTAGATTATAATAATCAAAAGATTTAAATCATCCCATATATTTCGACAAATCCCGAAGTCAACGTAAACAGTGCAACCTTTCTTTTCGAGGCTGTATTACGAGGGCTGACTGAAAAGCTGTACGCCTATCTTTGAAAGATCTGTACGAAGTCGTTGGTTTCCATTTAGTTTTCTAGATAGTCCCCTTCGAGGTAAACTCAACGAAGCTGCAAGGCCTGTATTATACTATAGGAAGCATTTCCTAAATAAAGTCGTTCACAGCTGACAATCCATCATCATTACTAGGAAAATGACGACCGACTAGTTCCTTTTTCCTTTGTGAGCCACGGTGGCTATGTGGGTAAGACGCTGGCTCGCTTGCCTGGAGATCGCGTGTTCGATCCCTGCATTGGCCGAGAAAGTTCATCGGGATTTTCCGACGTGGTTTCCTATTGTCAGTGGTGCAGGACGGAGGGCCTGACAAGGACAGCTGTCTAATCGTTCGAATGGGACGAAAATCCGATGTGGCATACACGTAAAAATCCCTTGGCTGTTGAAATTTGATATAAGAATTGGCCATAGTGCCTTATAGCACGTTGTATGGCGTATAACCGTCTTCATTTCATTTTCCTTTTTCATTTTTGGAAACAGGTCCCATCAATGGTTACAACTCTGATCTAAAAATTATCAGGATCTTCTTCAAAACGGTCAGATTGTAACGGGACGCCCAGTCGTCGCTAATGCTCTCTCTCTCTCTCTGTGTCGCGCTTAAATTCCGCAGCCCACTTCTCTATTGTGGAATAGCTAAGCGTTACTACCCCTGTGACCAATGCTTCTGGAGTCTCATATACCATTTATTTGAATGTTCACATAGCTAAGAACCCTATCCTTTATAACATACACTTTATGAGACCTTTATAAATGAACATACATTCCTGTTTTTATTCAGCCGTTTCTGTCCATCCTAAGAGAAACGTTGTGCATACGTGTTTAAATCCCATCAGCGTGTATATCATTGAATGCATTAAAAGTTAATGGTGGCTTATTTTTCATGGTAAGTCTCTGAATTTAAAGGCACTTGCCACAGGCATATGAATCCAAAACTTAGCAGCAACTCATTGTCTTTGCCTTTAAATGACAATCTGTTAAAAATTTGTGCCAATGTTGCTGCTTAGTATACACGTCACTGTCGTAACCGCATTAAGACCGATGCTTCTTAATTATGGTTTTTGAAGTAAAAATAGTAGTCATAAGTAGGCAAACATTTGAATATGTTATTAGAATACATAATATCACTCACTTGATACCTATAGCACCCTCAGAATATATTCTCAGCATATAATTACTTTCATTTCCTGGGTCAAAGGTTGTTACAAGCAAACAGTAACGACCTTTTTCAAGGTGAACTCTATCAAAGATACTCCGTGATACCACATATGGTCCAGCATGAACTCTTTCTAGTCTGTCATGCATTCTATACTTCCTGTTTAAATCTGTCTACAATAAGATAAAGGTAACACAATTATATATGTCTAAATATTTAAGTTAAAATTGTTATTAAATTTCCAAAAAAGGTATAATCTAGTCCAAGATAGTTTTCTATTTTTTTATCAGATATAAGTTGGCTCTTCGTTTATTATTAGCACGCAGGTGTTAATCATAACAAGAATCTGGCAATTCTGAATTTCAAGAGTGGTCTTTATTATTAGCTTAGTCGGCAAATTATCTTAAACAATTACATGTATTGTGTTCAAATCTTCGGGGTTAAAAACTTGAACTGTTGGCGTGGGATATCATCTACCCTACTATCTGACTAATGATCCAGTGTAGGCATGTGGACAGAGAATTAACGCATGTAATTAATATACAATTATTTAAATGTTGGCATTTAAATATATTCTTACGTGCATGTTGGTACTCACCTTGACAATAGCGTATCCTATACAGTAGTTCTCTCCCCTTTTATTAAAGGACGCTGAACGTCTGTCTGTTTGCTCTAATGATATCATTATTTCTTCTTTCTCATTGTCAAATACCTCTAAGAGATACTGTAAATAAAAAAAAAATTTTATTAAACACTTCTAAGAGATACTGTAAATAAAACAACCTTTATCAAATACCTTTAACAGATACGGTAAAATAACTATATTTATATAATGGAAGAAAGGGCTTCACTTTACAGGTATTTAGTACTAGTATATAGGCCATAACGGTGTACTCATCTAACCGCAAGAACCCTTCTCAATTAACTAATTTTAATTTTCTTTGTTTTAGAAAACCTTACTTTATAGTTGTTTCAAAATGATCTAAATATAGTTCTAACGACACTCGTACATCACATTTCATTCTTTATCTACGTGAACGATTTGAGCTACTCTTCTATCGACAGATTAACATAAGTATGCTGCAATCAACAGGAGCCTCAATAATGGTCATTATGAAAGCTGACAGTCTGATTAAAACACAGAGTTGTTATATAACCCGCGTCCTGGATGATGTGACGGATTCGCCAATGAAAGGGTCTGTTACGGTGAGTTCTTGCCGTTCGGTGCACGAAACTGTGAGTATCCCACTAGAAACATCAATGTTGATTGATTAATCAAATGTCTGACGTCAAAGGGTCCAAAGCAGCTTGTATGACCCCTAACACGACCTTCAACTACAACCGTTCAAATCTTCATATAGTGGAGGCCATCGAAAGTATATAAAAACGAAACGAAATATAGATCTGTATTCTAATCAGATTTTGAATAACACCAATCCTTACATTTTATATTCTCCCATACTTTCATACTTTTTGTCTTAAAGCGTTTGTTCGTGAGTCAATGACGTTTTTAGATCTTACCTGTGGATTTTTAAGAAATGTTGGATGATTACCACACCCTCCTGCTCTATGGGGTCTCTTCCACTCTCCTGTAAACACCACCTTACTATAGGTCTTCTTTAACGTAAAGAATGATGTGTTGACGATATGACATAAATCTATGGTGGTAAAATACCGACAAAAATCATCGAATGACATCCTTAAAGAAAACAAAGGGTGCCATAAAAGAACTGACTATGACATGAATGCAGTGTGTTTGTGGGTGTTGGGGGGTAACGCCCTACTTTCCTGTGTAGATCGGGCTAATAAGACGGGCATACGACATGCCGTGTGTAACGAGGGAAGTTTTGCCGGGAAAGCAATTTATTCCGACTGTCAAGGGTTATTTTACAACCACGCCAAGGAAGACATGTCATCTGGATGTTTCCGTCTATCCGATTGACTAGAAGCTGTTCTTTTTCTGGGACTCGGTTCTGCACCATTGACAAGGGAAACTCATGACGCCAATTTCCATGGAACTTTCTCGTCAAACACCGGAAGCGACCCCCGAACCTTTTCTTTAGTGATACCTTACTCATAGAATTACCATAGCTCACTGTTTTTGGTGACTTGTTGTCTCGGGCAGACGAAAGCGTTTTAGTTCAGACTATCACATTTGTAGTACTATGGTCTCTGCAACCATATTATATCTTTAACTAATTATTGGGTTTCAATTTGTAGTGAAGTTACATCTCACGCACTTAAATGGGTGACACATAAAAAGATTTATAAAACCAAAACATAGCTGGTTCTGTGTGAAAACAAAGTATCACCAGATCACTTATGATAGGAAAATCACTATTGCATCATTTGGCTTAGTAACCAATCATTATAATTAATAACATCATATTTGACCAATTAGATAATTTAAAATCGAAACCCAAGTGTAGAAAACCATCAGAGCTCTGGGCGATCGACAGACAACCGCTAGTTTCTTAGAGAGGAGGCATCCATTGATTTGCAGGAGAGCCATACGATGTAGTGTGTTCCGTCAGCGAGTTAGGGGGGGGAGAAAGACATGTTAATTTTAATTATTGTAATGTAGCCTAAGCTTGTAACCTATGCATCCAGTGATTGATATAAAATGTAAAAACCAACTATTGCAGTGTTATTCCTGGTAGATAAATGTCTTAATTACTGAGATAGTAAGAAGAAAATACACAACGTGAAAAGGGGTCCTAGCTAAAAGAAGCAAATTACAGATATAACCAGAGACAATAATAGACGATCAAAAGGCTATTGAAATATGTATGTAGTAGAAGAGAGTATGTATCACAGTCACACGTCGGCCTTTGCGGGGGGGGGGGGGGGCTTTCCCTTGTACTTTCCACATCTGACCAGTGACGCATAGCACCGCATGGTGCTACAATTTGTTATTTTATAGTATTGGTATCCTTCTGTATCGATTTTACAAATTCAATTATTCGGACTTTCTACATTAACTCACCAAAATTCCCCATTCTCATCAAAGGTTAGACCAAGTTCCTTTTTCTCCGCTTCGCTAACTTTGGTCCATTCTGGTGATCTGAAATGTTCACCGTGTTGAAACGTGAGAAAGAAACCATGACTTTGTAACTAATTATTTTACTGGCTTTCCTCATGGGCGTAAACAATAAACAAAAAACATACAATCCGTTATCATAAACTAGAATGAGATTAAATACACATTATTTCATACGAAAGTTACTCAAATTCAATTGTACTAAAGACCCAGATTCTAGTACATAACTCACCCATCACTCCATGGACCTCTCCATTCCACACCACCCCATGGATTACGGCACCGAATCATTAGAATTTTTTCTCTGTTGAAGAATTGAAACAGTCCTGTACCTTTTAAATGAATTTTCTGGACAGCAGTAATACTATAAGCATGACCCCTGACTAATCCGATGCTTAGCTTGGTTTCCATTTCAGCAGCAGATTTAGCCTGCAATTAAGAAGTGGAAACATTGCCTACATCAAACATTAATGCATTATTACTTCGCAACAATAAAACAATAAAATTGATCCTTCCCGCAAATACCTGTCGTGCCCAGTGGCAGGCGAGTGGTTTGGATGGAAAACTGACACATAGGCGGACAATATTTAGCGACGCGAATATTTGGTTTTAGTGTCACGACTGCAGGGCAGACAACGATGACGGTGTTGTCATTCCTTTTGGATTTGATAAATCCGCAGTCCGATGGAATTGGATGAAGATAAGTAATAAACATCATGTAGCTATTCAATCCATGCACTGGGGAATGTTCTAGGCGCTAGAAATATTCTCACTTTGAATTATTATTAATGATAGTGACTAACTAACCATATTTTTACTTTTGTGTTTTAAAAACTGGCACATTGTCGGATATTTAATCACTCCGTGGGCAAAATAAATTCTTCTCCCTAGCATGGCACACGTGATCATATAAAATATGTAACTGTATGTTTGTCTCAAAATGGCAAATTATAGTGTCGATGAAATGCAGGGGCGTGTCCAGGAATTTGAGCAGCTGATGGTCCAAGGTGGATATGAATTATGAAATGAAATGGGGTTTAACGTCCTACTGTTCTGCTTCTAAACTGGGCTAATGAAGACGGGCATACACCATACAGTGTGCTATGAGGGAAATTTTGCCCGGGCAGCGGCGCTACGGCCTACACTTATATCGAATTCCAACTGCCCATGGATCTTTTACGTGCTCGCCAATGTGTACACGGGACCTCGGTTTTTCGTCCCATCCGAACGACTAGACAGCTGTCCTGTATATCCAAGGTGGAGACAACGTCAAGTTTGGCGTTAGGCGGAGGGGGGGGGGGACTATCCACGAATTTGATCAAATCAGAAGCTTTGAGACATATTTCTGCTCATTTAGGTTTACACTTGTATAGGATTACCGTGGAGTGAGTCAAAACGGCGTTATTTCCATGAAAGTAGGAGAGGAAAAATATTCTCTGCTCAAGCAGGGGGTGGGGCGGATGCCCTGTGCCCACTGGCCCACTGGACATACCCCCCCCCCCCGCCCCTGGACACGCGCATGGTTAAATCCCACCCCCCTGCTCAAAACAAATAAATGACCAAGGGACATTCCATTTCGAGACGCGCATTTTAAGCCGTATAACATTACGTTATTGTGTATGTTGATTTGACCTATATGTATAGACCTAAATCTGAAAAGAGTTATGTAAGTTTGTAAACAATAGAAATACTGTATAAAATTATCTTATTGTACTCAATAATAACATTGCTATAGAAGATAATTATATAATCAAAACTACATATATTGTTATAATACTATTAACTTAGATTTCTTATGAAATCCGTTTCCCCAAAGGGATTAATACCGATATTAGATATTCATAAGCTGATAAGATTATCAACCTTATTCTTAAAAGGGTTACCAAAGGTCGTTTAACAAAACACTAATGATGTCGCTTAAATTTAACTGGAATGGCTTTATTTCTTTTCTCTTTTTTTATATTAATACATGTATCAACCTATCTTGATTTTGATAGTTATTGTATATTAATATTTGCATCTAACAAATTTTTTTGCAAATAATACTATATTATTCAACCTAGATCAAAATATCTTCTGATTTTATTCTGCATTTGACATTAAATGAACATTAATCGATAAAAACAGTATGAAGTAATAATAATAAAGTTCCAACAAATCTGACAGAAATTTTGGTCTGGTATCACCTCTGACAATATCAAGAGACTAATTCCACTGACAATGCTGGGGTTTGAAAATACTATATGAAGCATGCTTCACACGAAAAGGGGGTATGTTGTCTTGTCGTTAGAAACATTGTCAGTGGGGTTTAACGTTCTACCCAGGGCAATGACAATGTGCATACACCATGCAGTGTGCTATGCGGAATATTTTGCCCTCACAGCGGTGCTTCGACCCTTATTTAGATTCCAACAGTGTTGCAAATCATAGACACGGGACCGCGGTTTTCCGTGTCATCCAAATGACTATAGTTTCACCATTAGCAAGGGGAAACCAGACCGGAAAATTCCGAAGAACTTTCTCATCAACTTCGGGATCGAAATGAAATGAAATGGGGTTTAACAACCTATGGTTCTGTTCCGACTGGGCTAATGAAGACATACGCCATACAGAGTGCTATGAGGGATATTTTCCCCGGACAGCGGCGCTAAAGCCTATACTCTTATATCGAATTCCAACTGCCAAGGGATCTTTTACGTGCATGCCAACGTCGGCATCGTCCCCGAGATATCCTGTTGATGAGCTAGTGCTATTGCCACCCTGCCACTGGCCTATTTAAAAACAAAATTTAATGTGGAAAAACAAACATAATATCTAAGTTTCAATAGCAAAAAAAAATTGTTTTATTCAACATTTTTCCGGTTAAATAATTGTAAAGTACAATAATGTTTTCTTATCATATTATAATTTATATCACAGATGACAATAGTATAGTCGCATTATTTGTTACTGTTTAAATTAAATTAAATATTATCTTCGGTAATATAATAATATATCTAATAATGTTATTATAAAATTATTGCCATTCTATTATAGAAAGAAAGAAAATACTGCAAACTAATGACAAATCCGAGAATATTTCAACTGACAGTAGTAATATCTATTTATATAACAATAATACGAACGTTAAGTCTGGGATAACCCCATCACAACTGAAATTATATTTTACATTAGTGCAGTATAAGTATAATATACAAATTCGAATTTGAATGATACAAGTCTCATATTAACATCGATTATAATTATATTACTTTAAAAAAAAAGTCATTTATTCGTATTCGAAAACTACAAACAACATTTTCAACCATAATATAAATATTTTTAATACTGTGTCGTAATCTCCAAAAATTCAAACAAAACTGTTATTCAAATTACACAAAAACATAATACTATAATACTACTCTACTGGCGCATGAATATAATAAATAATAAAGTTCACTGATGAAATGAGAAATATACAATAAAACAGGTACCCCAAAAACAATACTTTAATTTTACATATCTTCGTCATGAAAGAGTCTCTTGGATTAATCAAAACACACACAAAACCGTAACGACGTTACGGAATTGTCTTTTGTGCCTCTGAAATTCACCAAAATATTCACAATCATAGTCATGTCACAAAGTTCACAGATATTCACGATTCACATTAAGTTCACTGGGTTGGGAAAGCTGACATGGATCTCCACTTCACCAAATCACTTGGAGGGATTCCGAATTTCTGCTTCTTATTCTCGGTCGTCCGACTGAAGAAATATCCACAAGTTGGCTTCTCGGCTGTATAGAAAGGAGCTACCGAGTTAGATGTAACTTCTACAGACTGGCCAGGAGGGACTGCCTGTATACTTCTAAAAAATTGTGGATCTAGACTTGAATTGACGGGTTGTCTCTGTGGTATGGAAATATTAAAATGTCTTGAATACCTGTTCGGTAAATTTAAGTGTTTAAGTCGCATTCTCTCTAACTTTTCCCATGTGAGGTACCGAGGATCCATTTCCAGCCAACTTACATCCTTATGTGAACGATGTGTCTCCATTTTCTATATCAAATGAATTACTATCTTCAATGAACTCCAATTTACCAGTTTAAATGTGTGTGAGCTGTTTGAATACAAAACCCGTCAATAATACAGCTAACTATTTAATCATTACTAAGTCGACCCTGTGTTATTTGCGCCTAACATAAGACATGCGCCGTTTCTAGGCAAGCTATTGTTTTGATTTCATAGTTGATTGTGCGTGCAATAAAATCCCATAATGGTGACCGATTGTGTGACAATCCGCTCGAGAGATTATATCATTTGGGGGATATGATACTAGATCATAAGTGTTATTTAGAATTTAATAATATAAATATAAATACAACATTATATATCTAATTGGCAATGCGCTACAACAAAAAAACAAAAAAATCGAACACAGAACAGTAATATAGTTCTACATGTTTATAGCGTATACATTAACCCAAAAGATATAAATTTGTGAAAAAAGTAAAAAAAAAAAATATGACCTGTTTTGATGATCGTGGTGGGGCGATCACCACGCCCCAAAGTGTGTGGAGCGTTCGCAAGAACAGTTTGACGGACCGATGGATGTCGGACGCAGGCGATGACAATAAACGGCCAAACTAAACGTATGCAAATCAGGGTCAATCCCAAATTTGCATATGTATTAAAGTTGGGTTTGAAAAGTTCCTATTTTTTTCTCCAATATCTAAATTTTAGACTAGGTAAGTCAAAACACAATTCGAAGATTGTCAAATAGTAAGCCTATTGACAACTCAGACATAATACGGTAAAAGTAAATAGTAACTTGGGAGATATAGGTTTAGACTGATGTGTGGGACGACGAATAAGAAGTAGTTGACTTTGTACCGTTAACAAATATGATTTGTAATACATATTTATTCGATAAGATATACCATTAGTTTATTTGATTTCTATAACTAACTTTGACTTTGATCACCGATGCACATTCTTTGCAAAACCGCGAAGCAAACTATAGATCAATAAATTCAGAAATACAAAACGATAAAATCAAAAGTAAAAAACCCGCTAATATCCATATTCCTGAAGCAATGGCCTGAGAAATTTCTCTCTGGCCATTGCTGGATTGGCTTCTGATACTTGAGCTTTTGAGTTTGGCTATTCTTCCCGTTCAATCAAATCTATCCCAAGTACAGCAACATGACAGCCCTTCGTTTAATCTGGGTCTTCTCTAAAACTCTGAACTGTGATTTAAGGTATTAAAAACGACGAAAGCATGTTGTTTACATTTTTTTCGATTTGATAGCCTAGTTTGCACGCAATTAATTTTTCTGCAATATTCTGCTATGCACTGGTTGATTTGGGCATAATAAAATCGTGAGTCCAATTTGGAGCTCTATTTTAAGCGTAATGCTTTTGTAACGCAGTTAGCTATTGGTTGTTAATCGGACCATTGACCAGTCATAATTTGGAACAGAAATTTGCCTTCGTTAAAGCAGTGTTTAGTAGGGTTAGGTATAATCAAACGAAACACTGCGAGGAGTATGGCTAATATCAAGAAAACAAATTTTGAAAACGTCTAATCACTAGTGTGAGTTTGAACTTCATGAAAACTAATAAACAAATGTGTCCGACTCATTAACAATTAATACGTATATATATTTATTAGAACACGCCCTGTACACTCGAATAACGTCAAATTGAAATTTATCTGAAGATCTTAAAAGCATCAACACCTCTTTATACAACAATTTTAAACAATATTTCTTCTATCGTTGATAAGACCCTTGAAGTCAAGTTTTTATGCAGCGAATAACAAAGTTTAAGGTACTTTTTATATCGTGATCTGAATACTGTATTTAAATCATTATTTAAACATCACGATCTGTCAACCTAATTTTAATGTTGTCTCTCCATAGAGCTGTTTAATATTCACGATTTACCTGTCAACATGTATATGCACTTTAAAGGAGGCAAGTCTCTTAAGTCAATATCATCCACAGTCTTGCAAACACGACTTATTGGTCAATTTAAATCAACATTGATGTTGTTATCTTAGCGTGAAAAGATGGGCTTCTGATATTCAATACTTAAGATAAAATCAAAAATATTAAAATTGTCACACGAATCGCGCGCCAGAATGCTTTAGAGTGCCATTTTTAATTAAGCGACTTGGTGAACGAGATTAAATACTACCGGTGCAATGTAGATTGCCATTCAATTTGGAATCTTTTGCCGAACTGATTAGAACTGATTACAGTAACAAACAAAAACGATTGAATGTAAATCAGTTTATATACATTCATATTACATTATTCTATGCGTTGCTACCCATTTGTGTCAATTTACAGATGCCAAAGAATAGGGATTTAGCTCCTTTAATGTAATGTTAAAAGGCTTCTATACCTTGGCCTTTACCTGTTTCACCCACAGATAAAGCCTGCATTTTTTCTTGATATTAATTTGGGATGTTTTTTTGTTCTTTTTTTTCTTGGGGGGGGGGGGATCATTTTGGCAATATTCTATTCTTTGCATACAACTTAAAAATGAAACGAAATGGGGTTTAACGTCCTACTGTCCTGCTCCTACCGGGCTAATGAAGACGGACATGTGCTATGAGGGAATTTTGCTCGGGAAGCGGCACTATGGCCTACCATTATATCGGATTCCAACTGCCAAGGGAACTTTGATTAGAATGCAGCGTTTTATATCCAAATCACGGATATATATTTTAAATAAGATCAACATGTCAAGTAGAAATATTTTATTGTCACATTTCGGTCCATATACGCCCTTCGAAAAGATGTCTCGCTTTCCGTGAATAACAGATTAGAGGATCACGTTACATTGCAAGGTTCGCTATAACGCTAAAAGTTGCAGTTGATCAGCTGAGGTTAGGGTGATGACGTAACCATGGCGTAATATCGCGTTATAATGCCACTGCAACCTGGGACGATAGCTAAACACAGCGTTATAGTGAAACATCTATTAATAAATATATTACCTGAATAGAAGCACACATTAAAGAATGATTAATCTTGGCTTTATGTAGTATATCAAATAATCTCGTTTTTCTTTCTTCTCCTCTAAAATCTATTATATCTAACGTCTCACCAGCACCGCCTGTTAAATCAACCATAGCATCACGGGATTTACCCGCTGTTAGCGCTTCATAACTACCAAATAATCTGGAATATAATTAATTATGTTGATGAAAAGGTGTTCAAACGTAATAATCCATAATCGTAATCACTGAAAGGGTGTATAACAAAAAAGAGAAATATTAGATAGAAAAATGAAATTTACGACTAGAATATTTCAGGCGGAAATCGCGTCTGACTTGCACGACAGAAATGAAATGGGGCTTAACGTCCCACTTTTCTGCCACGCCAACGAGTATTAGGGTAGACTTTCGTTTTCCGTCCCATACCAATTAACAAGACGGACTTTTTAATCTCGGAAATAGTTAGTCTGGAGCTCGCGTTGTCTGGAACGCGTTTTATTTTATTTCTAAAGTTGTAATGCTCTGTAAAATGAATGAGTAAAATAAGGAAAGGGGTTTGTAATCTAAATTGTTCAGTTAATAGGTCGGTTTCAAGATGCCTAGTCATTTAAATATTGAAAACGCTGATTAGGTCAGAGCATAGGCGTACGGGGAAATTTTTGATTTGGGGGTAGGGAGTGGTGGTGGTTGGTGCCCAAAAAATGTAGTTAGGTTCTTAGTATGTTACATAATAATATTAAATTCGCTGTTAAATTGGACACATTCAAGAAACAATGTTTTTTTTATACAACTTTTACAAAGTACAATTGTGTGCCCAAATTTTCCCAGCATTTGGTGCCCAAAATGGGGGGGCGACCGCCCCCCCCCCCCCCAGCCCCCCAGCTCGTACGCCTATGGGTCAGAGATATGAATTAGAGGTGAAGGGAGGTAATCAGGTTTAACCCGCATTGTATGGAAGCAGACCACCATATGACATTTCCCTGGTCGGTTGGGGTAACTCATCAATATTATTCATCAATCATAAAAAAATACGCTTACTTAGCATATGCCTTTTCTAGTAAAGCTGACCAGAATTCATTTCTACTTTTGGAGTGTAAAAATATGAGACGACCACCTCGTGTTGGAAGTTGATCATCTATTACCACATCCACCCATTTACCACATCGCCAAAATCGAAAGTGAAATATTCCAGCATATTTATTATCAGTCGACCATTCCTGGCCATGATAATCAGGGACTACCTGGAAGACATAGTAATATTCATGTATATTAATATTCATTTATTAGGTGACATAGACTATGCTGATAAATAATTCATACCGCTATTCCATATTGTCTCAAACTCCGTAAAACTCTTAAACACAATTATCAACCTAAACCTTCCATTTGACTATACAGATTTTCAATAACCCCACCGAGCTGGGTGACTGGATGGTTTAACGCGTGCATGTTATATCATAAGGTCTGTCATTGAGTCAAGCGGCGTGGTTTCGATAGCCAGCTTGTACGTGACTTGGGTCGCCTGTCCAACCTCGTGGGTTTTCTTAGGGTCCTCCGGGCCACCCCCCACCCACACACACTGCTAAAATAACACTACGCGCAAGCGAATTATTGAAATAAAAGTTAACCATATGTTAGTCCCGAAATGACCTAGTTTGTGTCTAGTGGACGTTAGACCCATCTCTCTCTTGACATCCTTTGTCGGGTGCATTTTGACACTGACATTGACTTTCGAGAAACTACTCTACAAGAATGAAAGTGTTGAGCACATCCAGCAGACGATCGCATTAATGCGTTTGTTATGTTCCAGAACTTCTAATTAGTTATTGAAAAATGATCGATTTGTCTTTTGTGTTTTCAGTGTCCTCTATTTAGAGCCTAGAGATTGTTTCAGTGGTCACCACACATTACACCAGATTGCAGGAATTGAAAATTCCTCCCTCAAATATTGGGAGCTCTGCAGGGGTGGATCCAGGAATTTTTACAGGAGGGGGTTTGTCCGGGTCTCTCCCCACCCCCTACTCCCACCCATTGCCTTGAAAATTTTGAGATATACATGGTCTCTATCGTTATTTTTGCACATATACATACACACACAGAGCTTTTTAAAGAGAGAGATCTAACACCCCGTTTGTTTCAATGGCATTTAGTAATTGAACTGGAATAAACGGGTTATTGTATTCCATAGAATTGTGACCTGTTTTCCCCGTTTGACGTCAGTTTTTATTATGAATTAATACAAAGACATTGTGATTCAATTTCATTAGTGAGCAGGGAGGGAGGGGGCAGGATCCGCCCATCCCTGTACCTTAAACTCATATCAATTCCTAGATCTGGCCTATATCAAATTTCATGGAGAATTCTTCCTTGAACCACATTCACGAGCATCGATAGTCAGCAGTGAACTAAACAATAATGCATTCGAAATTTACCAACCCAAAATGGATATTCTTCCATATGCCCATATGAACTAAAAATATTCGCCGAGAACATAAACGAAAGGAATATTTGAGATGTTATTTCCCTGAGGATTTGAACTTTAAAGTAGATAGACAATGGACCGACCGACGATGGCTTAGTTGATGGGTTGAGGACACAACTTTTAAAACATAAATAAAATCCCTTCGGCCTACAATAATTAGTTTTAAAAGATATATTATGCCTAACGAGGACTGAAACAATACACAAGTTACCTTTTTCCATAGATTTGAATCTTCAGCAATACAAGCACAGGCTGCCACAAACCAACAATTACCCAAAGTTCCTTGAGCAAAATCATCGGCACTGGCTTTATCAATAAAAAACTTGGGATCTGACACAATATCCTAAAATATTGTATAAATATAAAAGAAATATGTTGCAGAGAAATTATGATGAAAACAGTAGTAAACTCATAAACGTGTCACTTTTCATTATCACTCTTAAACAGGCATTGTTCACGAGCTAAATCTGCCTATTTCAGGTATTTCTTTAGGCCTGAAATGTTATATAAATTATTAATTAGACATTAACAGACTTACCAAGACCATAATCAACTCTCGGTGCCATCGGATGACTGCGATAAAAGTAGATTTAAATACATGTAAGTTTTGTGGTTGATGCGTTTACCGTAAACGTGGGTAATCGGTAGTAATGACAATCGAGGCTAGACTATCATTGTATCGTCGATATCTAGTGATGTAATTTGAATGAAATTTTCAGCATATTTTGTTTTCGTTATCTATATATTTTTAAATTATTATAGCGAGAACTCCCAGCTCTTTATGTAATACTTTCCCAGTAGCCTATATTGGGTTATATCCATCTATGTTAACGTTAGAAATTCCCTTCCATGTTGCACACAGAGAACTATCTACTTTGAGAATAGATCGCTGTCCTGAATGACCGTCATGTCCAAAAATTAGTATACTATTCTGTAATGTCGTTCTACTCTTTTCACATATGCCATACACACAAAGACTAAAGTTTCAATTCCATTAAATGGTAGCAGAACAATATTTTACAACATTCCTGAAGTATTTAGCTTTTTTGACTAAAATCGTCTACTAAAATGTTGGTCAACTAGCTCAGTGTCTGTCTGTTCTTAAGTGGAGATAATTATTGTAGACAGACAGCGTAAGTTTAATGATGTTTTTCGTACCGTAATCATTTATTATTATTCTATAACTGTATGTACCTTAGGTCTTTTCCAAACTATGTCTGCTGGCGCTGCCCTGGTATGGAATATACTGTTACCACTAGCAGGAAATGACGTATCTACAAATAATCCCTTCTTCTTTACACATTGTGATTTGATTTTTCTGTATTGTTGACCTAAATATGGTTCAGCTTTCGGATTGGACGGCATCCTTTAATGGAAAAAATCAAAACAGAAAAGGGGTGGTTAATTACATTTCTTTCCACTTAATATAATTAATTAAAAAAATGAAAACGTGTCGAACGACTGAACGAATATTTTATAGAAGATGAATGGGGATATATTAAACTGGGTCCGTTCTTTTGAGAAATAGCTTGGCACTAACGCCCACTCAATTCCTGTAATTTATTTTTGTACCATTATGGAACACAATAATTGTAACCACATAATGAGATATTGCATTACTTCAGAAGCCTACGTGAATTTGTCATGGATAACATGATACGTTACACACGGGGTATTTCTCAAAACGACGGGTTCAGTTTAATATAGCCCCATTCATCTTCCATAAAAGTAACCCCATTAGTCTTAAATACATGTACATTTTAAAGTACGGCAAAAATGTAAGGGAAGTGGGGCAATTGCCCCCCACCCCGGTTCTTTTGGGGGCATTGGTGGTGAATTATTGAGAGAGAAAAGACAAAAGTAATATTATGTTAGTTTCGAAGAGACCTATATGAGAGGACGTTAAATCCAAATTCTCTATCTCTTTGTTAGTTTCATATTTAATCTATACCCTTTTAATATTTATTTTATAAGATATGTGAAGATTTCTCGGAACCCAGCCTTGATTTAAAGATATAAGAACGTAATTTGTCAGGAATGAGTCAAGCAGCCACTTAAACATCCATATTACTCATCCTACTAGAGGATAGAAGGGTAAGTCAAGATTAAACTGAAGAAAGATGGGTGTTTATACAAATGTACACTGTATAAAATAAACTGTTAAATTTAGCCAACCAAAATCCTCTTGAAAAATAATTCAGGCCTTCACGCAATCTTAAAATGACACATATTAATCTATAGTATTAAATTTGGTATCTTTAATTTCAATATTTGGGTTGTGGATTGCGTGATGCTATGCTTACTTTCCTGATATTCTGGTATACAGTGAGAGGTATAATAATATAAGTTTCCGTGGTTCATTGATACTTTTGTGTACTTTTGTGTACTTTTTTTTATTACTTTTGTATAACTTGGTTTTCCTATGCCAGCGCAGCACGATGGAGAGCTTGACAAGGAAAAGCTTCAAGTCGTTCTTATGATACGGAGAAAAACAACGGGGTCCCGTTACACCATTGACAGAACATTAAAGAATAAGATTTGGCCATGACGTCACTGTCAGGGTAAAAGGTCCTCATAGCCCGTCGTCTTCATTACCTCGAATGCAGGAAAGAAAGACGTTATACTAATTTCATCACTCATATCTACATAATTATGGAAATTGTTGTCTCGTTAAATTAAAAAATATATAAAAAAACAGAAGCCATTCGGCTATCTTCAAAATCAGTTTTAACAATTTAATTTCAGTAGTGTATCTTATTAGAAATAGAAACTGTACTTATCTTTCAACACAGAACATCTGCCTTATCATACAGAGTCTAAGACTTTGATGCCATATCATAAACATATTTAACTTTTCTCATTTATTAACAACATGATATTTTGTTTTACTTGGGTCAGAACAAAAATAAAAGTTTGTTTTACGGATTTTACCTACCCAGTAGTTTAGTTTCTTCAATTTTGAATTGAAGATTATTTTCTTTATTCTTTAAATTTTATTTTATATCATGAATCTTTTGAAACAAAATAACCAAATTCAGTGTAGATTATTTTGGCTAGATATACCAGAATATGTCCACTACGCATTACCTTCATAACATATTTAAGTGAACAAGGGTCAGCGTTGGGTAAGCTGTTAGAAAACAATGGTGGACATACATGTATGTAATCGCTCCATTTATTTTACATAATAGAATAACTCTTTAATTATCGAAAATTTAAGCACCGAATTCCTTTAACACAACTAGGCGACAACAACCCAGAGTATGAAAATACGCCAACACAGCAGCTACGCCCCGAGAAAAAAAGATAGTCATAGACAACACCTTATCCGAAAGGGAAATTTGAATGTTGACCAAAATTTGACAAAGCTCCTTTGTGTCTTCAAAAATTCTGATTTCTATCGTGTTCTCAAACTTTTCCTGGCACGTTATATCTCTGGAGCAGAAAGTCCTGAAATGCTGAAAATCAACAGGATTCGATCCCACGGCTCCACACCAAATTTGAAAATCAATAGGGTACGTTCATCCTCCGTTAGAACAACTAATAGAAGAGGTCTAATCCTTCACACCAAATTTGAAAATAAGCTTTAACTGTGTTATGACCAAAATGTTCCACACCAGATATGAAACGAAAAAAAAAAATCCTTTACAAAATTTAGCCTCTATTGCATTCACAGGGTTTTTAAAAAGGTGACGTAAATCTTGAACAGAAGGTCGCAGATTGCTTAAAATCGATACGGAGCGTCCTTTTCCGAACCCAATGCGCCACACAAAATTTGACGACGGTGAGGGGGTATAAAAATCAACTTAAATCGAATTTTCAACAAGAACTGTTTAAGTGCTGACATGTATTCAATAATTCAACTGTTATTGCAATGCGTCAATGTTTGACTGTGCAGTTTTTCGTGCACTGTCTAATCGAATCTACCAGCTTAACATTTACAGACGTGGAAAGTATAGGATGTTTCTACATACTTAAGATATCTGATATAATACACTAACTCTACGTACATGCCATTATCTAATATAACACAGATTCAGATGTGTTTAGCACACGGCTTTGTATATTAGGCACCGGAGTTGTTTTATTGAGTTCTTAAACCCATATTACACGTATACCAGTAAAATGACATAGCAGGGATGTATTTAGGCAACTCGCCCAGTTTGGTCCGCGACACGACCGATAAATAACATAATCAATAAAAATATTACCTTTTTATGGTATCAAACTTCTAAATATCCGTTTATGAAGGGCTCCGTTTCCAATAAATTCTTTAATATCAATTTAAAGGAGCTAAATCTTTAAATCGATATTGTCCATAAAATTCGAAATTAAAAACATGAAATGGAATTCAATACTGGTCCATTTCAATCAATATTGATACTGTTATCTTGCCGGGATAACAATGAACATTTTAAAATCAGTACACGAGTCGTGTATCCTATGGTTTCGGGTGCCATTTGTAATGAACATAGACAAACATATCCTACACGATAATGTGGAAGTTATTATCAATGGCTGATTCACAAACGACAAAATAATAATTAAAAAACGTAAACGTGTAGATTGGACTTGTTAGACGTAAAAGGTGGCCGTTTAATTTGGACGGTTCGCCTATTTACAATAATTTGTTTTAAAAATTGAAGGTTCAAAAGATTAGAGCCGTACTCTCTTTAAATCAATTAAAGCACCCCCCACCCACACACACACACACAAACACCCTTTCAGATTTCCTATATACCACGGCGATTAAATTACAATATATACTATATTAAAAAACTAGTTAGTGGAGTTACATTATTACTGTCGATTGTATTGTCAGAGGTACATTACCTGTTACTTGATCGGCTATAGTTAGCGGTAGATCTACACTACATTTACAGACATTTCCACTAAATAAATAACATTTTAGGCGGGCTTGTTTGGTGACATTTGTAATCAAAGTTAAAGTCAGACGAAGATTGTGTAATTAGAGGTAGTGTTGATGACATCATAGTAGGAAATATACTGGGAAAAACCTATATAGCAAAAATTGTTAGCTTTATGGGCATACCAAAAAGAAGCGTCTGGTGTTCTAGACGGTGTACATACCATGTCCCGTGCATGAGACCAACTAGTTAATAGAAGCATATATTATAGCGGCTTCACATACATTATTATTTGAATCAATATCCATTCATTTGTTATATTAATTAGCGATTTTGTAGCACATTTAGACAATGACTGGTGTTGTGTGCTAAACATGGTATGCCAACACTTCCATGAACAATATATAACTTTCGGTTTGAAAAGTTCACTACATGTATATATATAAATAAAATTATTCTTCGTGAAAAGGGCTTTATCTGTTTAAATCTAAATATGGATTAATCTTTAAATATATGTTTGGAAAAGCCTTGCGCAGTTTATAACTTCATACCTAAATATAGTTGCTATTACATTTGCCTCTCGTTCTTATATTAATATATAACAATGGTTGTTTATGAAAAACAAGTAGGTACATAGTATGGCTAAATATATACACATGTTACCCAGCTGATTGACACAGTCTGGCAGCCAGTAAGTAATGTGATACCTACATTCCACCGCACACATATAAGTAAAATTTCCTTACCTTTTATCTTTCTAATCCTATTTTAAGATTTTAACAGTGAATATAGACCAAGTTAAATATAAGTATTAATCCAACAGAGATTCGATCCCGAAACTTTGATAACAAAATCCAAAATCGTGAAGATCCTTCTGGCTTGTTGCACCTGGGCATATGGTAATACTATACTCATAATAAGTTGGCACGCGAACGGTGCCGAAATAGGTCTCTTGGCATAATTTACAACCGGCTGCTCGTGGTTTCCGCCATTCTCACAAACAAGATTTACATGTCGTGTCTGGAATATAGTGTTAGACAGAAGAATTATTACTGATAGTCTGAAACCAAAGGGGGTTTTAATACTTTACCAACAACTGTTAGTTCATTTTAAAACTAAGGCCATTACGTGGGCAATACAGGGTGGGGTGGGGGGTAAAACAATATCTACAATAGAAACTTTTCTTCTTGGGATTGACACTGTATACGATATTATTGTCATCAATTTATTTGTTAATTCTCTATAACCTTACGATGGCATATTCTACATTTCTTTAGGGTTCTCGTAATACTACGCTTACCCAACTAATCCGGACTACACTGTAAATAAATTTTGTGTATTTTTACCGTAAATTGACCGGTAGAAAGATGCCAGTAAAATGACTGTATTTTAACACTGACTTGTAAATTTACACCTAAGCGGTAGATTTAGATATACAGTGAGTGTAAAATAACTTCGATGTAAATTTACATTGTGCTTGTAAATAGAAAGTGAGGTAGATGTACATTCACTGTAAATTTACACTGTGGTTGTAAATTTACTTCAAGGTTATCTTACACTCACTGTAAATTTACGTGGTGTTTGTAAATCTAAATCTACCATTTATGGGTACATTTACAAATCAGCGTTAAAATACAGTCATATTTCTGGCAACTTTCTGTCAGTCATTTTACGGTAAAACAAAATTACAGAAATTAAATAAAATGAGATTTAACGACCTAATGTTCTGTATCTTACAATGGAAACAGTAGGAGGCATGACACGAAGCAAAATGTCCCACACAACCCTATGTATGGCATATCACTGTCTCCATGCGCCAGTTAGGTGCATTCAGATTTTGAATAACCTATTTCTCTAAAATAGACTAATCTTACTGACATAACAGTAAATATTTTGACCAAAATTCGATATGTGGTCGAAGGGGAATAACCGATTTGAACACTATTTGACAGTAAACTTACAATTTGTTGTAAAAATACTATTTCAAATGGCATTTCTGTTAATATACAGCTCACATAATGTAAACTGACATATGATTGTATTTCTACATTACGTTTGATGTAATCTTACATGTGGCCAAAGAGGGAATAACCGATGTGTCCACTATTTGACAGTTAATTTACAATTTGCTGTAAAAATAACAATTCAAATGGCATTTATGTTAATATACAGCTCACATAAAGTAAACTGTCATATGTTTGTTTTTCTACATCAATTTTCATGTACTCTTACATAAGCTTTGTACTCATATGAATTTACATCGCTTTAAATGTAAGTTAACAAACTATGTGACCTTTTAAGTATACTTATAACTGTAAATATACAGATAATTTGAACAGTTTGATAGGGGTCTTTTACGTACATGCCAATATGTACACGGGACATCGGTGTTTCGTCCCATCCGAACGACTAGACAGCTATCCTTGTCCGGCTCTCCGTGCTGTATCACTGACAAGGTGGGACCACGCCGGTAAATCTGAATGAACATTCTCGGCCAATGCAAGGATCGAACACCCGACCTACAGGCTAGCGAGCCAGCGTCTTACTATAGCCACCTTGACCACCTCATAGGTGGGAGAGAGAGAGAAATGGGGTTTAACGTCCACTCGACACAAACTAGGTCATTTCGGGACTAACATATGGTTTAATTTTATTTACATAATTCGCTTGCGCGTAGGGGTCTTTAGCAGTGGGAGGAAACCGGAGGACCCGGAGAAAACCCACGAGGTTGGACAGGCGACCCTACTCCTTGCCACGTACAACCGGGAATTCGAAACCACGCCAGTCGACTCAACCTCATAGGTGGACTATAGACGAAAAGTAATGAAGCCTTCAAAGGTCTATCAATATTACAGTTCTAAAGAGATGTACAATTACACGTTTCCTGTAAATTGTACACAAATCCTGTATTTAACCATGTTGGAATAGTAGAATTACCCATAAAAACAGTTAAAATACAACATACATGTACGTTAACAAACATAGTTGTATCAATACAGGTTACATGTAAAAATAATACAGTTCTAACTTGTAAAACTACACTTTTATTGTTAATTTACCCATTTTTTTTACAGTAATCCCATGTTACCTCACTAATACAGTAACTTTATAGTATAAAAACACGCAGTGGTATTTTTACAGCGTTATGTTAAAGAAATTACATATTTTTCACTGTGAATTTTACATTTATTTTTAACAGTGTATCGGAAAAGTGTTTTTTTTTTCTAGTTTGAGGGATTTTAAGTACGCATCAAAACGGATCAGGTCGTGGACCGATCATTTGGAAAATTAAAATTTAACTACTGCTGGTCGTTTGTGCATATTTTTATATACTAACTTTGATTGACACATAAATATGCAATTAACTTACTACTGATTTGTCATTATATTATATTACACAAAATGTTATAAAATCTCACAGGCACAATCAACATGTCTTTTATTATATAAAAACGTAGAAGGATATTTGTATATATCAAGATTCAAAGAGCTAGAAAATATTATTTGGCGGGGTCCGCTCAAGGTTCTTTCTTTTCTTATATATTTTTGCTGGGAATGATAGGTAGGTACGAAATCAAAACTGCGCTATGGACAATATTGTACCATACAATTATTATTATATATTATTAAAATGTTATAAAATCTGAAAAGACACAATCAACATATAAACGTAAAAAGTATATAGAGCTTCATAGAACTAGAATAAATTTATTTGGCTGGGGACGCACGGGTTTTTTACTTTTGTTATATCTCTTTGCACGGGAATGTCGGAAATAAAAAATGTCACAAACTGTTTAAATGTAAGAAATTGCACTGCCGTGGGTTCATCCTCGGAAAATGGTAAGAAAAGGTCCCAAACTATTTTAGCCTCGCTTCGCTCGGCGACAAATTCGTGTACACCTCCTCCCCGCTTTTCAAAATTCCAATATCCGCCCCAGGTCAATAAGTTAACGCAGCATAATTTACCAGGTCAGCGACGTTTGGGGTTCGTCTATTATAGCAATTCTACCTCTGTCTTTTCCTCCCCTTTTGCATGCCCATTTTTGTTGATTTTTTGGTCTAGAATGGACGAAGAGGGTTTGAATTAACATTTTCTGCCAGTTTTTGGTAAATATTCATGATTTTGAGGCGTAAGTATAACAGAGTTATCAGGTTGGTTACGGTGATATGTACGGCATACATGTTTTTAGCATGCTTCTTCAAGTTTGTGTATCTCAAAATTTTGGCTGTCAACCTCATACACAATTTAGTGCAAAGGCATGACCAATTGTTCGTCTGTCTGTAGTGAAAAGCATTCAGCCCAACGAAAATTTGCGGAAAAGTTGGAGGTGGGCAAAGAGGTCAGAATTAACATTGAAGTCAATGGGGAAATTAATGGTGGTCTGCCTCCTGTGTTGGAACTTTAGAGTTGCTCCCCTTTAGTAAGTTACAGAAAATGAAAGTAAAGTTGTTGCCAATGTAAATAATAGAAAGAAATTGCCACATTTAGTTCTACTTGCACGTAAAATGGAATTTGGAAAAGGGAGATATGAAGACATGTTTTTATCCGAACTCGCAAAGTTTCGTTTTTTTTTGTTTTAATACTAGAAATCATTTATTGGGGTACCCGGTATATTTAGTCTACACTAGTCCTACATAGTAGGCTACATATCTTTCAAAATATGACATGAGCCAGATTGATTAAACTTTCGTTGAAGGTATAGACCCTAATTAAAGTCCTTTTCTATAGCTGCAATATTTGAAGCCGTGATAATTCTTATTCACGGCTACAATTGATACACAATTCGAGGCTTTGAGCAAGTAGAATTAGGTTCAATTGCAAAATTTTCAACACGTATCTTCACAGTTCGCATGGAAATAAGCAATTATGTTACAAATAGTGAAGAGTGGAACACTGAAATCTTAATCTTATCGAGAGACATAAAATCATGTGATTATGCGGTAAGGTTTCACCTTTATTTCAATGGGAATTGGTTTATTATATGTTAAGCTATGTACAGTAGAGTTTGGGGTCAGTGTAATTGGAAAATTAATAAAGTTAGGCCAGTATCTATTTTGTAGTCAAATGACTACAAAAATTGGTCAAAGGAAGGCCTTAGGACGGTCCACTACTGTGGCTGGAGGCAAGACGAAGACATCAATCAGTAGTGGAACCATTTTCTGCACCCACCTGGCTGTTAACACAGTGTACTATGGGACAAATTTGGCCCGGACACCATGAGTTTCTACCTACTCTTTAACAATTTCCAACTGAATAAGGGTTCTTTTGCATACATGCCGACATGTATACAGTAGGCTACCTCTATTTTCCGTCCAATCCGAACAACTAGATGCTGTTCAAATTCAGATGCTCCATCCTGCTCCACTGACAAGGGAAACCATGCTGGAAAATCCTGAGGAACGTTCTCAGCCAATACCAGGATTGAATCCGCGATCTCCTGGTTAGAAGCTACTGAGGAAATTTGTGACTTTTTTTCTGGTTAGTGAGCCAGCATCTAAACTGAACCACATCTGTGGCTACAAGATTATTAGAAGACAATCCATGATACGGAAAACTGACAAGAAACAATGCACCGATCTGAGGTTCTCTTGGCTGTCAGCTCAACACTTAATTTGGATAAATTGACATTTTATTTTAAGAAATATTTTTGGATCAACAAGGAAGTATATATATGAAATTAAATTCCTGGATATGAGATGGATTTAAAAAATGAAGGGACACTTTGTCAAACATAGAGTCTTTTAGATGGGACACATATAGGCCTATATAGAAATGAATGGGTGCACTCACAATATTGCATAATATTTCTGTTCTGTGCATAAATTCTCCTAAAAAAATAAATTTATGGCCAGAAATTGTTCCAGGAGCTGGAAAAATCAGGCAAATTAAAGTGGTTGAAGATAATACTACCGGTAGTTATTAAGCTCACAGTTTATCATACATAAACGTATCCCTACAATTTTTACAGCTATTTTTGTATGAATTCAAAACCAGAAATTATAGAAGTATGTATCCCACATTTGTGACTATATTATGTAGGTGATTTGGAGATGGTTTACCTAGCTAGGTACTAATCTTCTATCTGTTCATTTGTACATGTAGACTATCATCCCTTTGATATGTCTATCAGAAAAATAAATCAAAGACCAAATTGATGTGTGTATAATATTTGATGATTTATGATGCTACATATACAAATCATTTCATTTCATTTCTACTCTTTGAAGATCATTTTGATGGTATATTATGTAGACCTACAGGTTTTCATGTGAAAAAAATCTCTTGTTTCCGCTTGAGCTACCTTATTGCATACACACATATCTTATAGCCTGGAAATGATAATAAAATGATAATCATAACATACTAGGTATATATTTTCATTTGTAAATGATTGGTTCTGTAAAATATGTACATTATAATTTGTTATATTGTTATGTGAGCCATTTGAGGAATAAATTTATCATGGCAAAAACTGTATTTCATCAGTCTAAAGTGCATTGAACAGGTTTCACCCTAATTTAATGACCAGATACTCGAAGTTGAATTTCTTGCAAATTTGATAGCAGATTTGACTGTCTGGTTTTGTTATACTATGTCAAAAATGCACTATTGAATAACTAGAATTTGTTTATGGAACCAAAAACATGCACTAAATAAAAGAAGGGTCATTGTGATATAGTCTGTTATATATAATTCATGTTTACATTGTTTTTGCACCTTTAATCTAAAAGTAAATATTTTGTGCAGTTCTCACAACTCCTAGAACATAATTAGTTTGAGGAATTAGGGCCTGAATCATGTCAAACCCAAAGATGTGAATGTGACATATTTATTTTGATGTCGGCTTTCAGATCTCTTGAATCAGTTGTTCAGTTAGGTGATGCTTGGGGCTCCAGTTTTGCTAGTCTCTATTGTTCAGACAAATATTCTACTAGGAGGTTCTGGGTTTCAGAGATAACATGCCTTTATGCAATGTAATGCAGAGTGTTGTTTTTACAGGGTTCACCAACAAGGTCTAACACTTTATGCTATCAAATACATGTAATTTAGCAATTATTGGTGGGACACCTTTGTATGAAATGCATTTTCAATAAAGAATTAAAATTTTGACATTAGAAACTGAGTGTAACCTGATTTTAGTTTTGAAAAGAATCCAATATATTGGCAGTATATTGTTAAATCCTTATCATGTGCTGAATGTATACACCTGATTTCTGAAGTAATATTTCCAATATACTGACAATTTATATAATACATCTTGCCTTCTCAATTAATTTTTTGATGACTTTTATGATATATTTATATTCATGTTTATTTTATGATATTTTACAGAGGTGTGTAATAAAAAATAGATAGGATGAATATATACCAATTACACAAATAGATGAGAATGCAAATTGGAACAGGTAAAACTAATTGATTTTTTTTATATGGTTTATAAAGTGCTTCAAATATATACCATTTAGAGACTCTAAAATACTTCTAAATTAGAACTGGATTAAGAAACATATTATGAAGAAGCTTGTCTTCCAATTATTTCACCGCCATATTCAAATTGTTATACCCTGTACATGTATTGTTGTCATCTGCTTTCTTCTGTCCATCATCAATCCAGGGTTTTTATTGCAAATTGCAGAGTTATTGCCCCATTTAATTATAAACTATAATATGTATGTAAAGCATGTTGAAGCACTTCCACAAAGATCTGAAATAGTCTGTATTTCATTTCATATTTATTTACTGTATATAACCCTATTATACTTTCTTTATACAATGTTCTCTTTTTTATCTTCAAAAAGAAAACAAAATCAAAAACTTTGGTCATGACATTTGATGACCACACCAAGAAAAACTTGTCAAACTAAAGGTAAACAAAACCTCAGTTGCTTTAACCTAAACAAAATTATTTATTCAAAGCTTGTAATTATAATTTCTGACCAGGTTAATGCTGAGTGAACACAGTGAAGTGTTACTCTTGTAAATGGAGTAGGATGATCTACTGGGAAGTTAACAAAAATTGGTATGTATGATTGTTATATCTTTCTACTTACAGTATATTTACAGTTCACATATATTTCTAAAGCCGAAAATATGTATCTTTTAATGGAATGGCTGTTGTTATTATATTATTAAGCACATCTGAGCTGAAAAAGACATTCATGTAGAATGGGCTAGCTTGTACAGAAAGGATAGCACAATTGCTATTACTTTATTTGTCTAAGAGAGATGAAGATGGTAGTACGAAATCACTAGAAACTAATGTAAACTTGAAATGAAATTAGAATTAATTTATTGGAATAGTTTTTTAACCAAAATGTTTTTTAATAGTACTTTTGTTTATGTAAGGTTTTAAACTATATTTAATTTTCATTCTGACATGTTGTGGCTTTAATGGTACTTTTATGTTAAAAGACGTAATTTGACAATGCAGTTAGATCTTCTTTCTAAATATGTATTAAAGTCTCTTTGAAAACATAAATTTTAGCTGAAATACAGTTCCACAAGAAACCCCAATTGAACTTGAAAAAAAAATCTGAAACTATTTTCATAAGGATAATTGTTTTCTGTAATATGAGATTTATTGTATAATAAGCAACTACATTTACAATAAAGACTTATTGTGCAAAATAAATCTAATTTTAGATTAAAATTATATAGAAATGAGCTGTGGAATTATTCATTAAATTTTTCAGAAAAAAACTGAACTCTTGTATACCCCATGCTAAAATTTGCATAAATTGTTACTAGGTTTATGGCTATCCATATCATTACATGTAGTATTGTACCCAGTAGGTAGGTAGGTAGGTATTTAATAATATAGAACAACATAATCTCATCAGTCAAAATAACAGCTAATGCATAAAGATTTAATTCAAATTAAGAATAAATTAACAATATTTATATATGAGATCATGCATTTTAGGGAAGTTAGAAAATATTTGCAGAGATGTAAGTCAAGTTTTTATGTATTTTTAAAACAGGTGATTTGTTTTCTTGTCAGGTATGTAGAGATCTTGTCATACAGGTGAGATAGCTATCTACAGGCTATATGATATACACAGAGTGGACTACCATAGAAATTAGGTGAATGTTCACGACCAGTGGAAACGGATAATAAAATGACAGACTAGTTTGTTGATAAAACGTCTCAAACAATTCAGGTACTGTAATATATTTTTATCAATCTTTTTAAATATAAAAAGACAGGTGCATTATTTTAATTTTTTGTCCATATCACATTTTTTAACTGTTTATTTACGTTATTAACCAGAGGATAAGCAAATGACAACTTTATATTTGGAATAGAATGCTCCATATGAAATGTTACATAGAATTAAGAAATTATAAATACCAATATGTATTTTTTTAAAGGAAATTTTTCTTTAATCATAAAGTCTGTCATTAAGTCAAGTGGTGGGGTTTCAATTTTCTGCTTGTACATGACAAGGAGTAGGCTTGCCTGCCCAACCTTGTGGGTTTTCTTCAGGTCCTCTGGTTTTCCCTAGCTGCTAAAAACCCCTACAGGCAAGCAATACATTAAAATAAAATTATACTATATGTTTGTCCCAAAATGTGTCATGTGGACATTAAACCCAATTTCTCTATCTCTCTGTCTCACTCTCTATGTTTTAGGTCAGTTTTGTTTGTAAATGACCATAATTGATATAGCATACGCTAAAAGGTGCTTTTATTATTGTGTGAAACAGAGTATGTATAAGCTATTGTATATTATACTATAGACTATCTGTAGTCTGGTTGTCAATATATAACATACATCTATATATAAATACATAGACAGATATGTGACATACCTAGCCTATTGTGTTTTATATTATGGTCAATAGAAATAAGTTTACTGGTCTGTAACATAAATGTTTTTAACTGTAATAAGAAACATGATTAACACCTGTTCTACAAAATGATAAAATAAAACCATTTTATCAATAATTATTGAAAAATTATTCTATATGTCTACAACTGTGCAGCATATATTTTATTAAGAGGCTTTTTAGGTAGTTGTAATTTTAATTGGTTTGCTATTAATATTATTTTCTCAAGTTATTCATTTTAACAAATTAACCATTTTAAATTACTTGCTTTATTAAATTATTTGTTTTAATAAATTAACTTTTAAAAAATGATTTTGATTACATTAAAGGGGCTGTACGAAATAACGAAAAAATCTGAAAAAAATTGGAAAAATAATGTAATTAATATTGTTTCTTTTGGTATTTAGTGATTTTTCAGTAATTAGGGTTTTTCAGATTTTTTCGCCAATTAGTATAAAAAAAGTTTTTCAGATTTTTTTGGTATACAGTACAGTCGATATAAAACTTAAAAAATAAGAATTATTATTTAAATTATAGGGAAATAAAAGCTGTAAAGTATAATTTGTTATATGATAGATTAAGAATGTAGGTTAAATAAATCTGTGATATATATTCAATGGATATTTAATTGAAAAAGACTAATAGTAATATAGCAATATAAAAACCTGATAAAAAAAATAGATAGAATTAGTAGAATTCCAATATTTTGATTGAATGAACTCAAGAAATGAAATATATTAGCACTTGTTCACTCATTCAATTATTTAATGATTGAATTAACTGATTTATTTTAACAAAATACGATTAATCAATCAATTTATTCCTCTAATATCAATAAAAAATGTCTTTCAGTTCATTAATTCAAAGTAGAATATTCTTGAGCTCCTTGGATTATTTAAATTGAACATTTAATGTGTTGGTATGTTATTACTAGGGAAAGCCTATCAAATTACTTCCATATGTTGCCCTGCCATCAGAAATACTATACAGAGACTCTGTATACAGTCCACTACTCTGTCTTTCACACTTGTCTTGACATTTCTTTGTTTGTAAAGTTGAAAGTTTGGAGGTGGAAAGTAAAGATAGTGAAGTGGTGTTGAAAGATTTATATACTTGAGGACATTATAAACCTGCCCAGTGGTATGTTGATATTGTTTATATTAAAGAATGCAGTCACACTAGATGTAATATTAGGTGTTAAAACTATGTGAAGATTATATGTGTACAGTAGTCAGCTAATTTGAATATTTAAAGGTACAGTTATGAATATTAAGGGTAAAAATATAAATCATTTTTATTGTGGAAGATCTTTTGCTTTGTAAATCTTAATAGTAGATTATTAGGTTCAATGAGTTTCTAAAGGCAGCTTAGACTGGATAATGATCTATTCAAGAAAAATTAGAAGTTTGTTACCATTATTGTGATGTTGAAGACAAGTGTGGATACAAATAGAACGGGTGTTCAGGAGAACACGGGTATGCATGTTCTTTTAAGTATTTTTTCAAAATGCACATCTTCTTTTATTGGCTACACTTCATATGAATTTTCAAAAGAGCTATGTAGATGAATAGTAAAACTGTAGATGCCTATTTTAGTCTATACAGTCCATCACCTGAAGATTTTAGATGGATACATAATGAAAAATTCCCATTGATATATACCTTAAACCTTTTTGACTAATTCACTCATTTTATGATTATTTTGTATGGCAAATTGGATATTTATGATTAATATTCTACTGGCAATTTCAGCCTGGATCAAGAATATTTATCATGTTCAAGTTTCAAAGAATAGCTAACAACCTGCAAGTGTGTATCCAGGAAATGTTAGAGGGATCCGACAGGACCAAATGAAAACAAAAAGAGCCCGTATAAAAATTCATTGGAAACGGGCCATTTGCTCTTCTAATCGACAGATTTTTAGTAAATATTTCTATTATATTTTGTTTAGTTTAAGTCTAATTTTAATATTTGTGAATAGAAATGTGCATGTTAAACTTTGGTTCCCCCCTCCCTGGATCCGACCTTCGAGTTGAAGGCATTTTGTAACACTCTCATTTAATATGTAGGGTTTTTTTTTTTTAAAGAACATGTACATATACACATATAATATTTAAATTATCTGGAATACCAGACAACAACATGATTTACAAACCAACATTCAATTTATTCCAAATCAGATTCTTAAAATAGTCATATAGAAGAAGCATTTCATGATTAGATATCCAGATTGTAGTAAATGGTTTAATCTCTGTTTCAAATAGTTGAAACGTCAGATTAGATGCAGATGGTCTTGAAAACATATTTAGATTTGATTTATAAATGGATAGCATTGGTTGCATATATTATTAGTTCTGATAATTACCAGTATTAATCATTCTCAATGTACATAAATAAATAAACTTCTGTCTGTGCTTTGAAGTCTATTTTCGTCATTTGCAATATGGTTATATGAATATATTAAAACCAACCACATCCATTCTTTGAGTGAAACCATACTATATTATTGTCATCTACAAACCGCATCATTTCTCAAATAAAATGTTTGAAAACTCTAATTCTTAAATTAATTGACTACCAAAGTAACATTTGTTTACATTAAATGACATTATAGAGAGATAAACAAAAAACACATCTGGAAATTCAACAACTAGTAAAGGCTAATATATGATTACAAATTATTCTGCCAATTTAATTGCCAATTAAATTTAGGTATCGCTGTATATAAAGAAAAGTAATTCATTTCGTAAAAAGTATCTGAATGTTTCAGTTTAGAAAATACCATGTGATCATGGTTCCTTTCAAATATTTCAAGCCAATGTAGTGTGAAGATTATATTCATTCAATTGACTATCAATTAAAATCTGCTTGAATTATGCTATCTTTTCGTCAAATATCTGTGTTTGTTATTTTAAGCTACATTTTATTAATATTGTTTTCTTAACACTTAAATCAAATTTAACCATCTGGTGGGTATAATCAGACTTCTCATTTCAGATATATTTGCTGGTCCTGACTGACTGGGCATAAAATCGACCATCTAGACAACTTACATGTCAGACATTTTACATGTCATATAAAATTAGAATTTATATCATTTAAGTGTAAAAGTACTTTGAAATATATTTGGATCACGCTAAACAATTGTCATATTCTTTTGGAAAATTATCTTGCTAATTGGAGTTAACAAAATAAGGCTGGCAGTATTTTGAAATGAAAACCATGGTTACAACGTACAACAGTCATGTTTTTAGGAACTGGATTTCAATTCCTGTCTGTACCTGTCAAGGATAACGACTTTACAGTTAGCAAAACCTAGTATATAAGAATATTCAGGGGTTCGCATAGCTAATCTTTTAATAGTTGGAATTTGTAGAAGATTATAGTTTAAATGTTCAAAATTGGTTGTAGATTTACAAGTTAAAATGTCTAGTGTGATTTTCTGTTTACTGTTACCTACACCCATGCAAATACAGGTAATTACTTTTTAAATAAATGGACAAACAATTAAACTAAATCAGTATAGTTCAAAGAAAATTTCTCATATCAAACAGTTATGGTCTCTGCAAATTACTTTTGTCTGGCTCTAAATATGTGAGGGGGTTGGATGGCCGAATGGTTAGCATGTGCACGCTGTATCATAAGGCCTGTCATTGAGTCACCTGGCGTGGTTTCGAATCCCTGGTTGTATGTGACAAGGAGTAGGGTCGCCTGTCCAACCTCATGGGTTCTCTCCGGGTCCTCCGGTTTCCTCCCACTGCTAAAGACCCCTAAGCGCAATCGAATTATTGAAATAAAATTAAAACCATGTTAGTCCTGATATGACCTAGCTTGTGTCGAGTGGACATTAAACCCCATTTCTCTCTATCTCTCTAAATATGTGAAGAAAAGACATATGTTAGTCTAAAAATAATCATAGTGTTGTGTTAAGCAGTAGCTTGTTTAGCTGATTAGTTTGTTATTGATGAGTAGTCATTAGTGTCATGTTAGAGAAATGACCTGCTTTTTCTTTCTAGAACACTTGATACCACTTCTATTTCATTTGCGAACTTCACAAAGCTAAACATTTATTTTAACTAGCCGGTTATTATTACATGGCTAACTGTAACATCAAGTTGACAAGCTTGTTGACAATAAAATAAATCAATTAGTTTATAATATGAGTCAGTGGTAAAATATGTTTTAAAGTATTGACTTCTGTCAATCTACATCAGCTGTGGAACTGTGCATATAGTTAGTAAGTTAGTGTTGTACAACTTTTATCTACATAGAAAGTTCTTTAAACATACATTATGCAAGAGCTAAATCTGCCTATTGCAGATCCTTCTTTAGGCCTGAAATGTTTTCTAAATTATTAATTAGACATTAATTAACTTATCCAGGCCATAATCAACTCTCGATGGCATCAGATTTTGATTTAAGCTAAAAATGGAGGAGCGAGACTTAGCTTCGAAAAACCAGTACGGTGGTTGAAATTATTGCACACGTCTTGTCAAACCTTCATTTTACATTATCTATTTTCGAACTATTATAGCAAGAATGGCTAGTTCTTTATCTAAATCTAACATAATGTATCTTTAAATGTTTTGTTGGGAAAATTCATGGTGCTTTGCAGTATTTGCTGAATAATTGTTCTTTGTTGAAACTTCATATAATCCAGGCATGTAGAATTTTAGGATTATAATGCATTGTTTTCGTAAGTTAACAAATTTGAAGATCTTGTAAAAATCATAATAGAAAATTGTAGTTGTTGTTAAAATTAGTCTTGAATGTCATTCTGTGGTTACTTTGGGTATCCTTGCTTCAAATACAGAGTTTGTTTAGTGAGGGATCCACATTGGTCTGTGAGTATGACACTGGCTCACTCACCAGAAGGTCCTGGTTTTGACAGTTTGAAATTGAAATAAGAGTAGACAATAGTGTCTTTGTCCAGGCAAAGTTTTCTCATAGCACTTATGCCCGTCTTCATTAGTCTCGGTTGGTGCAGAAATGTAGGACGTTCAACCAGATCGGTAAGGCGTTAAACCACAATGGTAAGGCACATTAATCATGTCATACTTGATTATTAACAACTGTTTCCATTGGTCTACTATGTTCACTACTAGACCAATCAAAATAGTTGATACAGCCATTTTGAAATGTTCATTTCAAACTAAGTGCATTAGCAGGGAAAGTTCAGTAGGATTGTATCAGTTCATAACAACATAAGCAAATACCATGGGCCAGGTTCCTGGAGAAAAACATTTTTGTGTTCAGGAGAAATCAGAAATCAGAAACATGATTTTACATTGTAGAAAGATATGGTTAATGATGTGATAATGCTGGTAATCATTGTTTCAGGAATAAGAGATATATGCACAGTATAAGAACTGCAGTAGCTCAGTGAGTAAAACAGTGGCTCACTAACCTGGAGGTCCTGGGTTTGATCCTTGTGTTGGCCAGGAAAGTTTCTTGAGATTTTCAGCCGTTGTTTCCCCTAGTCAGTGATGCAGGACAAAGGGTCTTGCCAGGAATAGTATCTAGTCGTTCGGATTCTATGAAAAACGTGAAATCCTGTGTTCTCCTTGACATGCAAGTAAAAGATCTCTTGACAGTTGGAATTCAATTGCTGACCAAGAAATATTTCCTTCTTAGCACACTATATAGTGTATGCCCGTCTACATTAGCCCGATTGGAGCAGAACAGTATGACGTTAAACCCCTTTCATACTGTTGATGTAACTATACTTCATTAATTTCATAGGGTACATAATGTTTAGAGATATGTAAGCTTACATCATATGAGTAAAATAGGTGTTTTAGAAATATGTAAGCTTACATTATATGAGTACTTTAGGTGTTTTAGAAATATGTAAGCTTACATTATATGAGTACTATAGGTGTTTTAGAAATATGTAAGCTTACATTATATGAGTACTATAGGTGTTTTAGAAATATGTAAGCTTACATTATATGAGTACTATAGGTGTACATGTATATATGTATTACCTATATTTGTAATGAGAGAGTATTGATTATTATAACTAGATGTATTGTTAGTCAGATATATAGTATACTCAGCTTATTGTTTACATACTGTTAGTAGGTATAAGATTTATATATACCTATATATTACTCACAGTATATATTATTGATTGGATGTTGAAAAACATATTTTACAATTTTAGCTTAACTTAATGGAACATATTTTAGTTATGATAATTTTTAACACAGTAGAAATTGATGGCAGTGTATTTGCAGAATCTTGATTTTTAGAAAGTCACATAGCATTTTAATTTAATGATGGAATAATTGCTGGCAATATATCAGATCTTTTCATGTGAAGGTATGGATCGCATGTGGGTTTCCTGTGTTAAATCAGGACACTAGAAAGCCCTATGTTAGAATGTAGTAATTCATGTTATTCATCCCACAACCTGACATGGAATCCATATGTTTATACCTTTTGAAATTCCCCCAACTTGGAAAAACCTGTAAGTTTGAAAATGGAAATGGGTCCCATATTTTGAAAAAAATCTGACATTTTGTGTACACATTGATCGCACATGTAAAGGGAGCCTCCGCATTTGGAATTCTAAGTACAGTAGACATAAATGTTTATTGGTGGAAAACTAACTGTATTTTGTAACCTTGGGATATTTTACTATTGATTTCAGGGTCTGCAGTACAATGGAAATAATAATATGTATATCACATCTTTCAAATGCTGGTAAATCATTAGTGTAAACTTGACACTAATTTCACCAAACACATAATATTCCTGGTTATATTTATATGTGCTGTGTTATAAAGTTAGTAAACTTACCTTGATTAACCAGACACAAGGCATGATGTACATGAACAAAAAGTTGGATTTCAATCTGAATAAAGATGAAAAACCTACTAATACTTTTGATTTGGGGCATTGAGAGCTCCCAGAGCAGCTTTTTTATAACACAGCTGTAATATCTGACCATATCCCTTAACAAGGCATTAAACCACAAGGGCAAAGTATCTAGTGATCTGGTTGTTAATAAATATAAGATTCCAAGATCTACACTAAAATCACCTCAGATTACCAAATTTTAGTCTCAAAATCTCCCTTCATAATATTGCCGGAATTTACAATGCATTGATCTTAGGCAACCTTACAGAAATGATTTGCTAAGGCTAAAACTTTAAAATAAACTGATTTGATTCAAAACTTTTTTTCATTATTTCAGGTGAATAAAGATGGGAAATTCTCTAAAGGTGTCCGAACCGTATATAGTTGATGAATATGGTTCAGATGAAGATGATGATTATTATTCTGCGTATGAAACTGGTTTAGAAGATAATGACACACAGGATAATGCAGATAGTCTAAAGACGCCTGTTGGAGCGGGGCGACAAATATCAGTAGATGCAGAAGTGGTTAGTAAGTTGGTGTCAGAAGTGGAAGATCTGATGTCACATCTTAACAACCAGAATTATGATGCAGCTTACACGGCTGCATTGAATTTAAAACAAGGTGGAGTAGGAGGTAAGAAATGAGACATGATGGTAAAAACTTAATATCTGTAGGCCTACAAATCTTTTTGTAAAGTCGTTGGACAGTAACTAAATTTACTGCATTGATTATATATTCAATACCATAATATCAAACTTACATAATCTCCTGGCTTGGATTTAATCTGATTAAAAAGAGGCCTATCAAAATATTTTACCCAAGCCTTATAGTTGGCGCTAGCTTGTTGGGAAATTCTCAATAATAATCTTAGTAAATACTGGACAGCATTTTTTTGGCTGATATACCTTTTGGAGATTCAACATGCACAAAATATTGTAGTGTGCAAGCTAGGGATGCAAAGTCACCCAAATAATGATCAGTGGCTTTGATAATTCTAATTCTAATAGTGTTGAGTAAGAATGCACAATTTTTGATTACTTATTATTTAAAGGTACTCTAGAGAATGGCTCACCTAAAAAGCCTAAATCCAGTATCCCCATCAGCAGACTTCCTTCAGGTCCAAAACATGATACTCAAGCTCATGCTGAAAACAAGAGAAATGAAACGATACAAGCCAGACGTTCAACATCAGATGACCCAGAGATCAATGGAGGCGAGCCATCGTTTGTATCACACAATTTTTCCGATGATCTTGTCAGTGAGAAATTAATGAAAAGTTCTGACAATCTTTGCGAAGGAATAATTCCTGAAATAACATTAACAATGTCAAAAGCTTCAGTTCAAAAAACTACTTCTTCCGCCAGTGCTAATTCAGGTGGAGATAACTCAGATGCTTTTGAAACTAAGGGAGGTAATTCTTTAGGTTATGTTAATGGTGTAGGGACATGTAATGATATTAATGGGCATGTGCAAGATAAAGGTGTAGAACATGGTGATGGTAGTTTAGTGTGGGAAATTGATGTTGGAGAATTAAAGGAGAGACCAAAACCTTCAGGTATATTAATCAACTTACCTTTTGGACTAGGAATTGGTCCCCGAGCACTACTCATTTTCTTGTTCTTCTTGGGGCGACGCTCTTCGAAAAGTTACACCAATTCAAGTACGATCAACATGAAACTTTGCATGCTTGTTACTTGAACAATTGCTCATCAATAGTTAATACGGCGTCACAATTCCAAGATGGCAGCGATATGTCATGCTCGGTTCCTGGTCCATATACTATCTTCTTTGAATGGCATTTAGCGATTGAACATAATATAACACAACACAGTTCTATGCATAACAATCATTCGCATATTTCCTCATTTGTAAATTTGTATGCTTGATAACGACTAGTGAAATCTTGTTGAAACGTCGTATGTAAATATATAGTGATTGTTATCCATAGATCTGCGTTGTGTTATACCATACTATCTTGCTTTTTGCTTGTATAAATATTATAAAACTATATTCAGCTGCTGTACCCTTTATTTAAATGATTGATTCTCTTCATTTGTAGCTCTTGGCTGTGGGACTCTCATCTAGTTAATGTAGTAGCTTGATTTTATTTTTTGCTGTAATGTATATTTAACAAAAAAAGGCTGAGAGATGTCCTCTAAAAGATTTAATTAAAAACCTATGTTTGATGCCATCTTGACTTCATGGATAGAAACAAGTTTTTCCTCAATAGATGATTGACGTTTTACAACAGAAAAGCATTACCACATAAATGAGAAAGTTAGCTGGCAATAAATTGGGCTACTTTAGGTAGATGTTCATAAATTTTGGATCAATATTCGGGATTACTTTTTAATGAAAGTCTATATTTGCCTTTTAGTCTGGTCTGGAACATTTTGTCTAAAAATTAAAATGGTTTTATCATCAACAAACATAAGTCTACATCCAGTTCATTTAAGATACTGTTTATAATAATAAACTCTTAATTGTTTGCTTATTCTAATATACCGTAAAATGTGTGTTATGTTAACTTTACCCAAAGGGGGAAGCTACCATTCATCAAGTTCCAGAAAGAACTAGTAAGGACTTGTATAAAACACCTGTCATATATAACGCCAAGTTAGGTTCATCAATGTGTTGAACAGCTGCTTTTAAATGGATGCAGGCCTAAAAATTTGCATCTCTCCCAGATCTAAACATTTGAGTCCTTAAAGATTCTTGCAAAATATTTGTCAAATTTTCAATATACAAAGGACGATATAGTATGCCAAACCTCCAATTTATTTTTTTAATTGATCTTGAAGTTTAGTATCCAAGATAATCCTAGTTATTTCTTGCGAAAATGGGTAAATTATTTTGTCGGGAATGAAATAAAATGGATTTAATTAAAGGTATTAGTCGTATTAGAAGAAGAACATGGAGTGATCAAGAACAGAAGATAGATCAGTGTTTATCATCTGATATTACAGCTACAACTGATGATATAGCTCTTAGAAAACATCTAGATCTTAAACGATGGTAAGACAATATTAAAACACAGACATCAGCCTACCTAAAAAGCCCAGGTGTCCTGGTAGCTATTATGAACTTACATAACAATGGAGATAACTGCCGTACGATAAAAAATTTCTAAATTTAAATATTGCGATTTATTTATTTTTTTTGCCACAATGTAAAATCCCACCATAGTCACAAAATTAAAAGTAACAATATAACAGAAATTTTGCTTTTGTCAAATTTTGAAATTTACAATCTGAATTTCAATTTGGTTCTTCCTTATGTTCACAGAAAATGTATACCACCATGTCCAAATTAAATGTGGTTAAAAACAAAGTCATGGGTATCACAAAACCATCTTTTATAGCATCTAAAGTGAAAAACTTACTTCCTCTGGCATATAAAAACAACAACAGTAGGATAATAACTTTCAGCAGTTCAATGCCTATTATATTGTCTAGTGTTATATGTGGATTATAAAGAATTTTATACTGATATATTACACCCCACCAACTGGGCTTATCAGTCTGTACATCAAGCTAAGCATCACAAATATGATTAAGTAATGTTTTATTATGTAGGTACTGTATTTCAAGACCCCAATATAAAAAGTCCTGTGGTGCATCATCTCTGGTTTCTTGTTGGAACTATCTGTTTTCTACATTAGGTAGTGGTAGGTAGGTACATTTACACATTTTAACCTAGCTAGTAAAAAAAAATAGGTTAAATACACTTGGTCACTGTAAGTATGATATGTAGGCCTACAAATCTCAGTATGTGTCGTTGGAATCACTGGAAATGAATTGGGGTTTAACATCCTACTTTTCTTTACCAACTGGGCTAATGAAGACAGGCATACATCCTACTCTTATTTCAGATTTCATAGTGAAGCCAGCCAGAACTGAAGTATAGTGTTAACTTAATGTTAAATCCTGTTCCATTCCTGTGCATTCACAAATTGCCAGACTGTATCTAATTATAACATACACTATGTCCTCAGTGTATTTCATGATGCACCCTCAATAAACAACCAGATAATTTATCCTTACTAGAAACATGTAAATGAAGCTTATCCTTAAAAATGTTATTTCATTTCGAATTCGATCTTATTTCAGTCTTCCACCAATTACACAAGAACAGGCATTAGCAATTCTTGGTTTTAATCCACCATTTTCTGAAATCAGTTTTGGACCATTTACTGGCAATGTTACATTATTAAGGTAACTATAAACATTTGTTACCGGTAATATTACATTATTAACACTTGGGACCAGGTATCATTCAGATTTGACGAAAAAAAGAAAGAAGCTGAGCTTACCATCAAGAATCTAATACTTGTATCCAGTTAATAGATTGCCATCCGGAAAGTGTTAAATGTTGTCAAGATTCATCAAAAAACATCCAGTTTGTGCTACCGTGAATCAGGTTTAACTTCCTACTGTTCTGCTCTGACTGGGCTAATAAAAATGGGCATTCACCAAACAATGTGCTATGAGGAAAATTTGCCCAGACGGTGGCGCTACGGCTTACTCTTATATCGATTTCCAAGGCTTCTTTACGAGCACAGCAATGTGTACACAGGACCTTGGTTTTCGTCCCAACCGAACAACTATACATTGTTCCTGGCGTGCCGCCCCGTTCCACTGATGAACTTTCTCGGTCAATACAGGGGCCTGTTTCACAAAATTTTAACTAAGATAAAATCCAAATTGGATTGGATAATATTAGATTGATTTTAGTGCTTAGCCAATCAAAATTGAAGTATCTACTAAAATTTGGATTTTATCTTTAGTTAAGATTTCGAGAAATAGGGCCCAGGGATCTAACACGAGACCTCCAGGTTAGTGAGGCAATGTCTTACTCTGCATTTATGAATCTAATTACAAGGGTATATATTATTTCATTTGCACAAATAATTATTGAGAAAAATAAGGTACAGAGTGAGAAAGAAAAGGTACATGACATAAAAAAGAAAAAAATTCTTCATCATTCGAATATGATAGTGGATATTATTTTCCTCACTTGGAGCACAATAGACATGGTGACACAATAGACATGATATGAAAAGTGACCTCCAGTTACCCCAGATAGGCGCCAAAATGATGCTAAAGACCATGTATCTTTCAAAACATTAGGGACCCCCACAGACCCTCCATAAGAAAAGAGCAGGTCACAGGCAGGGATGTGAGGAAGAACTGAAAGCATATTAAGTTCAAAAGGTACATTGTGGAATAATTACACCCTTGTCAATTAAAAACTGTTTCTATTCATAACAAGCCTGCCGTTTCAACCCTTTGAACATCATTTTCATTGTTACTTAACATATAAATAATATGAAATGCAAAATATGTTAGCCAACTTTCAAAGTATATTTGTATTTTTGTTTTCAGTTGGTTTAGAATACTAAATGATCACTTTAAAGTTAAAGGGAGATGTTTCTTTACTTACAAACCAGTGGGTAAGAATAGAACATCTGGAGTAACACCAGACGATGCTTTAAGTACTTTAAAGAAAGGATTACAAGATCCAAATTCAGCATTTATATATCACTGCCAGAATCATTACTTCTGTCCAGTGGGTTATGAAGATGTGCCACTACGCTGTGAGGATGCTTACAGGTTTGGACTTTTGATCATACATGTTGAATCTTTTGTATTTACATATAAATATGTTACATATGGCTATCCCCTTTTTATCTGCTTTTCAAAAATTTAATAAAATCTTATTTTACATTCAAATAAAATGGATTAAATTTGTAATAAAACCAGGAATTCTATCATGACTTTAAAGGAAGCAAGTCTTTAACTCAATATCATCCGCAGTCTTCGACATTACAGAGAAGACTTATTGGTCAAATTAAATCAACACTGATGTTTTTATCTTACTGTGAATAGATGGGCTTCTAATATCCAATATTTAAGACAAAATGAAAATTTTAAAATTATGAGTGATTGAGTTCCAATTTCGTGTAAATCAGACCAAAACTGCCTGACAAAATGGCGACTCCATGTACTCAAAAAATGTAAAAGTGTATCATTCCAAGGTTGTGGACCTTGCATTGAAAGTGATGAAAAAGTTTCATATTTTTATTACCTTGAAAACCACAAACCCTTGAAAAAAATTTGTGGTGTGTTTCATGTGTGTGTTTACGATGAAGATAGGTTATCTCGCTTTTAGTGTGCTTTTTCCACAAAATTTCATGCTGTATTAATCTTTATGTTTCAGAGGTCTATTACCGCAAGATTTTGTTGAAACATGGATATTGATAGGTGATACCAGTAGATGTCATCCTTCTATACATTGTAAAAGGTACAGTTTTCCGTTAAATTTGTTTAAATCCTACCCTTAAAAACGATCCCATCAATGTTATGTAAATTCGATCAAAAACTGTGTATAAAAAGCAATACAGTAGGATGATAAATATTATTATTTGAAATTAATACATGTTAGTGTCATTTGTATTTTTACCAATAATAAAGTGCTATCTTAAGCTTTTACGTTTACAGCATTTAATTTGATTTTGATTATATTTTTAGGTGGTCAGATGTCTCAGCGGATTTGAATAATAAGAACCCTGAATATCTTGATATAAGACGACTGTGGAAGGGTACACAAACGCGAAATAAAAAAGGTGGTAACTTACACTGTATCATGGCTTTCCAAAAAGTTAACACACAACCGCGCAGATCTCAAATACCAAGATCGCATTTGCCGGTTAGAAAAGGTGGAAGTGGGGCTGACAAAAGTCCATGTCGAGTATCATCACCACGAGAAACATCATCTGTATCATCAGTGACAGAAGAGGAGGAACCACTTTATGAAGAAGAAGAGTTTGATAGTGGAGATGAGATTAGATCTGATGCTGAATGAAACTAAGTTCCCTGTACAATACTAGAAGGAATATTATTGATATTAAATACAGTATGATATTGACATTCGAAATATGTGGTGGACTTATAGGAGTATTCTTGAGATGTGAAATATTTAAATAACATGGATATATTCAATTTCAACTAATAACGTGTGTAGAAACAATTTTATATTACATATATGCAAAAGACTTAACTGACTAACATAATAGTCATACATGGATGTCATATTCTTCTTGATTTATTGAGTACTACCCTACTTATATTTTGAAATTATTCAGAAAAAAAACGGCTTATGACTAGAGCTCACATTCGAGTCACATTTTGGTTTTATTTATCAAGTATTTATTGCCACTCTATGCAGTGTCTGGGATGGTATTACTGTTATTATTCACAATTTAAATCACAGTGTAATTTAATGTTCTAGTCTTACCCAGATCGCCCATTTCATGGACAGCAACTAGCAAGCATAAGGAAATTATCCAATCTAATATTAGTCTATCGCCAGGTTAGTTGTTAATTTTTAATTAACCTTACTTTAGAATCAGAGTAACATTTGAATACTGCACTGATTTATGTTTCCTATCATTATAGATTTTATAAAATGTGTAATTTGATTATGCATATTTAGGTTGAATATGTAAAATACATTTATCTCATTTTATTCCAGCCAAACTATACTGTGTCTCTCTTAAATAAAGTCTCTAAAATTCAACACTGCACATTCCATTTTAACATTTTTACAAATTTATTTTCATATATTGTAAATATAGAAGATATAAATGCTGAACATCATCATTTTTTAAAGATTTATAACATCATCAGCCTAATTCCTAGTATGTGCACATGTATTCATTCCACAAGCATTGGGATTGGAAATCAACATATTTAATCCATGACTTGAATAATATATTTATAAGAAAACAATTGGAATATATGATGTATATTCTGTCCGAGGTCATAGCTTTTTGTAGTTTATCTGTTAGTTTTAAATGAAACAAATATTTTCTTTTACATTACATATGTAATTTTTGTTTACATTTCATATGGAAAAAGTAAGGACTATATAAATGTCAAGACTAAAGTGCCTTACTTAATGTACATGTTAGTTCATTAGTATGTGTAGTTACATATCATATTCAGATTTATTTACATAATGCTAATAGTATGTATCTTATATTTCATAATTCAGTTGTTATATATTTCTATTTTGCTGGTATCATAATTTTATTTAAAATTTTAATTTATGTTACTAATACTTTTGAAATGCAATAAATATTATTTGAAGGAGTTATCTCCCTTTAGTCTTCAACTGTCGTAGTTGACTGATATTTAAAACCTGTTAAAACTCAGATAGGTAACTGGATAGAATAAAGTCAGTGGCATTTTCGTCACATAGGCACTATCTAGGTCATAATAAAGATATGGACGGAGAACTGGGAAAATCGGTAGTGCTCTACTCATCCTATTATTGACACATTGCTTCACAAGGTCACAAAGCAGTGAATCATAACACCAATGCTTCACACCACATTTGAAACAGATCTGTTAAAAAAACATTAGCCTCTATTACATTAGGTTTTTGGCAAGAGAGGAACCGAGAACTGGGAAAATAAGTAGTGCTCATCCTTTCATTATCCCAATGCTTCACATTAAAATCGATAAAAATTGTAGCCTCATCACATTCACGGGGTCTTTGGATGGTAGGTCACAGCCACAGACTGCTGAATATCTTGTAACCCAAATACTTCACACCAAATTTGAAATAAATCTGTTAAAAAAAACAGTAGAACTAGCCTGGAAATAAGGCACCTGTCACAGACAATGTCAGGCACAGATTCAGGCACTGTCATTTTGTCCGGCACTGATTTGTCTTTTTATACGCCCACATTTTCATGTGGACATATATTGTCGTCGTCCGTCCGTCCGTCCACAATTGTTTGTGAACACTCAGTAGAGGTCACAATTTTTATCCGATTTCAACGAAACTTGAAATATAGGTTTATCACCCTAAGATCTCGGTTACTTTCGATATTGGCATGGGTAGGACTGTAACTTCATGGATTATGGCCCTTGATTGTACGAAAAATCACGTTTTTAGCTTGTGAACACTGTAGAGGTCACAATTTTTATCCGATTTGGTTTAAACTTGAAATATATGATTATAACCCAAAGATCTCAATTCTTTTTCGATATTCACGCATATTGGACCATAAATTCCTGAATTATGGCCCCTGATTGTACGGAAAATCGTGTTTTTAGCTAGTGGACCCTATAGAGGTCATAATTTTTATCCGATTTAAAAAATCGTTTTAGTATATCACTGTTACACCCTAAGGATGGCTGAGTTCGAATTTCATGAAAATCCGACCAATATCATTTTGACAACAAAATGAATTTACCTTCCAAATATTGCTGGTTTGTCATAAAGACCCTTAATGTACTTTGTTCACAAGCTATTTGTCCATATTTTGGCTACATCGAAGGTAATTACTCAGCAAATTATTCATCAACTATCTTCAAATTCATCTGAAATATAATTAGTTTCCTCAAAACCGGACGAGAAGTGTGGACTGAAATGCATTATTTTGGACGAACTGACAGGGGAATGACAATCTACGTCCACATTCCAGCTTTGATTGATATGGTACTTTTTAAAATGAAGAGAATGAAATATGAAATGGCTGTAATATGATAAGAGGCAAAGAAGGCTAGGCAATGTGTTTGTTTTGCCAAATTTACAGACAAAATACTACCAGGAGGTCGGGGCAAGCATCAAAATAAATAGTTGCTGTCTTTACAGTATAAGGAATAAATATGCAAAGTTCCAAGATGATCCATTCAGAATTGCAGCCTGTAGACGATAAATACAAAAAATGGGCGTGGCTCTGCCCCTGGGCGTTAGGCATGCGCCCCAAACGATAGGGATGTTCCTTTGGGTACAAAGAATAAGTATGCAAAGTTTCGAGATGATACGTTAAGAAATGCAGTCTGTAGACGACAAACAAACAAATACAAGAAATGGGCGTGGCTCTGCCCCTGGGGGTCGGGCATGCACCAAACACAATCGGGATCATCCTTACACATATGCGTTGAAGTTCCGATAGGGTTAAAAAAAAGTTCCCCACTCGATTTCTTTTTTTATCGGAGACTTGGCAATTTATCTACCACCAAAATAGAAAAAATAAAATTTTTCATCGAGCCCTTTCTATAAAAACAGTAAATATTCATTTTTTCAATGTGACTTATCGAATCAATCCAGTATTTCAGATATAACAATCCGTAGAGCAAGTCCTGTCAGTTCGCAGTTTATGTATGCCTTGAACAATATGTTACAACACATTTTAACAGTTTTTTTTAGCGTATTCCGGATGTCTCATGTCACGCTTATACCCCCCACTTTCCCATGATTTGCTGAAATCAGAGTGAACAGACTCCGATGCCTGCTCACTCCAAAATCCGAGCCCGCGATTGAAGGATTGCCTCTCCGTAGCTGGTAATCGACTCTGGTGGGGAACTTTTTTTTAACCCTATCGGAACTTCAACGCATATGTGCTTAGGGTATAAGGAATAAATATACCAATTTGAAGAAAATCGAGTAAGAATTGCGAACCACAGACACACATACACAGACAGGGGCGACGACATAATACATCCACATTATGAATATGGACGTATAAAAAGTGGCAATTGCGATAGTTTTCAGACCAGACTGTCCCCTAAAATCTGATTCACACATTAATTATGGCTCCCATCACTGACCACAAATTTTCTACACATCACAATTGTTCTTTTTAGGTATTCAGCCATCGAAAGCTTTTAAATTTATTAATTTCTCTTCTGATTCAAAATACTTCAGAAAGTTGCTGAATGTCATGACTATGATTTATTACTTACCATACTAATGTTTAAAGAGAAACAAGCTGTTGTTGAAATATGACAGTTTATAACTGATCAGATTATTGATGATAAGCTGGTGGTTTTGTGGGTACAGTAATGAGAGATTTAGGTTCAACTCAATAGTAATTTTATTCAAGACTTTAACGTTTTATTAAATTTTCTACAGTGAAGTAATTGTAAGATGTAAAGGTGAGTCTAAGTTGAAAATCAAAATGTTAACCTTTATATGAATTCTTTAAAATCATTTCATGATACACTGATCCTTATCAACTGAATTGCTTCATCATTCATTGATATTTCAGCATTAAATCCACAGAAATCCACATTAAATCCAAAATATGGTTAATCATTTGTTAAAATTATTCATTTTTCTTGTCGGTCGTAGTATTATAATTGGATTGAATAACATAACGTTGAAATATGTGCACATTATTCCAAATTTTAAAGTAGAAGATTAAAAAAGATACTATGAGCATGGGTAAAACCATATAAAAAAGACCTGCTTGTAAAAAGTTAGTATCAATAACAGTTTCCATGGTAACAATTTCATGGCAGTCGTCTGTGGAAGCAGGCATATTAACCTGAGAAAGAATGTTTTCTTCAGGAATTAAAGAAATACAGATAATATACGGAGTCTTCTCTATCAAATTTTTTATCACATATTTTCCAAGATGTGGATGCATGATTGATTTCTTCTTCAAATTCCTCTTCCCAAACGGATGAAAGGAAATGTGAAGAACGTCTGAAAGACCTAAGGTAGATTTCCATTCAATATAGATGAAAGTATCCCCGATTTTCTTTATTCTAACATACAAGTCATTAATTTTCCATGTATACTTATCTTCTTCAATATTCTCTGACTTAATCACTTCTGATTCGACACAACCAAATAAAAGATCATCAAGCACATCCCATGATTGCTTTTGGAGTTCTGTAGGACTAGCACACACTGGAACAAATCGAGCTGGATCCACATTTACCAAATTTTTCAAGTATTTTCGGCTGTCATAAAATTCTTTCAACCACAATAATTCACAGTCACAATGAAATGGATTTCCGCCTATCATAAACATTTCTTGCGGGTATAGATCACCACTTTGCAGTTCTGGAATTTTTCTTATTTTATTATTTGATATGTCCAGCCATTCCAACATGGGTAATCGAATGGGCAAAGATGTCATTAAATTGTCGGATAATGAAAGTATTTTTAAATTGTCATTAAAACTATTTGGGAAAACATTATCTATTTTATTCCAAGACAAATCCAATAAAGTTAAAGAATGGAAATTGATAAATATATCATCAGAAACCCCTGCCATGGAATTGTTAGAAAAAGATAATTTTTTAACATTTCCAAACACTTTATGTAAATGTAATGGCATGTTTTTTATCTGGTTTGCCCGAAATGTTACAGTGTCTAATTTACTAAAAATCACAGTTTGATCATCTGTATTGCTTATGGTTTCTATCTTCTCAATGAAATTAGAATCAAACAGTAAACTTTGTAAATTCACAAGATTTAAAATACTATTAAAATCTACAGTTTTTATTTTGTTAAAGCTTAGCCTTAACGATTTTAATGAATTTGGTAAGTTACTGGGTACTGAGCTCAGCAAATTGTTAGAAAGATTTAAAATTTCTAATTTTGAAAACTGAAATGAAAAATTATAAGGTAAACTATTTATTTTATTCTGACTAAGGTCCAAATTCTTCAGATTTGAAGGAAACCTTGTGGTTATATCAGTAATTTTATTGTAGCTAACATTTAATGAATATGCTTTTTGAAGCAGGTTTTCTTTGATGTCACTTAAATTTTGAAATGAACAGTCTATGTTTACTGCTCCAGCAATCACAGCACAATTACATTTTTGAGGACACGCATCATATTTTGCTGCACACAATATGTTTATTATCCAAAGAAAAATCCATAGTTTATAAATCAATTTTCGATTCATCTTTTAAATGGAGTTATCTCCCTTCATACATAACTGTGCGTATTTTAGAATTTGAACTATTCAATCTGAAAAACATTAAGCATAGGAATTATAAATCATAATGGCTCCTTGGCAATGATGGACACATAAATAATATATGCTCACTGGCATCAGTTATTCCTAAATTATTTAGAGAACAATTGGTAAATCATTGATACTAAGCCTATTCAATTGACTCAATTGGATCCAATAATTAGTTGCTTACACGATTAGTATTGCACAACTTATAGGCTATATATATATATATATTACTCTTATCACAGGAGCAGACACAGACCTAACTATGCTTATAGGAACTAGTTATGATGAAATGGAGAAATTATGATATTGGACTAATTTTAAAAAAATATGGGAATGGTGCTGGGTGGCAAATACTACAGAACCCCACCTTGATGCATTTGTCAATTTTCTGAACCTTAATTCAGTTCAGTGGTTCTCAACCGTTTTGTACGAATGGCACACCTTGAAACACATGAAAAAATAGTGGCACACCTGGCTAAATATATATGAAAAATATTTGAATTTTGCAAAATAAAAACATGGCAAGTCAGACAGCATACAACCGTAGACACAGACTAGTCATAGACACATAGAATGACTCGAACTAAACAAAGAAAAACACAGCTATGAACTTATCAGTAGACACAAGTGAATACTCAATTGGGATCATGTGGTTTTTCGCATTTTCTTAGTGTGCCGTTCAAAATTCCGCAACACACTGGTTGAGAATCACTGATTCAGTTAGTTATGCCAAACTGAAGACGAGAGTACCATCGTCGAAATGTTGCATGTTAATAAACCAGTGATTGTTATTCCATAAATAGTGTTTGTGTGAAGAAAATATGATAGCTTCAATAAGAGTGGCAGTCTCACTGCCCCCAGAACTCTCCTACAATAATAAATGTGGAGTGCTAACACCAAACCAGTGATGACCAGTTCAAAGCTACACCAGTTGTCTATTTCTAGATTAATTTACTTTTGTGTGTAAAATATTTCATTAATTTGAGACACAAAATTTGACTGGCAATTAAACATACACCCACAATAGCTCAATCATCTGAGCAGTCAACTAGAGTTGTCGCATATTATTACTTTTGTTTTGTTGGTAATGAAACATTTATAATACACTAAAAACTGATTAAGAGTAACAATTAAGTAATTATCAGAAAATTATTAGAAATTTTTTGGCCCATGCTAACGTTTAGCACCAGTATACAAAACATTTAATATCATGGATTTAGCTGTGATATCAAAAATCATTGAAAATCAATATACTTGTTCATCTTAAGACCTTAAACTCTGTGTATCAATCTAAAGTCAATTGAAACAATTATAATTATATATATAGGTGTAAACACAGTGTATAAATATAAAATCAATCAGATGATAACTATTGTCTCTAAAGCATCCACAAGATCTTTCAAAGTGCTCAAGGGCCATAAATCTGGCAGTAATTATCGGAAATTGTTGATAATCAATAGAATTCTTCGTCTCAGGAGCTTAAACAGTGTATAAATTTAAAGTCAATCGGATATTAACTTTAGCTTCTAGAGTGTCCACAACCGGACGGACGGACAGACTGACAACATTATGTAAGAATTTATCTATTGCAGTTTTTTTTTTTTTTTTGGCTTCAAATGTTACCGGTATATAAATTATTTAGACATTTATTCACATGACAAGCCTATAATTAACTCTCTAGGTCATCAAATGGCACAGATGTAATTGTAAACAGATTGAAATACAGTTGCACTTTAATGATTTAATTTAAAAATAGAGAAGTCAGGCTGAGTGAGTTTCCATTAACCAGTAACATTGCTACGATAATAAACAATCTACGTCAAAACTTCGCTCAGAATAAAGTAATTTGAAAGAAATTTTCAATATATTTATTTTGAATTACCTATTTTGGAACTATTATATCAAGAACAGCGAGCTCTTTATCTGTATCTTACATAATGCATCTTTAATCAATATTGTTTCTAATTAATTATATTTATATATTCAGCTTTTAGTAAGATGTTATGCAATCTATTATTGGAATCTCAGTATACTAATTATTAAACTAAATATTCATACAAAATGTGTTGTTTGTGTGTATGCAATGCATGCTGTTCTTAATGGATGTTTTGATCCAAAGGTTTCTTCATATTTAGTTTTCATAATTAAGATCATTTGATTCCTGGCCTGGAGTAAAAGGCTGGGTTTTTTAATCCATGTGTTGGAGACAGTAAGTCAACCAAACAATCCTAAATTGCTGAATCAAGTGTGTCTGTTTATAATTATTGCATATCTGAGTCATGCTATTTTATGTTTTTTTTATTGCCTTTATTCTTAAGCTTGTGCAAGTCAATTAAAAGTATCACTAAATGACAATTTGGCATTATTACAAAGACAAAACTTTCTTATGCAATATGAAAGGCATTAACGTTTATTATTTTTTATTACTTCGGTACCAGTTTGACTCGGTTTCATATGCATGGGGACGTACAAGTGAAAAAGTAGCCTATCCCTGTTTTCATATGAAACCTATTTTATTATAAGTCCTTGGCTTAAAATTGATTGTTTCCTTTATTCCGTTGTTTTAAATCCAGTATATCTACTTAGGTGTGGTTTTAAGTCTGGTATAATATATAATGCCTACCATTTTATATGCATGTCAAAGATACAGTAGCTTTTGGCATCACTAAAATCAGTACGGTACTGGGCCAAACCAGGTACCGTGTCAAACCACAACACCCATATATTCATTTTGAGCATCTGTTCCGTTATTAATATTATAATTAACATCTACATATATGCATTCAGAATTCAATTAATAAAGATCTCACACACAGACACAGAAGCTAGCTACTAACTTTGCAAATTCGATAAAAGCTTGAAATGGTGTGTGCAATTCAGGCAATTATTTCTAATTATAATGAAATCGAGACTGGTTTAACAGAAGAAGCATTTCAAGAGCACGAGAAAAAATACGTTTTGTAATCCATATGGTGAGGACAAAGCAGAGATCCCTATGGCTATTTCAATCATCAATCAATGGTACGACTACGATGTGACTAACAACATTTAGTTTAAGCATTGCCGTATCATATTGTGCTAGTGCTATGAGAAAGGCTTTTGGAACACTGCATAAGTAACACTACATATGATATCAAAAACAAAAAAGCCAGACTCGAAAGACATGTTATGATCATGTTTACCAACATTCTAGGCTGGAGTTTACAACTTGTTTAGTCGTTAATATTTTGTGTGTCTCGGTGACATAGTCGTAGGGATAATTCATTGCAAAATATTGATATGATTTAAAATCGGCCTCATACTGATAAGACGTCGAAATAAGAATATACCCGTAATCGTTAAAATAATAATCCCTTAAATATCAATCTCTTCGCCTTTGTATGCGAAAATCAAACTGCCTTGAAGCATTTAATGTTTACAAGTGAACCAAATCAAAGACCCGTCCATGTTGACTTATTTTTAGCCAATCAAAATCGCAATGGCGCTAAGGTCACGTGATCAGAATTCGTGGCGTGCTCGGTGCTGCGAAATGAAGTCAGATGAAGTGCGCCATTGTCCGACGGCGGAGCGATTGTCGGGCTTTCCGATGATATAGACCGTTTCTTGCGGTTTCAGCGGTATTGTACCGCTAGAATATACATAACAGAGTATTATGACGATCATTTTATTTCTCGTTGACACGAGTGCGTCAATGAATCAACGCACGTATTTGGGAACTGCGTGTATCGATGTCGCAAAAGCAGCAGTCGAGACGTTTATGAAGGTAATACGAGATCCATTACCCCGCTAGTCGCCTCCGTAAATGATACAGGAGTATAGTAAAGCTAGAATTATCTTTATTTTCTTATTCAGATAAGATCCCGCGATCCAAATAGCAGATGGGACCGATACATGTTGCTGACTTATGAAGATCCGCCATTGAATGTCAAGGTAATAATCCAAGGATAGCGGCGAAAAAGAAGCCCGTAGCCAGCGGCCGACCAGACGAATTCAGAGTTTACATCAAAGTCTAGGTTTCGGCTGAGTAAAAGAGATGGTAATGCTTAATTGGTGACTACAGCCCACCTAAAAGTCGAGAGCAGAAATGTCAAAGAACCAACTCCGCCATTTTCTGCCCTTCACTGAAATTAGGGAGGATTGTGGGAATGACAGGAGCTACCGCGCATGTCGTATCTCTTTAATTTGCATATGCAAATTCGCGGGTCATCGTCGCTCTATTTTTCGGAATTTTTTTTTTCGCGGTTTTGCGACGAATGTCCGGACGTTTTTTTACGAAATTTATTAAAAATAAAATATTTATTTTTTAACAAAAAATACAAATCGTGTAACTGATGTAAACTCAAATTCGTCTTGTGGACTGATGACTTAAAAACTTAAAAAAGTATTTTTCTGGTCTAAAATAAAACAAAACAACCAACTTACAACTATTATTACTACATATAATATATAAAGTAAAAGTATAACTTCTTGCAGCCATGATAATAAAGTGAATTTTGTTGCTGGGGGGGGGGGGGATTTAAGTTTAAAATAAATAATTAAAATTAATGCATCACAGGCATGTAAATTTTCATTGATTGAAGTAAATTACTAACAACTTGAACTACCGGTCGCATCTTAATGGTAAATAGGGAAATGAAAAATATTTTAGTTTCATAGGTGGTAGCCTACTAAAGACAAGCAGTCACTAATAAATGGCTGTATGAGAAACCTTCAATTAAAAGTCAATCAAGTTACAAACCCCCATCAATCGTATCGATTCAGAATCTTGGACTCGACCCAAAATATAAAATTAGCAAACCTGATGTTACCTGTCGACAGTCAAAGAAATCTGTGAAGATGATAATTTGGAATCTTTATTTTAAAACTTATTGCTAATCTAGAATTTAATTTTAAAATATTTTGCTAATTAATGATGTCCAAGAGATTGTCAAGAAAATCCATTCTCACGGAGGACGAATGAAAAATAATTTTTTTGTGTTAAGGAATCATTTAGCAAATTCTGATTTGAGAGAGAGAGAGAAATGGGGTTTAACATCCACTCGACACAAACTAGGTCATTTTGGGACTAACATGGTTTAATTTTATTTCAATAATTCGCTTGCGCGTAGGGGTCTTTAGCAGTGGGAGGACCCGGAGAAAACCCACGAGGTTGGACAGGCGACCCTACTCCTTGTCACGTATAACCAGGGATTTGAAACCACGCCAGTTGACTCAATGACAGGCTTTATGAAAAAGCGTGCAGAAACCGGAGGACCCGGAGAAAACCCACGAGGTTGGACAGGCGACCCTACTCCTTGTCACGTACAACTGGGGATTCGAAACCACGCCAGTTGACTCAATGATAGGTCTTATGATACAGCACACACGTGCTAACCATTCGGCCATCCAACTCCCCCACTCGGTGAAATAGAGTAGACCCGGGGATTTGAAACCACGCCAGTTGACTCAATGGCAGGCTTTATGAAAAAGCGTGCACATGCTAACCATTCAGCCATCCAACCCCCCCAATTCTGATTTGACAGGTGAATGAATGAAATGGGGTTTAACTTCCTAGTCCTACAATGAAGACCAGTATAGCTCCGGCTAGGATTCTAACTCTTGACCTAAGTGGGGACAATATATGTCATGTTAGCCATAAGGGCGTCCTACTGGCTGAATGTCTGTAGGGTATAGACAATATTAACCAGCTTAACTCAATCACACACAGCGAAGTTACAAACACATGTACAAAACTGTTACACTTAACGTAGAGCTAAGAGCTTGTCCTATTGAGGCAGGTCAAGATTAGGGAGCCATGGTGGCTCAGTGAGTAAGACATTGGCTCACTAAGCTGGTGGTCTGGTGTTCGATCCCCCGCTGTCTGGGAAAGTTCATCAGGATTTTCCGGCATGTTCCTCCTTGTCTGTGGTGCAGGGCTGAGGGCCTGGAAAGGCACAATGTATGGAAAACCGAGGTCAAGTGTACACATTGGTGTGCACGTAAAAGATCCTTTGGCAGATGGAATTCAATAAAATAGTAGGCCATAGTGCTGCTGTCTGGGCAAAATTTCCCTCATAGCACACTGTAAGGCATATGCCCGTCTTCATTAACCCATTACATTACCCCCCCCCCCCTCCCCATTTCATTTCATGCCAAGGTTAATAGCAATACCATCTTAAATGCAAGGATTGGACCTACATTTTGTTATATTGCCTTAACCAGTTGTGACTGCAGGCACGACAGTAGAACGCACATGAAAAGTAAAAGCTTGGAGATTACCAGTGACAACTTGGAAAAGAAACACAAATTCTTGAATTAAAGAACATTAGACATACCGTACCTATTTCGTCTTGATCCAAGCCTCACGTCAGTTGTTAGTGTGAAACCCAAAAGTCAATCGAAAACAAGGATGACTTTTGGAGAAGAAAACTGTTCCAAAACTGGTAACCAATGGAAATCAACTGTCTGAGAATAGTCTCCGACTAAAGAACTTAGAAGTTCCTTGTTTTCTTGATCAGAACAAAAAGGAAGAAAAGAATACATTTTGTTGTATTTTTAATAACACTATTTAAAGACTGATTTATTTGCTCTGTTGGTTTTCATGATATCGTCAAAGTCTGGAATGATAATTTTCGTTTTACCGGAAAAAATGTTACATACTAACAAACTTTTATCCAACATTTGCTTTGTGCCTATCACAATGCTGTTAAGACAAATCTGCTGGACAAATTTACCAGTACATCTGAATGTGCCAGACAATTTCTTTACAACTGACAGATTTCAAGGCTTGATATTTAATATTATGTATGACAGATCCAGTCAAATTTTCAGTCTATTCTAACCTGACCTCTATTCACAATATCGCCTGTCCAACCTCGTGGGTTTTTTCCAGTTCCTCCGGTTTCCTCCCACTGCTATAGACCCCCACATGCAAGCGAATTATTGAAATAAAATTGAACCACGTGTTAGTCCCGAAATGACCTAGTTTGTGGCGAGTGGACGTTAAACCCCATCTCTCTCGCTCTCTCTCTCTATTCACAATATTTACTTGAAGAAAGTATTATTGGTTTAAAATTTGCATTCACATTGACCAGATTTAACATGAATCATCAGATGACGGACATTAATCTCCTTATTGGTGTGCAGCAGGTTTTTGCCCCTCCAAAAATAGATATTCTGGAGCAGCCAGATAATGATTGTCATCAAGTAAAATAAAAGTTGAGAAAACAGACCAAACACATCAATTTCAGATACCTAAACTGGTAATGTACATATCAACTTTCACTCAGGGATTGCCTTAGACTTGTATTAATTACCTTGCCGATCTTAAGTTGTGATGAAGATAAAATGTTCATGTTTTGAGTTGTGACCAACTCCAAGAATTCTAAAACATGGCAATTTCATTTGGTGATGGGGTCTTGGGCTCAAATTATGATTGCACCTTTACAGATAATTTCTCCAATCATAAAATATCTCACAGTGCGATCAAACACAGCATTTCCCTCTAAATACAACACTAATGAATGTATGATGTACTAACAGCATCCATCTAGTTAAAACTAGATGTTACTTTGTTTTATATGAATTTGGTTGCTCACTCGGTGAAATAGAGAGAGAGAAATGGGGTTTAACGTCCACTCGACACAAACTAGGTCATTTCGGGACTAACATATGGTTTAATTTTATTTCAATGATTCGCTTGCGCGTAGGGGTTTTTAGCAGTGGGAGGAAACCGGAGGACCCGGAGAAAACCCACAAGGTTGGACAGGCGACCCTACTCCTTGTCACGTACAACCGGGGATTCGAAACCACGCCAGTTGACTCAATGACAGGTCTTATGATACAGCACGCACGTGCTAACCATTCGGCCATCCAACTCCCCCACTCGGTGAAATAGAGTAGACCCCCAAAAATTAAAAAGGAATATGTTGGTATATTCTTTACATTCAAACTGATATTAGTTAGCATGCTACTTGAAAACTCTAAATATATTAGATTATTTGAAATTCAGTTTGCTGTTAATTGCGACTGAATTTATTATATCTATTTTTTGGGTACAAATACATTTGCATGTCTTCTGGAAATAGTAATTCTCAAAGCTGAGTTTCCCAGGTCTTTTTGTGATGTTGAAAATATATGGTTAAGACAAAGAAATTTTTGTGAACATAACCTACATGTAACTGCTTAAGAATTTCAACTGATAATTTCAGACATACTGTATATTAAATTGATAGGCAATGCAGAAGCTTATTTAAACCAATTTAAAGGAGTGGACAAGGAAAGTCAACATGGGGCGTGGTACAAAAATAACATACAAATTTTTACACAACATGGTTTTTATATGTGCATTTAATTAACTGCTTTCCCATATTTGTAAAATGCAAGAAAATAACTTGCACATACCCCTACATCAAATTGCTTTAATTTGAACCAATATCACCAGTATGAAATGATTTCTATTGTGTCAGCATGGCCTGTAGTGACTGTACATGTATCTAGGCCATATCGATAGGCTAAGAATCAATTTATTCTAGTGCTGGTATTGTGTATATAGACCATTGCTAGCTAACAAATGATAAAGCAGGCTTTTGAGAGTAGGATGTTTAATTCATTATGGTTTTACCATACCCGTGTATAAGGATTAAAGGGACATTCCCTTCCTTCGAACCATTAATAATTAATCAACTAAAACATTAATTTGACAGATAAGCAGCTGACTGTGTTAATTTGACTCCATAGTTATAAATGGCTTATATACCATGATAATTAAAAACTTGTATAGTAATTTCCATTTGATTGCTGACAGGGTCAATTCACCACCCAAAATTGAAAAAGCAAATTGTACTGTACCACCTTCGGTTTCCTGTAATCTGGTTTATATGTTGGCTGACAAAGCTGATTTAATACATTTTAATTTTTAGGCGGGTTGGAAAGAAAGTCATGCCACATTTGTCAACGAGTTACCCAATCTACAAGCATCTGGTTTATCAACTTTAGGTCCATCTCTTAAACCCAAAATTGAAAAAGCAAATTGTACTGTACCACCTTCGGTTTCCTGTAATCTGGTTTATATGTTGGTTGACAAAGCTGATTTAATACATTTTAATTTTTAGGCGGGTTGGAAAGAAAGTCATGCCACATTTGTCAACGAGTTACGCAATCTACAAGCATCTGGTTTATCAACTTTAGGTCCATCTCTTAAACACGCTTTTGATTTACTTAATATCAATCGCATGCAGACAGGAATAGACACATATGGACAGGTGGGTATTGTCTATTTCTATAATGGTGCCAGGATGTATATTACATTATGGGTTACAATCGATATAATATTAATAGTTATTATTGTGTAATTAACAAAATTGATTTAGCTAGTTTTCTATTTAATGTTATTCAAATGTTAGATTGTATGCAATATTTTAGCCGATTTGTCGGTACATAGCTATTTTATCTTTCAAATTTCGAGTTGTACCAGTTTTGTAGTGTTTTTGTACGCCCACGTGGAAATGTGCACTTTTTTAGCCAATGCCCCTGTTGGTCAGTCCGCCGTCCACAATTTCTTATGAACGCTCTAATGCCAAAAGTTATCATCTGATTGTTTTAAAATTGATATATGTTGTTTACATTTGTGCAATGAAGAAGCCTATTTAATCTCAATAATTCCTGTTTATTACGTCTAGAGTTATGACCCTTGTTTCACTTTGTTGAACCTTGTGAAAGCTCTAAAGCCAAAAGTTATCATTCGATCTTTGTGAAATTTATATGCATTATTTATATTAATGAAACAAAGAATCTTATTGAATTTCAGCAATTTCCGTTTATTACATCTTTATGTTATGGTCCTTGTTTTACTTCGTTGCACCTTGTGAACGCGCTAACATCTAAAGTTATCTGCCGATCTGTATGAAATTTATATTTTCTGTATGAAATTTATATGCGTCAATTAAATTAGTAAATAGAATCCTATTGGAATTCGGCAATTTCCGTTTTTTATGTTTAAGAGTTATGGCCCGTTTTTAACTTTGTTGAACCTTGTGAACGCTCTAGCGCCAAAAGTAGCATCCGATCTTTGTGGAATTTATATGCATTATTTAAGTTAGTGAAAAGACGAATCCTATTGAATCTCAGCTATTTCCGTTTATTACGTCTAGAGTTATGGCCCATGTTTCACTCTGTTAAACCTTGTGAATTCTCCAACGCCCAAAGTTTTCATCCAATCTGTATGAAATTTATATTCATCATTTAGATTAGTGAAACCACGAAGCCTATTGGATTTCAGCAATTTACAATAATTACTTCTAGAGTTATGGCACTTGTTTCACTTTGTTCAACCTTGTTAATGCTCGATTGATGAAAGTTATCATCCAATATGTATGAAATTTATATGCATCATTTATTGGATTTCAGCAATTTACAATAATTACTTCTAGAGTTATGGCACTTGTTTCACTTTGTTCAACCTTGTTAATACTCGATTGATGAAAGTTATCATCCAATATGTATGAAATTTATATGCATCATTTAAATTTTTGAAAGTGAAGTCTATTGAATTTCAGCAATTTCCGTCAATTATTTCTAGAGTTATGGCCCTTGTTTTACTTTGTGAACCTTGTGAATGTTTCAATAACAAAAGTTATCATCCGATCTGTATGAAATTTATGTGCATTATTTAAATTAGTAAAACGAAAAAGCCTGTCAAATTTCAAAGTTTTCTGTAAATTACCTCCAGAGTTGAGGCATTTGTTTCAGTTTGTAGAACCTTGTGAACTCTCAAACATCATAATCTGATCTGTATCTGTCTTGTAAATGCCCGGGATTACCTACAAAAGAATACCGCTCAGACGATTTGACTGCTGTGGGCGTATGTTTTGTTGCCTGGCAACCTATCTTTCAAAGAGTGTGCACAATATAACATTTAAAATTAAAGATACATTGTCCCGAAAGTATTTATCAGGTGGTTATTTCCAATAAAAGTATGGCAAATTTGGTATGGAAAGTATAGACACCCAATCTTACTAGAAAAATACTGGATTACCCGAAAAACACCCATGGGGCAAACACTGGGCAAAAATTTTAAGTTATCACTAACTGGCAACCCGGTTGTTGTCTGCCAGCTTATTGTGTGCTAGCTTGACTGAGGGAGCGGTTGTTATTTCTTGATCAAATTTTAAAGTGGTTTTTGGAACATTGAGGGGTGTCAACATACAAAAAACTCTGCAATTAAACAGCGGAAAAAGAAGTTGACAGAAAATAATTAAGAATTTACTTAGGCCTCAATGTAAATTTACAGTAAGTAATGACAAATACATTCTGAAAAATTGACCCTCTCACAATGAAACTAAGGTGACAGACATGGTGTCTAAAAACAGTTTATTTATAGCTATAGGTATCTTGGCGAATCAAATTTTTGATAATTTGAATATATTTTTAGTCCAAATATATCATCAAATCACAGTTTGTATGTGGGGAAAGTATCTTTAAGCTTAGATTTATTTTCTTTGTGCGGGGTTGGATGGCCGAAAGTGCGTGCTCTATCATTGTGTTAACTGCGTGGTTTTGGTTCCCTGGTTGTACCTGACGAGGAGTAGGGTAGCCTGTCCAACCTTGTGGGTTTTCTTCTGGTCCTTCAATTTCCTCCCCCTGCGAATTATTGAAATAAAATTGAACCATGTGTTAGTTCCGAAATGACCTAGTTTGTGTGGAGTGGCCATTAAACCGTCCCCCTCTCTCTCTCTCTCTTTCTCTCTCTCTCTTTCTCTCTCTTTGAGTGATAAGGCCTCTTTAAAATCCACATTAAATAATCCCCAACAACAAACTAGATAAAATGTGTTTAAACAATTAAGGTTGATAGCTCTCTGTGAATATACAACTTAATTGTTTAGATGACTATTTTGCATAGAAGCTATGGGTTTTATCAGTTTTGGAAATTGGATATTTGACAGGTGGGAATTATCCAGGTTAAGCGTGTGTGTCAACAAACTTGTTAAACTTAGCATGGTTATTTAAATATAAAACAGTTTTCATCAAAAATGCTTGTCTCAAATACCATTTATATAGATTGGTCTTTAGTTAATCATGTAATCAATTATCTCAAAGGATTTATTATATTTATTTAATGTCGATTCAAGATTTTTATTCTCAAAAGTACCATCAGTTGGTTTTTTATGAAATGGGAGTATAAATGATTTCTTTCTGTATAAAAAAGTATAAAATGATGCTTGGTTACTTGGTCTGTGAAGTTGGAAGTACACAAGTACATGTACACAGTCATTACAGTGGACATGACTGTATTTTGAAAACTATGTTGGGTGTGTCTAGCTGTAATAGTTTGACCTACATTAACTGTTATTTTACTGTTTATTCTTAAAAGTTGAATGGCATCTAATGGTATCTATTTTTAAATGTAGTCCTTCACATTGTATTTAAAGAAACATGTAAAATATATACAATTGGTGAACTGAGTGGATGCTTTAATTTTTGTTCAAATAATTTTATTTTCCTGATAAGTGAGGTTTTAAGAATTTGGGTAGTCAGAGTCACCTTTAAGATTTGGATGAGGATAATCTCTATTAATAAATATTTTGTCAAGAAGAGTTACTCTCCAATCATCTTAGATAACAATAATTATCTACTACTGACTGAACAATTTTACTCTTATGTGTTATGTCCTTTATCATTTCCATTATCTCTATGCTATCCTTGTGATAATGGCAGTGTAATGTTTAACTTTTCTCTGTATTAGTATTAATAGTAAAACAAGCAAAGATAATGTCATGTTAATGGCTTTTTTTTTTTTGAGTGGAGTTTGGGGGGGGGCGAGGGCAGGGCGAGTTTTACTTTATGATATAAGAAGAAAAATATCTGACTGCAATTTCGAAAGATTAAAGTTATATCTGGTCCTGGCCCTGGGTAACACTGTGTTTCAGTCAAGGTAATAGAAAAGTGATTTATTTAAATTACTTTTCCGACATGGTTTCCGCTTGTCAGTGGTGCAGGACAGAGGGCCTGACAAGGACAGCTGTCTATTCGTTCTGGTGCTACGAAAAACCAAGGTCCTGTGTACACATTGGCATGCACGTAAAAGATCCCTTGGAAGTTGGAATTCAATATAAGTAGGTCAAAATTTCCCTCATAGCACAGTGTATGGTGTATGCTCGTCTTCATTAGCCCTCGTCTTCAGAACAGTAGGGCGTTAAACCCCATTTCATTTCATTTTGATTTAAATTACCAGTATATTTCTATTTCAGAATATTTTATAATCAGTAGAATCATTTGTATTTGTAGGGAAGATGTCCATTTTATTTAGAACCAGCAGTAATTATAGTAATCACAGACAATAGTCCGTTAACCAGTACTAGTAGTGTACAGTTACAGGTAAATATTATTCTTGATAGTTTTAACATCCAATACTTTATTTATGATATTATAAACAGATGGGGGGATCACGTGGCTAAGTGGGTAAGACGCTAGCTCGCTAGCCTGGAGGTCAGGTGTTCGATCCCTGCATTGGCCGAGAAAGTTTATCCGGTTTTTCCGGCGTGGTTCTCCCTTGTCAGTAATGCAGGACGGAGGGGCTGACAAGGAAAGCTGTCTAGTCGTTCGGATGGGACGAAAAACCGAGGTCCCGTGTACACATTGGCGTGCACGTAAAAGATTCCTTGACGGTTGGAATTTGATATAAGAGTAGGCCGTAGTGCCGCTGTCCGGGCAAAATTTCCCTCATAGCACACTGTATGGCGTATGCCCGTCTTCATTAGCCCAGGTTAGGAGCAGAACAGTAGGACGTTAAACCCCATTTCATTTCATTTCATTTATAAACAGATGGGGCAAGAAGTACTTTTGGGGGTTTTAAGGCGTGGCACCAGCAAGGCTGACAAAGAAAGTGTTTACAAGTACTTTGGGGGGTTTTAAGGCGTGGCACCAGCAAGGCTGACAAAGAAAGTGTTTACATTGATAGTTGGAAAACAAGAAACATTAGTCGGAAATGTCAATGTACCATCAAATTCTCATCACTCACATAGAGATCGATCAAGAGACATGTATTTAAAATTAAAATCATTAATAAAATATCTTCAAGTAGTGATGAAGGACTGTTAATTAGCAAATGAAAAATTTATAAAATATCAGGACTTATAAGCTATTAATAAAGTGACATATACACTAATCATTCTTGATCTGGCACAAACATAGGGACTACCATCACCATCCTAATGTGTACACATTATGAGAATTTTGGACAACAGTTTTACAGTTTGTTGTGGGTTTTTTTTTTTCAGTTAAACCTTCCAATGGATACGGCAGTACCAGGTTCGGAATTAACTAAAGAACCTTTTCGTTGGGATCAGAGAATTTTTGGTCTTGTACTAGGAATGTCTGGTTCCATTCCGTCCGAAAATAATTCCTTCCCCTTTATCCCTTCAGCAGAAAGTCATCCAATAGATGTTATGTGTGACGTAACAGGTGGTAAGTGATGTATTTATGATTACTTCAAATATCATTTGAAATCTTAAATTTTATATTAATTTCACATATGTTGTCATCTGCAAGAACAAGTTGTCCACATTTTATTGCCTCTTGTGACCTGGGTCAAGGTTTTAGTCTAAAGAACATAAAAATTAATGTATTGATTTAAACATAGATTATGCAAGAGCTAAATCTGCCTATTGCAAGTCTTTATTTAGGCTTCAGATGTTATAGAAATTATTAATTAGACCTTTATTTAAACAACAAGCTCAAAATCGACTTTGTAGATCCACAGATGGCTTGGATACAGTTTGGATTTAAACAGTCGTCCATTTAAAATTAAATCAATAAATGGCGGACCATTTATGTCACTACTGGAAACTGGTGATGAAAGGCCTGCCAAGCGAGGCTACCATAGCCATTAAGCATGTTACTTGATAATCAAGAAAATGTGGGTGGAGTTATCATCCGTCAATCAAACGATCGCCAATTCTCAAAGACAGTGCAGACACAATTGATGCCTATTTCTAGTCCAAACTTCCAACGGTGACAATTATGTTAGAACAAAGTAATTTGACAGAAATTTTCAACATTTTCTTTTTTATCATCCAGGGCTAGAAATTCACGCGAATCTCCGAATCTGATTCGCGCAAAGATTCTCGCAAGAGCTTACACTGCGAATCTATAAGCATTCGCGTAAAAAATTTCTTAAAAAAAAAAAAAAAAAAATCTCGGAGAATTCTTGAGTCCAACTGTTGAATGTCAGTCAGGGTTAATTGTGGGATTTAGCCGATTGATGTTTAATCTAGCCGATTGGTAAAACAATGAATCGGCCACATGGTATCATAAATCAATCTACTTGTCTTTTTTTGTCTAATATTACAACGCGTTAATTATTACTTGTTAATAAAGAAGTGTCGGCTACAACAACAGTCATACCTTAGTGCGAATCAGCCATATGTGGTTCATAATCCGAGTAATTAGCACATTTAACGGTGATTTTGATAATCCGGTAAAAAAACAAAACAGGCTTGCTGATAATTCATACTAGGTTCAGTAAAATACGCACGTGGTGAATGAAGACGATCTCGGCATGGTTTGCGAATTGCGCATCTTCCACGCTCCGTCCGTGTGAATTCCAGTTATTAAAATAATAACTGGATCATACATTGATGAATTCACCGACCAGTTGTTAATTAAATTTAAATTTGCATTGAATATAATCCCCTGATAGAACACCGAATACACGGAGAGAGAAACAGTGGATATTTTCCCAACAGAATCTCGAATGTTGAATTCCAATGACACGTGACATATTGGTTGGAATTAGGTCATTAAACCAGTTCTAAATAGCGTTTACCGTTACGATTTTTTATTTTATATACATGCTGACAGAGACTTAATTTTAAAAATATTATTGAAGGCTATATCACAGTCGTACCGAAGTTTATTTTGTCACGTGATCATTGTGCAGTTTGTCTATCATCGACGAATGAATAAAAACTTTTGCAAGTTACGTGACTAGTTGCGTGATGGACAAAAGACTACAAATTGTGCTATGAAGAAATGCCATGGTGCTCAGCTTATTTTGACTATGGCATTTTGTGAATATTACTTTTGACACAATTTAAGTGTTTACCAAAAACTCCATCTGATTGGGGTTTTTATCATTGTTGTTGTATTTTGGTGTTTTAGATTATCACAATAAACACAATTTTGTTTTTTTAGACAGTATTATTTATTAAGATTCGGAGGATTCGCGCAGATTCCATATATGAGAATCCTCTTAGATTCTCGCAAATAATGACGAAATTCTAGCCCTGTCATCTATTTAATGAATTATTATAGCAAGAATAGACAACTCTTTATAAAACTCTTAACTAATGTATCTTTAAGCTAATATTAATAGGTGTTCATTGTCTTGGAACCCAACCAAGGTCACCTTACAACAGTCAAAAAGTATATTAACTGAAAAGAATGTGGTTAAGTTGGGTCATTTTGTATTTTTAGGTCGTTCCTATGCAATTTTGAACCAGAAGATGTTGAATTCCTCAATAGAATCTCTAGTCCAGAAAGTACAGACAGGTGTTGTCATCAATTTTGAAAAGTTTGGCCCAGATCCCCCGGTAATTAATGATGGTAAGTATATAAAATATCAACTGCTCAATGATCTTTTGGAAATATACACTGAAATTAAATTACTATTCTGATGTGTCTATATATAGTGTTGAAAATAACTACGTCACATTTTTATGCAATCTATAAAATCAAGTCTAAGGCCAATAGCTGGTTTACAAATCATTTGATCTTTGAAGTTTAATAAACAATCCTTCTCATTGAAATGAATTTTCACACATTCTTTACAGGTTTACGGGCAGACATCATATCTGATACAAATGGAAATTTAAAAGGTAATTAAATTAGGATATTAAAAAATACTACCAAGTGATTGAAATGAAAATCGAGTTGATGAAAAATTTACTATCAATTTACTTGGCAGCTGTTTTATCTGGGATATTAATCACTGTTCCTTTACATTGGAACAACAAAATAATAATTTAATCTGTTTCTAGCTGTTCTTGTGCAAGCAAATAATTAAAAGATTTTGTTCTCTCAAGATTTCTATTATAATTTCTTTCAGAAAATCAAGATGTAAATAAACAAATAATTGTAGATAAAGAACTAAATGATGAGAAAAAATCAAACAATATTTCTCTGCAACCCGCTCCATGGCATGCATGCAGGAAGTTAATCTATGTTCCTAGATCAGCACAAAAAGGTTACTCTGTAGGTCATTGGCCAATCCCTGAAGCGTTCTGGCCAGATGCAACCAACCCAAATTTAGTAAGTTATTATTCTCTAAAATGGCTGTAATATTATTTTCAGATATAAATTGCTTTACATGAACTGAAACTCAGATTAACTCATTGGAATAAAAAAAAAAATGACACACCTAACTATTCAGATAATCTTTTATTGCAGCAAAGAGATCCCAAATTCTTGGGACTGATTACTGGTAATCATTTCAACTACCAATACTAGCCTGGTGTTTTATTTGCTAAACTGTTTAACTTGTGTATCAAACATTATTTTATTGTTTCATATTTAATTATTACAGCCTCCTAGAACAGCACATCCCAATGTGAGATTTTCCTGTGCATTAAGTGATCCGTTGGTAATAGATAATTTACCTTTTGATAAATATGAACTGGAACCTTCGCCGTTAACTCAATATATCTTAGAAAGGCGACAACCTAATACCTGCTGGCAGGTAAGTTATTAACGTCTAGAATAAGAATAATCTATTGTGACCAATAGAAATATTACACAATTAATGTAGCACATATTATAAAGATATTGTTTTCCTAAAAATCTAATATTTAAAATAGTATACAGTGAAATGTTAAGTTCTTCATTTTTGTGATTTTTACAAGTTGTTTTCTCTGAACTAATTAGATTATGTTGATGGTTTGTATACTGACATTTGAAATTTATTTCAGGTACATGTTAGTAATAGTGCTAAATTCAGTGAACTCTATCATCCATTTGGTTATATTAAAGCTAGTAGTGCTTTAACTACTGTTAATTTATTTGTTATGCCATATAATTATCCTATATTACTTCCTTTATTAGGTAAGGAAAATGCTTTCTATTTTATCATATTATTACATTTCTGTTAATGTCAGTGTTAGAATTCTATAAATACTTTATCGATTTTAATTTGAAAATTGTTAAAAGCCCAGATTTGCAGTAATGTGAAAGTTGGATTTCCCAAAGTAATATCAGTCCAAAAATGTTTCAATTCTGTTCAGTATTAACAAAGATATGATGAATTGAAAACTTTGAAAACATTCTGCTTCCTCTGCAGATGATAGCCTATATGCAAGCCAGCACCACCTATAAGTGTTTGGTAAATCTTTTGATAGGCCTCTTTTTAATCTGATTGAATCCAAGCCAGGAGAATATCTAGGTTGATATTTTTGTTTTGTTTCCTTATTAATGTTAAATAATCTATCTGAGCACATGGGTACGAAAAATGGAGATGATAATCAGCCTCATTAATGGCAACTCCAAGTTTAAGCTTGTTTAAATTTTCAGAATATTTTAATATTCGATCTTCTCTTGAATTTTTCTGCAGATGATCTATTTAAAATTCATAAGTTAAAACCAAATCCTAAATGGAGACAACAGTTTGATAATTACCTCAAAACCATGCCAGGATATTATGCCGGGGTAAGTTTTGCAATTACTTATATAGAGTGACCTAATATCAAAATTATGATGCGGTTTTTCCAGATCATTGGAACAGTTTGAAATGCAGAGGAACGTTAAAATGTAGAATTTTATGTATGATTGACATATTTAACTTACTAACCTTTTAATACACCCACATTGAAATGTGTATGTAAAGTATGTTACTTTATTTTGTAGCCATTAAGAAGAGCATTAGCCAGAATGGGTGCTCCTAACTTAGTTCCAGATCAAATGGATAATTGTCTTTCATATAGTGTTATTACCTACCTCAAAAAATTAAAAAATCAGGTTTGTCTTTAGTTAGAAGTTATATACTGAAACACAATGAAAACACAGCACTTTTAGAAAATAGACATTGCTTGGCATGCTGCCAGCTTCTTGCACTGCTGTGTCTGTAAAGAGTTCATGAGTGCTGTAATGTCCCCAATGGGTTGTTGATTTTCTTGTCAGTCTCATATCAGCTGTATTATGACTCACTAGAACTTATAATCAAATCAGTGGTGTGTTTTCATTTTATCTCATTATTTTAGAGGATTAATGAGATTGAATTACAATTACTGATTGCACAATAACCTGAATTGCAATTACTGATTGCAAAATAACTGTCATGTTAATTAATCTCTTAATCAAATTAACACTGTCATACCTTTACACCTGTATGTGTCCAATTTAAAAGGTATTATCCAATTAAATGTATAGTTGAAATTTAGTTTGTATTTGTTTGTGTCTGTTGTATAGCAATGGTAAGCATTCTCTTTTGTATAAAAATGTTTCTCTTCACAGGCTAAAGTTGAAATGGATCGTTTATTGGCTTCAGTGGGTCAGAAAGTTCCAGTTCATGAAGGAATTAAAGTTAATTCTAGGTATTGTAAACATTTTGATTTTTATTATGAATAAAGATGAAAAATCATGACTAATTTTTGGCGCTCTTATGATTGTTTTTTTTTCCATTGTGTAAACAGAATTTTATATAATCTTGAATAATTATTCATTGGATAATTATGCATTTATATCAATATTATTATTATGTGATTCATCAGACATTTACTATTTGAAATAGATTGACACCAGTCCGACAAGTCTAATTAATTCTTTACTACATTAAAGTTATTTGCTGAAGAATGGAATTCAGACACAAAGATTGTGACAAATGAATGTTCTGATCATATATATGGATATTTTCTTTTTTCAGAACTAAAACGTCATTTTTAAAAAGAAAAGACTTTAATCAACTTGTAGAGAATTTGGGAGCTAATGTTTCTAGTTTAAAACAAGAAATACAAGATTATAATAGTTTTACAATAGCTGCTCCTGTTAAAACAATACAACCACAATATTATAGGTAATAATTTATAATCTTTTACATTTGTTTATGTATTATATTCTCAATAAGGAGATCCAATGCATTGAACAAACTATTGTTTTCTTCACAAGATATATCCACAGCTTCCCACTTTTGGGGAAAATCATTCTAAATTGCCAAGCATAGAAAATTCTATGTAAATACACTGTTCATCCCTAAATTCCATGACAAGAGAGTAGCACATGAAGCAAAGGCAATCAGTGTTGCTGTCGAAATCAGGCATCATATGTGCACATATACAAGCAATTTACAGGCATTGGTTCAAATATTATCAGACTTGTTTGTTATTTGGCCATCCATCTGTCCGCTGACTTTAAAATGACATACAGACAATTTTTATAGCAGTGTGTAAAATTCATAGAGTTTTGGCATATATCAAAGTGGAGCCCGTTTTGAATATCACAGGATATATATCCCAGTTAATTCAAAATGTATGTTGTGATAGGAACAACATTGCTTTGAAACAATATATGTAAAATACAAATTAGATATTATCTAGTAAGGAATGAAGAATATTAAGTGATAACGTGTTTATTTATTTATTTTTTTCTTCAGAAATCCATACGACATTCCACGTAAGAGTTTGTTAGACCAGGTGAAGAGAATGAGAACCAACTTTCTACAGACATCTTATAATAATACTAAATTAATAGATGAAGGTACAGTGCATTATAAATATACTCTTGTATGTATCAAAGCGTAAAGATTATCAAAAATAAATTTATCAACCGGAAAAAGCCTCTGTTAACCCTTTCACTGCGTATACCCGGTAGTACCGGGTATTATAAAATGTTGGTAAACTTCGCGTACCCGGTATTACCGTGTACTCAGTAAAGCCCTCGCTAAAATTAGTACCGTAACTGCAAGTGCCATCTATTGTATTTTCTATACACGAGAACATATTTCCACGTGTTTCAAAGCGGCAAACCGTAAAATGACGGAGTGCATAGTGACAACGTAGACGATGCACTCTCGACGAAGTCGTGAATGACGTCTTGCTGACCAACACGTGGACAATTTCGAGGCGGGTGATACACATAATTCGTTTCCAATTACTTGATAATGATAGTAGTCAGGACAGTGATTGGTATTATGAAGTGTGTGATTTGTTCCGCCCATGGCTAGCTATGTCTCCCGTGCATGATGAACAAGCCCAATGTGAACACGATAGCCCTGTGTCTGCAGTAGATTCTGACAATAATTCTGATGTTGATAATAATGCTGGCCTGCTGGATCATAAAAGACATAGGCAATTCCTGAGTCCCGAACGTGTAGATCTATTGGCGGCATTGCTCATGGCTGCTATTGATATTTTTGTTCATTTTATATATCTTTATCAAAATCCAGTGAAAAAAACAATATCTTTTAAGTATTTCATGCAGAAAAATTCGTTTTCGTGTTAGCTTTAGTGAGAAATGAGAAATCCAAAATGGCCGCCATGACATTATTATGCAAATTTCCAAAATTCTATTTTTTCCTCTTAGCCCAACCTCATGCCCATCCCAACAGACAAAAAGATTTTTCATAAAAGCTTCCATAAGTACTGCTTGGCATTCAGTTCCAACCTCCCTTTTTTCCTCAAAAAAGGGTCTAGCACAGGCAGTGGATTTACGTCTAGCATTGAAAGGGTTAAGAGTGAAGCAATGTTCCAAAGTAAAGTAAAAAAAAATGAAATTTAAAAAATTAGAAATCATCTGTTGTTTTTTTATGAAAACCAAGTGTAGCTTTTTGTATTGTATTAGTAACTGCAGGAGGACTGCATCACAATCACATATAAACAAATACACAAAACAAGTCCACAGACAAGGCACAATATACACCAGTATTTCAAACAATAGCAACAAATGGATATACCAGTAAAGTTTTAATTTATTGTCTTATAGATCAGAGACATAGTATACCCGTACAACAAATGGGTAATTATCAAGAATATTTAAGGAAACAACCTCAGCCATTACGCGAATTGGAAAGTACACCTGCCAGAATACATACCTTTGGTAATCCATTCAAAGTTAAATCTGTAAGTTTTTGTTTAAAAATGTTACTTAAAAAAAAGATAGTCTGTGTGTGTGCTTTAAAAGAATCAGTTCCACAATTAAAATATGTTTAAATGGATCAACTGTTATCAACAATGAAATAGCAATCTATAATTAAAATTTATATAAATGGATTAAGTGTTATCTACAGTTAATATTTTTTTTCAACTAATCAGTCAACTGTTACACACAATTAAAATTTATTTTCTTTGACTATTGATTAACTGTTACCCTCAATTAAAATTTATTTAAATTAATTTAACCGTTGACTACAATTAAATTTAATTAAATTGATTAACCAGGGTCTCAATTAAATTTATTTAAATGTATTAAATGTTATGTATATTATAGAATGAGATAAAGATAGATGAGGCAGATGAAGCAGCTGTGTTTGGTTCTGCAGGCAATAATCATTCTAGAAATAAGCGAGCAGCTTCAGAAAGTCCACCAGCATCTCCTGGTCCTAGAAAACGTAAACCTGGTAAGATCTTGTCTCAATTATAAATGTTTTTGTTTATTCTTTATTCATACCTTAAATTATACTAAATTAGTGTCATTTCCTAAATTAATGTTTATTACACGTACTGGAAACATCCTATAATTGTTTTAATTATTTAAAAGGCATTCATTTTATTAACTGAGTATTTAATGATTTAGGTTTTTTTTACTAATTTTAAAACAAATCTATCTTTATAGGTCCATTACCACGAGGTGTAACAATTCGGCGACCATCGACCACACCCCTCACACCTGCTAGTAGTCCTACAAGAAGTGATTCCAGTGATAGTTCCTTTGACGATCTGGGTGGTAAGTGCTACAATAAAAACAGGGTCTTTCAGTGTTACTTGTTGAATTTATCATCAAAATCTTTTATAAACCTCTATCTGGATTGTCAGTATTTTTTCACAAGACCCACTCAAAAAATTTTAAATGATAGTGACCGCAGCCATCTAGGCATATTTAAATAGAACAGCTTAATACATTTCCGTTTGTTATCTTTTAATTATCAGAATACTTTATTTCAGATGATCGACCTTTAGAAATAGTGCTAGATTCCGATGAGGATAATTATGAAGTGAACAAATCTGTGAACAAAGTGAACGCTAATCATGTGTTACCGGAAGTGAACGGTGATGAAGAATCTGTGATAACCCCACAAAATCAAAGTGAACAGCCATGTGTTAACCACTTAAACTCTAATGTCAACATGCATACAAATAGTAAGAAAGACTTGAATATTTGGATGTATAATTCAAAGTTAAGACATTCCTGTTTTAAAGAGATAAAAAAGCCAGGCAGACGTAAGTATATCTAGGATATCTAAACTTTGTATCTTCACTGTTCTAGAAATGGGGTGTAATTAAATAATGGTTGGAATATGTACTTTGAAAGCAGATGCGTTTGATGGCATAGGACAATATTCTGATGTAAATATAATTGTTGGTCATGGTGTGTTCTTCTGAAGTTCATTTAATGCGGTGGACACACTAGCCGAATCGTTTGGCTAAATCAATCGGCATTGAAATTCGCCTAGTGTGTCCACTGTCATTCGGCCAAATGATTCACCAGAATCAAACATGTTTGATATATTCGCCTAGTGTGTCCGCTTCACCGAAGCATTCGGCCGAATGTAGAATTCATTATCCAATCACCACGCAGCATCCACTCATATCGAGAAGTCACGTGATTGTTTGAAGACATACATGTAGACACCGTTATGTTTAATCATGTGACGTACAAGGTAATGCAATCGACTGGTGAATCGGGCGAAGCCTTCGGCTAGTGTGTCTGAACAATTCGGCTAATGTGTCTACTGCTTAAGACATCGGACAGAAATATTTGCTTAAATTAAAACTTCTGAGCATTATTGCATTTATAAATACCTATGTGTGGACCTCGAACATAACCAATAAACCATTCCAAACAGTGATGTTTCCAATCCTTTAAAATATTTTTTAATGGAACAGGTCTTGATGTACGTACTTGTGTAGCCAAAATTCTGGTTTATTTACTGTTTTAATTCTAGCTTTTCTTTTCTTTTGTGTTGCAGACTATGAGCAGTTATTCTCTCAATTGAATACAGTACGGGGGCCGATAGAAACGCGCTGTAGTTTCCTCAAAGAACTCATACATGAAGCTACTCGTTTTAAAAAGAAAATGTTGGTGCAAATGTTGGAACAATTCGAACAATCTATGATAAAAGTGGAAAAAGCCAGTAGTGGTTCGAGATGATATACAATTCTGAACTTTGACCTGGAATAATTTGGACTTTATATATTCCATATCAGGGCTTATTTATTGTGATAATGCAAGCAGGGAGAATCATGAAATGGTTCTAACTTGTGATTTAACAGTTCTTGTATGTTTTGTTTGTGCCGTCTGCTTGTGGGTATTTTAATACATCTATTGGTGACGAAAACTGAATAACATATGAAAACAATATTGTACAAAAAATATGTTCCGTATGAAGAATAAATGTGTTGAATGTGCTAAAAAAAAATATGGAATAAGGACAATTAACAAATGAATTATGGTCACAGAAAATTGTGGATAAATGAGTAAAATAAAGAAAGTGTGAATTGTTGGAAGAAAATCTCGATGTTCTATCATTTAATTCAGGATAAATGTTTACAACTGAAACTCCTTATATATTTTATTGAATGAAGTGAGAAAAGTTCTTGGTTCTAAACTATTAGACTAGTATGTCCACTGTTTATTGTTATAATACAAAAAACCATAATCCAAATACACTTTATCACCCAATTGTATCTGCTCATCAAGTGGACGATCTTCTCAAATAGTTTTTCTTCACTTCTTGGTAGTTCTCTGATTTTTGTTGTTTTTCATATTCTTTGGCTGTGTCAAAAATAAACTTGAATAGCTTAATTTTCCTCAGAATTAGACCTCACCTATTTACATGCCTGCATTGAAATTTGATGATGATTTGTGACCCCTTGTCAGTCGTCTACATGATGTTGTCAGCATTGAACTGATAACTTCGAGAGTAGTCCTACATAAAGTATCTTGTGAACAGTCTAACGACAAATGTTGCCATCCTATCTGCTTGAAATTTGTGTGCATTGTTCGGATTAATGTAATAAAGAAAGCTATCGAAATTCATAATCAGTTCTAGTGCTGTGGAGGCTTTGCTCTTAAGGCTTATTCACTTTGTAAAATCTAGTAAATGCTGTGAAATCTAGTAAATGCTCTGTTGGCAAAGGCTATGTCTGATCTGCTTGAAATGTATATTCATTGTACTGACCAGTCAACAGAATCCTATTGAATTTCAACTATTTCTGATACTTACTGATTACATTATATAACACCAAAACACCAGTGATATAATACAAAATTAGCTCTTTGTGCACCAGAAGATTCACAAACGTGATTGCAACCTTACTGTTTTCTGCTCCGATGACTTGAATGTGGCTGTTAATACATGTAGGTGTCGATGTTTTGGTTCTTAATTTTTAGCTCTTAGCATTGAAAGTACAATGTCAGTAAGAACATAGCACTTATTTCAGGCACTTGTGTTTTGTTATTCATCTACATGTATCTAGTGAATACGACACTATAAGCAGTTAAAACAAAAAAAATGTCCCAATTTTGTCCCCCGCCCTTCGAAGAAAGCAGGGTTCTGTTAAAATGGGTTTGTCCATCTGTCTGTCAGTCCATCTGTCTGTTCTTCACACGTTTTGGGACACAATAAATATCCTTCTAATTGAGCTAGAATGTTTAAACTTGGTGTACATGTAGATGTTTATTAGGTCGATGCTTTGAAGTTCGAAGATAGCATTTTCTGCTTAGGGTAAGAATAGAAATGCAAATTTGATTGATTGATGCTTTGGGACACAATAACTATAACTTTAGTTCTGATTAAGTGAGATTGATCAAACTTGTTGTATAGTTTCATTACATCAGCACCTTGACTAAGTTCGAAAATGAACATTTTCTGCTCAGGGTAAGCAGAGCGATAAGCAATTTGATTGGTTGAGAATTTGGGACACGATAACTTTAGTTCTATTTAAGTGAGGGTGATGAAACTTGGTGTATAGTTTCATCACATGAATACCTATTCTGCTCAGGGTAAGCAGAGCAATAAGCAATTTGATTGTTTGAGACTTTGAAACACAATAACTCTCCTTCTAATTGAGGTAGAATGTTCAAACTTAGTGTAGGCGTTCATTAGGCGAATGCCTTGATGGAGTTCGATGATGAAAATTATCTGCTTACAGTAAGCAGAGATAAGCAATTTGATTGGTTGATGCTTTTGGGCACAATAACTTTGACTAAGTTTGATGAGAATTTTCTGCTTAGGCTAAGCAGAATTTGATTGGTCAAGACTTTGGAACATAACTCTGCTTTTAATTGAGGTAGAATGATTAAACTTGATGTTGATGTTCATTAGGTGAATGTCTTGACTGAGTTCAATGTTGAACAATTCCCACTAAAGCTAAGCAATTTCTTTGACTTTGATACTATCTGATGGAGAGTGATGAAACTTAGTGTATAGTTAATCAGTTTGATTGCTGAATACTTTCTGAAAAATATAAATGTGCAATAAATTATTATGTCATCTATTTATTTCGGGATTTCGGCGGGGGACATTGGCCTCACTGTTGGCTTGTTATATCTTAACACAAGGTAGACTGTAAAAAATGTGAACAGGAAACAGATGTCCCTAAATCTCTATCTAGTGACGGCCATGGAAAGTAAAAAATACCGAAACGAAATAAAATATAATTTTAATTAGAATGTGAGTAGGCTATACATATTGAAATAATCACATACAAATTATTATACCAGTGTAGAGAGAGGAAAGAAATGGCACAGAATTAGTAAACTTTATGTATGTAGACTTTTAACAGGATAATACCATAAATACATGTAGCAAATCTGTAACAAATTCTCAAGAAAATACAAAATTAATATTAGCAGTCAAATCTGACTATCGTATCAGCATTATTTCATTGTCATGTTCATAATAAACAGAATTCACTAATTGACACTATATTGAATAATTTTTTATCTTGTGTTATTTTGTTTTAAAAATAAACCAACAAAAGGCTCAAACCTAAATGGAAAGTTAATGAAAATTGTAAATATTCAGGACTGTTCTTGAATTAAGCTATGCCTGAGTGAAATTATTTGACAACGTCGAATTGTTTGTTACTAAAAATGTGTAGTATCATTCATTTGTTCACAAGTTATTCAATTTTGAATAAATAATTTAATTATTGATCTTATTTTTAATTCAACTTGAAAAAATACCTCCATAAGACAGCAGAAATTGAAGGTGACTTAGAAATCAAGAGAAGACACTGTAGGTAATATGAGAGTTATTAGGCTTGAATACAGTACAAGTTTATAAATATATGAAACTATTCGGCAGTTAATATTATTGATTGGAATTTCTTATTAACCGTTACCTTTGTTAATAAAATTTACGTTTCATAATGAATATAAAATTCCTCTCTTTATGTCAACATTATAGATATGAACACACATGGTGCTATTGATTTTAGAATTACTGTATGGTCTTTCACTATTCATCAACACAGACTCCTTTTGTTGTGGGCATAAATACAGCTAAACCATGACAAACATGCCTGTAGACCAGGATTACATTACCCCTAATGATGAATTATCTCCCCTTTAGTGTTCATTTTAAACAACTGTGGCATGGTCTTGATATAATGTATCTGTTGAAGAGATGATAGGGAGTTGCTAACTATCAGGTAATGAGTCGGACATGGTTTATTTCTTTGGTTGCTTTCATTATTAACACAAAATTCGAGACATTGAACAGTGTTGTACAACTAGTGTGAAATGATATCGCAAAGTAGTTGACAATGACATTTCTTTAACAACTTGATTATCAGTTTGGTCTGATCTCCCAATTCTCAAATCACTCTTTAGAACGTATTCATAATAAACTTGGGCCACCAGAGAATATATAACAGCAGTATGTTTTTGGTTCCACTAGAATTCAAGGCCAGATATAAACTCACAAAAATATCAAACTATAGACTGTATGAATTCTTGTAGGATCCAAAACACGGTTTCCATTTTGATTTTTTGTGTAGACCCATTGTGAAACAGACATAAAGCCTGATCATGTGAGTTTGACTGTGTAATTATCAAAAACCTGTTGTCTCTTGTGAACTTATGCGTCTAATGTGTGCGCTTTAGATCCGAAAGTCCTATCATTGAATCTAGTGTTTCTGGTATAGATCCAAGGCTAGTAGGCACATGTGCACTTCTCCAGTTTTCAAAAAATTATTGAATACAGATACCTTCTGGATTGTAGGCTCTTCACACCTGCAACTATCAAGTGCTTAATGCATCACCAAAGTTTGTAGCAAATCAAATTTATGTGTAGTTTAATGGTCGAGTGTGAGACATTAAGTAATGTATCGATATTGCACGAGTGCGTTATCGATATTGCACGAGTGCGTTAACTCGAGGGCTGTAATCTATATATTGCACAAGAAATTGAACAACTTAAAATACAGACATTATCCAGCACGTGCATTTCTATGAAATAGTCACGCGGGTCCAATATTTCAACTAGTATAAATAATGTACGCTTGGCACATTGCCCGTACCATTATGTGAAATAAAGGTACCCAACATCAAAGGATGACCTTGCATCTGTATTTTAAAAGGAATTAGTGGATATCCTCATATGATGAATAGAAATCCTACATATTAGGAGTACTCAAGACATAAGAGTGTATACACAATCCATGAAACAATACTAAAACAACTATGCCAACTGGCAAATGTATACTTGATATAAAGAGTTTGGACATATGTATGAATGTATGGTATATGATATTATTGCTTTATTCATGATATCAGAATGTGATAAATATGTATATTGTATTGTTTTCTACCACTGTTACTCAATAAAACTGTGATATTAAATGAATTTCTTTAGTTCATCATTATTTCAAGTACTGCTATTTTACCAAACATTTTCATGAAAATGTGGGAGCCTGGTAGTCCTGACTTTGAATCCCAGTGTGAAAAAGTGTGCCTTGTCATTCGGATGGGATGGAAAATAGAAATCCATCCATGCACATAAAAGAACCCTTGGCAGCTGGAATTTGAAGAAGAGTACGCAGAGACACTGTCTCTGCCAAATTTCTCCTCCTTGCATTGCACACGTAGCCATAGAAATCAACCATTACAATTGATTGTATTATAAATACAGCTGTTTATACTACTTTCTGGCACATATTTCAACATATCTAATAACTCAGTGCCTGAATTACAAGTCAAGTGGATATGCAGGGTTTTGTATTGTCTCGATGTTCGATCCCTGCATTGGCCGAGAAAGTTCATCCAGATTTTCCGGCGTGGTTCCCCCTTGTCAGTGATGCATGACGGAGGGTCTGACAAGGACAGCTGTCTAGTCCTTCGGATGATACGAAAAACCGAGGTCCCGTGTATACATTAGAATGCACGTAAAAGATCCCTTGGCAGTTGGAATTCGATATAAGAGTAGGCGATAGTGCCGCTGCCAGGGCAAAATTTCCCTCATAGCACACTGTATGGCGTATGCCGTCTTCATTAGCCCAGCATAGGAGTAGAACAGTAGGACGTTAAACCCCATTTCATTTCATTTCATTTTTTTGAGTTGTCCAATGCAAGCATTGTTGATATGAACTGTCAACTACGCATTACAAGTGAATGGGTAGTTTCCAAGGCCGCAGATCCTGGGGGGATGGGGGGATTTTCACTGGGGGGGGATTTCATATGCCTCGTCCCCCCCAGAAAAATGCATCGATAAAATTTCAAAAGTCTTATTTTCAGCCCGGGAAATGTAGCCTATATTTCCGAACATTCCGATGTACAATGCCCAGAAATGGTCTCAGATAGCATTTTGAGGCATTCTAATTTTAAAAAATCTTCCGGGGGAGGCACCAAGACCCCCGCTAAATGCCCGCCTGTAGCGCACGTGGCGTATGCCTTCGCCCGCCGTACTCTGTCAACATCTCCCAAAACTTGAGTCCTATTTTCAGGCTGAGGATATTTCCCCTTGGTTCAAAAATGCCCGGTCTTTGATGTAACCCAGATCTGAGAATGATCTCTTCATGACCTCAGCAGCTTATGCTCAGAGCTGGCCACTTGAGAAATTATTCATCACATTTTCATCCGTGACCGGCAATTTAGTAGCCTACCTATATCCCTATATTGCGAGGACTTCTTTGATTAATCAGTCCATATCAACTGTGGTTTACTCTTTATATTTTTAAAGTTTAATAATAAATATTTTTAACTTTTGTAATATAACCAGTCTGCCTGCACTCTAAGCCCTCATAACTACTTTTTACCGTATTCGTATTGATTATTCTTGCTCAAAAACGACAATTTATTCTCGGTACGTTCATCTCTGCAGAATGCTCAGAAATGGTCTCAGATAGTGTTTTCAGGCATCCTGCTTTCAAAATTTTCTGGGGGGGGGGGAGTCCAGACTCCGCCCGCCATCTCCGTCCCCCCCTAAAATTTAATAAGATCTGCGGCCATGGTAGTTTCACCTGTTTAACCTCAAAAGAATTATTGAAATGCAAGTGTACCATATTTAATTATCAAAATGAATGGAGGGTTCTCTATTAAACGGCCATATTTGCATGTCCTGACAAGGCTTATTTTAAAAAGAAACAACAGGTTTTTATATTTCATTCTAAATCTAGTATGTACATGTATGATACAAAGTGCAAGTTGCCTTAAGAGGAACTGTCAGTGCAGTGGAGGCGCCAGGGGAGCCCTCTGTTTGCCCCCCCCCCCCCCCCAATAATTTTAGAAAATAAAAAAAAGTATTTGTGATATGTTTCAGTAATCAATACCTTCTACGGTAAATAAATCCCACATCTCCACTCAGTCATAAACTTGCATGTTGTCTATTTTTCAAAATTTTCTTGGCGAGGTCCCCAATGGACTCGCTACTTTGGCGCTCACAAGGGGAATTCGTTGAGGTTCGCAAGTTCATTCGTTTGACATTTTGTTCTCTAGTCGGATAAACTAGTGATCAGGCGACGAACGGTATCTGGGCAGATCTATTTATCTCGACGATCGGTGCCTGACAGAATACTTTAAGACAGCATTTCCGGCAACCTGTTTTTCAATTTTTTCTGGGGGAGGCCTTTGCTCCCTTAACCTTGGACTTTGCCCCAGCTTTGCCCCTCCAATCACCGACGGCTGGCGCCACCTCTGTGTCAGTGACTATGTCTGTAGGGAATTGGTAGATACTCATGTAGTTATTCAATTTAAAAACATTCTTAGTTTTATATTAAAACAGGGATGGATAATTATATTTTCTGAAAACACTCTATTTACTCTTGGTAATAAGACCATGAAAAAATGTATGATTGGTAAAACTTTGATAAGTGAGCCTATATGAGTACCCATATTATGAGATCAGCTAAGTATGCAAATGTGTCGAGTTGACGTTCAACCCCATTTCTCTCTCTCACGTAAATCATTTATATAAACAAGTTTCCATTTACAATCCTTTCAGAGTTATTCCCCTTTAATCTTCTAAATCAATTTTTACCAAACATTCTAATAATGTGGGAGAGAAATAGCCTTTAACGTCCACTCAAAGCAGACTAGGTCATTTCAGGACAAACATATGGTACAATTTTATTTCAATAATTTTATTGCCCATAGCGGTCTTTAGAAGTGTGAGGAAATTGGAGGATCCGGTGAAAACCATGAAACTTTTTGCAAGTGACTCTACTACTTGTCAGTAAAAATTTGGATCAAAATCCATACTCCTTGACTCAATTACAGACCATACCATCTAAAGCGCACACATTAGACCTCTCAGCCACACACACCCCTAACATTCTAATAGAACAGAGATTGTTTTAAAAAGGTTTATTTTCCTTTCTTTTTCTTTTTTCTATTTTCATTACGTTTCATTGCACCTACATCCACACCTCTGTATTTGAAAGATAACAATGGGGTTTGTCCTTCTATTTTTTGTTTTTTAGTTTCTGTTGGAAAATAATCCTCTTCATCCATAGTTCCAGAGTCTTTTAATGAAATAAAATCATCTCCTAATTTATTTTCCTTTTTATAAACATAAAGATAAGAGTAGTCTTTCTTGGAATCAGACGTTTCCTTTTTTTGAGGCTTCACTTCATGAAGTTCTGTTCTGCTTTCTGCTATTTCCACATTTGCTACATCTGATTTTTGTTGTTCTTCTGGTAACCATGACAATTTAACTGGAGGTGCCTTTTTCCTCACATATTCTACAAACTCATCAAATAAAGATGTTTCTTCTTTCTTCTAGAAAATAACAAAAATCAATATTTATTTAACAATACGGCTGGCCCCCAGATCCATAGAATTAATTTGGTATTTGTTGTTTATTTTTTTGTCTTGTCTGCAGGTTTGTCTTGTCAGATTTGTGCAGTCTTCCTGCACTTACTATCTTCAAAGTATCTATAAAAATGTAACAAGGTGTAATATACAATGCATATCAGATACTTAGACAACAATATGATTATCGACATTACCTTAAAACCCAGTGCTGATATTGATTGAATACCAGTAAATTTTACCATATTTTCACTAAGATTTGGTAAACATATTGCTGGACAGTTTCTAACAGCAACTAAAGGTAGTAGATGTTGAGTAAGTATTTTAATCTTTGTTTCTCTACTGACTATCACCAATCTTAATCTATCTTTTTCTAAAGCTTTTGTCACAGTATTAATACCAATAGATAGTTCATTTCTGAAAAAAATATACAAAAAAGTTGATAATACTCAAAATATAAACACTTGAATGTTTATTTGGTTGTAAAGAAGAACAAAATTCAAAAATATTTTCAATAACAAATTTCCAAGTTATCTCCCCACTATGTTTAACCTTATGATATCTTGAGAACATGATGCAGGAAAAAATGGAAAATGAAATGGGGTTTACTTTCCTGACATAGTGGAATTGCTAGGATTTTTCCAAATGGAGTAAGCAAGAACCAGAACCCTATGAAATTCTTAATAAATTTACTGAGGTTGGATGGCCAAATGGTTAGCGTGTGTGTGCAGCATCATAAGGTCTGTCATTGAGTCAACTGGCGTGGTTTCGATTCCCCGGTTATACTTGACAAGGAGTAGGGTCGCCTGTCCAACCTAGTGGGTTTTCTCTGGGTCTTCTGGTTTACTACCACTGCTAAAGACCCCCACGCGCAAGCGAATTATTGAAACAAAATTGAACCATGTTAGTTCCGAAATGACCTGGTTTGTGATGAGTGGAGGTTAAATCTCTCTCTCTCAAATTAAATAAATCACAATCATAATCCACCTCATCTCTTTTCTTTTGTCAACTTCTTCAGATTGTTCACTTGAAAGTTGATTCTCTTTTTTCTGTTTCAGAAATATTTTACGTTCTTTATTACTTTGAAAAACTGGTTGTAATTTGACTGGGAAACATCTGAAAGAAAGACATTTGAACTTGACTTTTGATTTGAGTATGTTTATGTTTAACAATAAATGTTCATGACTTGAAAGAAGCTAAAGTTCAACAAAAAAAGAAATTCTGAATTTGGCTGATCTAATTACATTTTATTTCCAATTATTTTACGATTTCCAGAAAAATCATATGCAGTTTTTAGTGGTTATTTCTAAGTCTAATTATATTTCAAAATCATTTCACAGAAATTCCAATAATAATTTGTACGAAACTTATATGCAGAGACAAAGATAGCACAACCAATCACATGCTTGGGGTCACGGGTTCGATTCACACAACTTGTCACATGCCTGGGGTTGCAGGAACCAGGCCTATTGTTTGCTTAACAACGATATGTGGGTATTTATTAGGGATGCAATCATGCAACGATATATCATGGTTCGGTACACATGGTACTTGAGACGGCATACCGTTGTATACATGCCATGGTTCGGTTGTAAACTTTAAATTCTGTACCGTTTTCTTCCCAAACTCAACTACATGTACCATGCTGAGGTATCCCCCTGTTGTTCATATGACAATGAGGAAAGATGGCTTCCGGCAATGTCCCGCCAAAGTTATAATCGCCTCCACTAAATCTCGCATATGGGAACATTTTGAATTTAAAGATAGAAAAGCTGTGACTAAGGATGTAACAACATGTCACCATTGTTATGTTCATGTTTCCTAACAAGCTGGGAACACGTCAACATGGCGACAGATATAAAACACCACCATCCACAAATAAACGTTGATGTCACTTGTAAGAAATTATAATAGTCACCTCAACACAAATCTGCATACAAGAAGTGATAAAAATTAAAATACATTAAAATGTTGATAAATTGAACTTTTAAAAAAAATTAAGACAATTTGAGTAAATATGAATTGTTTATTAATTAATAGTTACAATTTAAATATCATCTACATGTTGGGGTTTTTTTTGGGGGGGGGGGGGAGTAAATTTGGAAAGAAATAATATCGCGATGCGTATTGTATCGTAAGGTCCATACTGTGATATGTATCATATCGTGAGGTAAGCATATTGTTGCAGCCCTAGTATTTATTGTACAATGTACATGTATTTTGATTCAAATATCATAATAATTATGATAAATATGTACATATGTCATTATTATACTGGTTTATCATGACACAGTACCTAAAACAAATCGTAAGTTTCCAATCTTTTACTACACAACAAAATCAATATACAACATTAATTAAATGGCACAGGACATCCTGTTGACACTTCTTTTTAAATCAAGCAATACTTGTCTCAAAAGGATTGTTAATGAACATTTTATGTTGGTTTTTTTTCAAAATCGGAAATAATAGTCATTTGTTTTGGGTTGTCATTTAAGGTTGTTAGACAGAACATAGACAGAACAAGTCTTAACACTACTACAAGATGACTACCAGTAGATATAATAAGGATGGATAGATGTTTTAATGTATTGTGAAAACTATACTAGTCACTTGAGACTAACAACATAACTGTCATAGTGACAGAGTCCATCCTAGCTGTGGTGCAGGACAAGGGCCTAGCAGGGAAAAGCATCTTAGTCATTTGGATGGATACGAAAAAAATTTTGTTTTACTTGTCTCAACTACACTTGGATCTGGAAGAGTTGTTATATTACCCGCGTTTTGACTGAAGTGAGGGATAAGCCAATGAAACGGTCTGTTACAGCGACTTATTGGTGTGCCATGCACGGAACTGTGGGTAAACTACTAGAAACACCAACGCTGATTGATTAATCAATGTCTGACACCATAGGGTCAAAAGTCGCCCGTATGACCTTTGACGCAACCTACTAAAACAACTGGTCAGATCTTCATGTAGTGTAGGCCATCGAAAGTATAAAAAAAACGAAACGAAATATAGATCTGTATTTTAATCAGATTTACATTGGCGTGCATGTAAAAGAACCTTTGTCAATTGGTGTCCAGGCAAAATGTCCCTCATTATAGCACACTGACACTGTATGGCATATGCCCGTCTTTATTAGCCTGGTTGGTGCTCCATTTTATTCATTTATTCAACCTAGTGATACTTACTCTTTTAGTTTATTTAGCAGTTCAGTTTGTAAGTTTTCTGGAACAAATGGCCTGAAAAAAAAAAAGAAACCAGAAAATTTAAAGAAACAAAACTACTTGTATGTACAATGTAGACATAACTTGTGTGATACTATGATAAAACTACCATGTTATTCAGTGACACTAGCCACAAAAACTTGCAGAAAATATTGATTATTTATCAGAGAGAACAACCAATCAGTTGTGATTAATTAGTATTCACCTCTTACCTTTGGAGAACAGCATGCCTTTTTATGGGTTGGCAATGAGTCGTTTAATTGATTATGATCAACAGTTGAAACCATGTTCAAAATTATTAAAAGGGGATCACGTGGCTAAGTGGGTAAGACGCTAGCTCGCTAGCCTGGAGGTCGGGTGTTCGATTCCTGCATTGGCCGAGAAAGTTCATCCAGATTTTCCGGCGTGGTTCTCCCTTGTCAGTGATGCAGGACGGAGGGGCTGACAAGGAAAGCTGTCTAGTCGTTCGGATGGGACGAAAAACCGAGGTCCCGTGTACACATTGGCGTGCACGTAAAAGATCCCTTGGCAGTTGGAATTCGATATAAGAGTAGGCCGTAGTGCCGCTGTCCGGGTAAAATTTCCCTCATAGCACACTGTATGGCGTATGCCCGTCTTCATTAGCCCAGGTTAGGAGCAGAACAGTAGGACGTTAAACTCCATTTCATTTCATTTCATTTTCAAAATTATTAAAAGGCAATTGTCAATTTTATCAAATTATTACGAGATCATATTTAATTTTATCAAATGATTATGTGGAAATTGTTAATTTCATCAAATATTACACTACAATTCTTGATTTTATCAAAGCAAAATATACTGATTGTGATTTGGCCGTTTGGAATTAATGATTATGGCTATGAAGTATGATTGGCCTAGTAGTATGACTATTGCTATTCCATGGCCATTAATTTTGGCCGGTTTGGTATTTGGCCATAATGACTACATCTCCACGAATCAGTAGCGCCATACCATGTTTCTGTGTAAGGATTCCTTAACACATTCTTGAACTGTGGCTTAAATTTCTTCTTTGCTTCCGTGGTAGCTCTTATACTTTGCTTTTGTTGATGTTTACTCAACACAGGCAAGGAGGCTGCCATAATGAAAAGGGGAATAACTCTATTTTATAATCACTCGCTACTTAGAGCACATTCCGTCAAATGTCTTCGCACAATAATTTTATTCACCAGAAATCTCAAAATTAATATTATTGATATTCATTTCACTTACAAACTCATATTTTTCTCTATAAACAAAACAACAAATACAAAATTTTGATCCCACTCCAAATTACACGTGACCACGATCTTTTGCAAAAACATTTCAAAATCATATAAAGAGATGGTAGAGGAATATAAATTCGATATAATAAACGATTAGTTCAGAATGATTATAATCCTCGGATTGACTACATGATTTCAAAGGGGCATGAATTATACTAATTAATGATGATGAAACGAGAGTAGGGATTTATCACGACATCCAACGACGAAAATTAAAATATTAATTTGTGGATGCAAAAATGAATTGCTTTGATGAGCGAAAAATCATTTATTCAAGTTAGTCCTGGGAACTTTAACATAAAATGTAGTCAATCCGTGTTTACATTTTACATTTCCCGCCACATTTTTAGTAAACGAAAGTAACTTTGATTAACGGTATCTAAAAGTATAAAAAAGTATAAACAATAACCCGCCATGCCAAAACGTCCACCCTCAAGACAGTCAAGTTCTAAAACGATTCAAGAGGCAGATCAATCGCAATGGGTGTTTCTAATGAATGGTAGGCTGAAAATTTGGTACATGTAATATATATTGTATTGTCATTCACTCGTCATTAACATTAAAATAAATTGTGAAGTCACCAGAGCAGAACCATTCGATTCATTTCATGGATTTGTAGCCGTGGTGGCTCAGTGAGTAAGATGTTGGCGCGTAAAACTGTGTTCGATCCTGGTGTAGGCCTAGATAGTTCATCAGGATTTTCCAGCGTAGTGCTGGACGGAGGGCATGGGACAATACATAACATTTTACATAGTCATTCGGATGACATAAATTAAAAAAACTGAGGGCCCGTGTATACATTGGTGTGCCCACAGAAACCCCGGTCATTTGAATCCAAAATAAGAGTAGACCTAGGCGGCATAGTGCTCAGGGGTGCCGGAACGGGACGAGGGCCAGGGTACCAAAAGATGGGGGGGGGTCTCTTCCCCGGCCTCTAGAATATTTTGAAATTTGTCAATTATGAGAACGCTGTTTAGAGCGCCTCTAGCATTCCAAATTCCAACATAAAACCCTTTAAAATACATGATAATGAAAGAGACAAAAGCCTGATCATTCACAATTTTCGTATCATGAGCAATTTATCTCATAAAAAATTCTTTTTAATTTGACATTCAATACACAAATCTTCATAATTTATCTCATAAAAAATTCTTTTTAATTTGACATTCAATACACAAATCTTCATTAAGAAAATAGATTTAGAGACACGATTCTTGCAAGAGCTCATATTCAGGAGCAAGTGTTTTTGAGACACTATAATGAGTTATGAGACTATAATCGACCGAAATAATTGATGCTCTGATCAGATTTCACAATAAATTCAGATATTTTCACTATGTCTATTTCGTCCATTCTGAACTTGTGAATTTTGGCAAATAGACGATTGTTCAGAGAATGAATAGACTAGCAAAAAGGTTGAAAACTTTCATCATTAGGGCATGGGTATAAATGTATACCCCAGAAAAGGGCAGGGTTCCATTTGTATACCCTGGTACCCGGGTTCCAGCACCCCTGATAGAGCTGCTGTCTAGGCAAAATTTCCCTCATAGCACAATATATTAATTAGGCTATATACTATATGGTCCTGTGACTCCTGTCTTCATTATACATGTAGCTCTGTTTTTCCAGGGGGGGGGGGGGGGGGTCTGAATATACTTGGACACCCCCCCCCCCCAAAAAAAAAAAAATTTACATAGTAGGCCCTAACTCCTATTTATTTACAACAATTATTAGGATTAGTTAAGATTCTATCTGTATAAAACAATGTACAAATTAAAACACAAACACTTATGTTTACTTTTTGAAATCCATTTATAATACACAAAATGTACAAAATACTTTAAATATCTATACAACTTTCTTGTAAATGTCAATGTGTATATGTATATATATAGTATTGTAGTTAACAAGGTGATTGTCAAATATGCATCCTCATAAACTAAAGTTATGTGATCAAGTTTTGTTTCATTTGGATCCTCCTCATAAAAATTCCCTGCTAAACTCTCGTTGTCAAGTTGTTCATAACTCAAGCGTAACATTCGATATGTAAAAGTCATGAAAAAAATATGAATACAGCACCCCCTGACTTAAACATGATAAACATTGTATTGGTGTGATGTTTTAGTTTAATCCCGTGAAATATGCCAAAACAGTGTTTACAGAAGACTGAAACTTTAAAAAAATTTTATGGGGGTGCGCCCCCCACACCAGCGGGAGGGTGACCCTCCCACACTCTCCCTATCGCGCTACATCGGCTGCTGTGCAGCCTCGTGCCCCTGGCGTCACATATATAATTTCATTTGCGGACCCCCCCAATATATATTTCACGACTACGCCTCTAGCGTCAAACACCAAATTTGGCAACAACCCAGCAAATATGACATGTCATAATAATTAATATAGAGCTTCCATCCTGAACTCATGTATAGCATCTATTTAGACACTTTTTGAGGGTTTATAACATTGGGACTCCAATCAGACACAGAATCATTTTCTCGAAACCATTCTTTCAGATACATGAGAATGAGAAAATGGAACATTGATATTAATAATTAATATTATTATTTAGTATATTTCATATCTTTTTAGATAACCTTTTAGAAATCAGTGGAGATACTGAAGAGAGACCAGTTATTTGTCAATTAAGACATCCTAAAACAGGTACAGTATAACTATAATTTAATATTCTATATTTCTATAAAGATCCATACTAACAGTTAGTAATGTAAATATATTACATGTACAGTATTTCTATGAGCAGTCAAAAATATAAAATCTAAACCAGGGGTCCCCAAATTTTTCAGCTTAAGGGCCACAAAGATTAACTCTGGGGGTCAGAACCTTAAAAGGACAGAAAAAAACCCAGCTAAAATCATGAGGTAACACTGACTTGGCAGTCACAGAGAGAGGTACTAACATCAGGGTTAGATGAAGTGGCTGACAGAAGGAGCACATCAACATTATGGACTCAATAAGAACAAACTCAAAACCTGAAAAACATAACAGGATCTAGCTCTAGCGGAAAGCATGGATGGGCTTCAAGGTTTGAGGACCTCTGAACTAAACATTTACACAATACCTTATTCTTTAAATTGTTGCAATGGCATTTAGTTATTGAACTGGAATATACAGGTCATAATTCTATGGAATACATGTACTGCTTATTACTGAGCGACGTTGTTTTGACTAATTCTCAGTAATAAGCAGTAAATGTATTCCTTAGAATTGTGACCTTATTCTTTGGTAGAGATCTGAATCTCATGTAGGCTGGGGAGTGGTGACTTGGTACGATAATATGTCAAAACACTCTTACTCATCTGTAAATTTCTTTACATAAAACAATTGATTAGATAATGCATCAATATAAATCAATATTTCATTTTTTAATATAAAATTTGTGTTATTCTGTTATATAGATGAAGGTTCTTTATATTTGTTTGATCAACATGGTAAGGATGTGTATGAAATAATTAAATATAAAGAAGAATTTAGATCGTGGTTAATAGGTGAATCAGTTCAAAAAGGTAGGTTCTGTAAAATAGAAATCAATGTGAGCTACAAGCAGTATTTTGTTTTAATCTGTAATGTAATAAAATAAAGTATGGAAAAGTTACTTGTGGAAGAACTTCTTGATGTAATGTTTTATAATTTGAAACATTTCTGATTGTTAATTTTGAATTCGTTTTGCAGAGTTATCTTTCTATTTGATCGTAAATCAAGGTGTTATCACCTGTAAGTTTCCGACGCATTATAAATCATGCCGTTATCTTTCTGTACATATTTGAATTTTAAAGCTTGTGAACGTGGTACCGGACAGAATACTCTATGTTGGTTTTTTTAAAACTTGACATTGATTTTATAGCTGGCGTGGGTGACTTTTCTGCTGGTGGGCTAATGAAGATAGGTGTATGACATGCAATGAGGAAAATTTTGTCAAGATATTTTACATGCTGACCAATGTGTTCACGACAGGAACTCAGTTTTTTGTGCCATCCGAATGACTACACTGTTCCTTGCCAGGCCCTCCATCCTACTTGACTGATAAGTGGAAACCATACTGGGAAATACCAGGGAGCTTATCTCAGCCAACATCGAACCCCAGACCTTCTGGTTAGGGAGCTAGGGAAGAACAGTGATTTTGTCAAATCAGATTTTCCCTGTATCTTAAAAAAGATTTTTTTTTGTTTTAATAGATGGGGGTATTATTTTAACAACACAAATAGATCCAGTCTTCCTAGTATTACCATATCTTATACAACAAGATAAGGTAAGTTATCTATATCAATCAGATTGATAAATACTAAATTTTATATTATCTGCTTGTAAAAATAAATTAGATTTTAGTTTAATGGCCTTCTTGATTATCCCAAAGGGTTTATTTCGCGCAATATTTTTGTCCCCCGCCTTTCGAAGAAAGCAGGGGACTATTAAAATGGGTTCGTCCGTCTGTCTGTCCGTCTGTCTGTCCGTCTGTCCGTCCGTCTGTCTGTCCGTCACACTTTTTGGGACACAATAACTCTCTTCCTAATTGAGCTAGAATGTTCAAACTTGGTGTATGTGTTTATTAGGTCAATGCCTTGATGGAGTTCGAAGATGAGCATTTTCCGCTTAGGGTAAGCAGAGATAAGCAATTTGATTGGTTGATGCTTTGGGACACGATAACTCTCTTCCTAATTGGGCTAGAATGTTCAAACTTGGTGTATGTGTTGATTAGGTCAATGCCTTGATGGAGTTCGAAGATGAGCATTTTCCGCTTAGGGTAAGCAGAGATAAGCAATTTGATTGGTTGATGCTTTGGGACACGATAACTTTTAATTGAGCTAGAATGTTCAAACTTGGTGTATGTGTTTATTAGGTCAATGCCTTGATGGAGTTCGAAGATGAGCATTTTCCGCTTAGGGTAAGCAGAGATAAGCAATTTGATTGGTTGATACTTTGGGGCACGATAACTCTCTTCCTAATTGAGCTAGAATGTTCAAACTTGGTGTATGTGTTGATTAGGTCAATGCCTTGATGGAGTTCGAAGATGAGCATTTTCCGCTTAGGGTAAGCAGAGATAAGCAATTTGATTGGTTGATGCTTTGGGACACGATAACTTTAGTTCTAATTAAGTGAGATTGATGAAACTTGGTGTATAGTTTCATTACAGTAATATCTTGACTAAGTTTGATAATGAGCATTTTCTGCTCAGGGTAAGCAGCAATTTGATTGGTTGATACTTTGGGGCACGATAACTCTCTTCCTAATTGAGCTAGAATGTTCAAACTTGGTGTATGTGTTGATTAGGTCAATGCCTTGATGGAGTTCGAAGATGAGCATTTTCCGCTTAGGGTAAGCAGAGATAAGCAATTTGATTGGTTGATGCTTTGGGACACGATAACTTTAGTTCTAATTAAGTGAGATTGATGAAACTTGGTGTATAGTTTCATTACAGTAATACCTTGACTAAGTTTGATAATGAGCATTTTCTGCTCAGGGTAAGCAGAGCGATACGCAATTTGATTGGTCGAGACTTTGGAAAACAATAACTCTCCTACTTTGATTGTTAGACTATAAGTAAAGATATACTGTTTGATTGTTCAATACTTTGTAAAAGATAATTTGTGATAAATTTATATGTGTCCTCTAATTATTTTCCTATTTCGGCGGGGGACATCAGCCTCACTGTTGGCTTGTTATTTATCTTTTGAAGATGGAATCTGCCATTTTCAGACCTTTCATATGAAATCATCATGCTAATCTCAACAAATGGAATTGATGAAACAGCAGATTATTAATTTATTTAAAGGTACTTCAACCAGTAAAAAAAATAAAGTACATCATGTAACTCTTATTACCATATACAACAATAAGAATTCCTTTAAATGGTAAATATATAACATAAGATCAGATAGTTATAGATGATTATTAGTAAATTCAAATTATGTTTTCAGTGTAGTAAATATATGACATTAGATCAGATAGTTATAGATGATAAATATACAGAATGTATAAGATTACCAGATTGTAATGGTTTAAATGAATTAACACAAGTAGCTGATGTTAAAGGTGTGTATCCCTTGTTCTGGATATAAATTTGGAGTATCTGCTTTGCTTGGAAGTATTTTCTTTAAATGACAAATATCTTATATTTGCTACTTATATTTGATAAGTAATTAAGGTTTGAATTTTACTGTAACTGCAAATTCTCTGCCTCATCAATGTATATATATACCTCAAAAATTATTATGTGTTAGTCTCATTCTGACGTTATATGTCATGCAACAAGATTTCCAGACCTTTTCATTGCAACTTCTTTATATGGAGCAGTATTCTCAGCAATGCCAAAACCATAAAATGTCACAGTGTTACTAGGGGTGGGGAAATCATTTTTTTTTTTTAAATTCTTCAAATGCAAAGAGGTTATATAAGCGAATTGTGCCAAAATTAACAAATTTGACCAAAAATTTGCTCTTATTGTGATCACTGATCAGTGCAGAATAATATAATTCAATAGTCTAAACTACATGTCTTAAAATTTATGTGCATAAATGGAAAGACCAATCTTTCATGTATTATAAACTAACCAAAACATTACTGTAAACTGTACAATTAGGCCATGCAGGTTTATAGTCATTTTAACAATGTTTTTTTATGAAGTAATGACACTAGCGTAGTTTAGAAATAATCAATGTTATGAAATAGTGTAAAAATTAAATAATTGCTGCTCAAAATAAGAAAATTACTTTACAAAAAGAAAATTCTGGGTTTTTTATTGTCTGAGAATTTAAACATTAATAGAAAAGGGTAGTATTCTTAAAAAATTCAAATTTTATTTGCTGCATATGTATTTCAAGTTCAAAATTTCTGTACATGTACAATCATTTCAAGTAGATGTAATTATATTTTTTCAGGTGAGAATGATTTCAAGGCATATAGATATAATAAAGATAAAACGTTATCATGGTTAAAGGCAAAGGTTTGTTTAATATTTTTTACACTTTTTACTCTTGATGGCTATAATTTACATAATTGATGAATTATTTACCTTATCTTACATATCATATGTAAGAAATATAAATAAGCTGACTCATATATATCATTCTATCATATCTCAGGATTTTTCTAGTCAGGTTCCCACTGTCTGGACTTCAAGGTTGATAAATAATTATTGCCTGGTCGTTCGAATGGGACCCCCAAAAAGTTCAATCCATGTACACATAAGACTGCATGTATAAGGCCCCTTGTCAGCTGGAATTTGCTGAAGAGTCCTATATAGTTTCCAAATAACAGACTTTTTTGTTTTTGATGAGATGTTAAACTCTATTCCTTGTTTTTTAAAAACAATTTTAGATATGATATATATTCTCTAATAGCAGTTTAAAAAATTTGTTAAAATAGGGAATGAATAATAAGGACGAACAGTACCTAGATTTTGCCATAATATCATTTTAATCTACCTCAAATTAGTTTAGGGAAAATCCTTGAAATTATTAAAGAGTTGAAATTCTGTCAATACAGTATTTTTGTTGTGGTTATTTGCAGGTTGATATTTTAACTGATGGAATTATAGAAAAGGGAATTCAAGTTATAAGATCACAGAGTGCTATGTATGTTAAATCTAATAAAGAAGAGAATTTGGACAGAGGTGTGATTTTTTTATAGAATAGTTTCAATTATTTGACCTTTATTATCTATTAATGTAAACCCAACGACTATCATGTTGACATTTCTGCACATCTAATTACTGGTGTTGTCTTGACCCAACTATGGTCATTTTGACAGGATATTGATTGACCCTGAAATATTATGTACATTATGACGGTATAAAATACCTTCCAATGTATCGATTGTCTGAAACCTAATGTTACAAGTCATTCCAACATCAAAAACTAAAAATTTATATATTATAATATGTTGTGTTTTTTAACATAGCTGTATATCTCAAATATAATTTTTAATAATGTCTTTGAATATAGAATTGAATTGAATTCTATGCATAATTATATTTTGACATGTTTTAACCATATGATGTCTCCTGCAGCAAGATCTCGTCACAAATTATATCAATGTCAGGAGTGTACTGTGCGGTGTACGCTGACTGGCTGGCCCCATACCCATTCACATGATTTAATATTTGTTGTTTATTTCTTGCAGTGTATGTGTATTTTTTCTTTTCTGCAGCTTTGTCTGTGTATTGCGGTTTTCCAGCACTTACAAATATTTGACTTTAATCTTTCTACAATGATTAAAGTATAAAATATTAAAATCTTTAAATACTCTTTTATATTTGTTCAGATGCATATGTGAAATACTCATATGGTATTATATCAGACTACCTCCCATTACAGATTAGTCAAGAATTAAAAACCTATCTGGGGTATGTAAACTAATTTTAGAATTGCTCCGGTTTTTATAAATTGCTAATAAGAAATATCTGTTTTTCAGTAATTGAGAATATTATATTCCATGTAGATCTGATGGGCTTATCACATCTTACTTATAGTAAAATAAAAACTGGACAAGACTTTATTGTTTATATTGATTTATCTTTCAGTATACCTGACTGTGAAGAAAAGGTGTCAAACAACCCTGTAGAAGAACCTCCGGCTAAGGTATAGCACTATTTATATATTTGACTATTCTTCGTAAAGATGTCACATTTTCCATAGATATATTAAAATTTAAAAAATTCTGAATTTTGTATCTTTCAGAAGAATACTATGTATAAAAAATACAACAACCATTTATATGGAATACAATCAGTGTTTCATTATACGTGTGGCACAACGTTTCTACAAGTGTTCTCTTACCGTTTTTGAGCACAAATGGTCATTGTTTTTTTTAATGTGCTCAGTCGGTAAATTATATAGAAATCATCAATGTTGTTTTCAAGGTAGGATTTTGGTAGAGTAACCTATTTGATGGTTTTAACCTATTCAATTTTCTATTTTACAGAGAGTGAAACTAGAAGATATAAAACCATTAGAAGACTATTCAAAACAAAACGATGACAAAAAGAAGCCAACACTTTCTAAAAAACTTTCAATGGCTCAGAAGAAATTAGAAAAAATTGATAAGAAAGGAATGAAGAGTTTATCTAGTTTTTTTTCTCCAAAACCTAAATAATTTGTTTTACCATTATAAAGCCATTGTTTTGCATTTACGGACCTTTAAACTGTTCTTTACCAATCAATTAGAATGCCAGTAAAATGTTGATATATCTTGAGAGCCAGTAGACTTTATTATCCAGAAGTTATTGAATAGAAACTTTTTAACTAACTGTAATTTGTCCAATTTGAATATTTGGACCAGAAACCTGGTTCAAGTGCTACTCATGGCAAGAAGATCCTCATGAAACTTTCCATGCAAGTTCCTTGGACTATTGTGAAAAAATTTAAGGACTTGATTTTTGGTATGATGTCGCAATTCCAACATCGTGAGGATGACATCATGCACGGTCCTAAAGTTCAATAGAACACTTGTATTTGCGTTCTGCATGTGAGGGCAAATTAATTGTCAGTATCCTATGATAATTATTGTCTGCACGGTGTGATTATGCATTTTATTAATTGGTGCTTGTATGTATAGATCTTACTTAATTGTAATAAAAACACTGCCAAATACCGGTAGAAACTATATACTTTATCTGTATTTGTTTCTACCAGTACAAGAGGGTTAAATTATGTGTCACAAGGGCAATACATATTCTTGTTAGAATCTTTAAAAACTATGTGGGATTGTTCATTGCAGAATAAGGAAAAACCCTATCCATTTTCAAAATACTATGGTTGTGCATAGTTTTCTTTCCATTCCCATTTTGAGATTTAAATCTTGGGACAGAATTCATGGTGGTTTTTTATTTTGATTTTCAGTGCTCTGCGACCTTTCATTCCTGAGTTATCCCCCTTGTCAGAAAAACTTGTTAACTCGATGAGGCTCCAGTTTTTAACAGTTTTTTCAGAGAAAGAAACCTATTGATTTTTTAGTGTTTGGCAACTTTCCGTTTTCACCCTTTGTGCAAAATATTGTTCACGCAATAGATGCTCGAGTTTTAAACTAATTTCAAATTTGTTGTGTAGCATTGAGGTCATGATTGGTCGATCCCTATCGATTTTCAGTACTCTGCAACCTTTCATTTCTGAGTTATCCCCTTTGTCCGCAAAACTTGTAAATGCGGTAGAGACTACAGTTTTTAGCATATTTTTTTTAAGATTTCGTTTAAAGAGTTCGGGTCACGAGATGAAGAATCCTGATTTTTTTCAGTGTTCGCTGATCCTTCCGTAATTTGATGTGTGAAAATTGTAGTTGTCTCCCCTGATCTTAATTGGCCTGTTTCCAAGCTGGTTATGAAAGAGCACTGAATCACATCTATTTATTCATACATCACATCTTGTTAAACACTGTGGTAAATAGCAGACAATACCAGGAATTAATTAATTGAATTTAAGCCCCGAAACATGTTTTAATTGCCTCAACTTAAGGAGAACCACTATTGAATGTTAGTGCATCTTTGCTATTAACGATGGTGGGGGTCTTGAGCATGTAGGGGCAAGTGACCAGAACCTAGGCAGTATTATTATTCCACACATGAATGTAAGTACATCAAACCTAATTTTAAGTCGGCCAATGATAAATAATGGGGACCTTGATACGGAGAGTCGATTTTTGACGAACGTCGAACACTGTAACAACCATACGATGTGCGAACACGAATCAAACGCTTGTCAAATAAACGTCCGGGTTGCTGTATTGAACCTAGGCAGTATTATTATTCCACACATATGAATGTAAGTACATCAAACCTAATTTGAAGTCGGCCAATGATAAATAATGGGGACCTTGATACGGAGAGTCGATTTTTGACGAACGTCGAACACTGTAACAACCATACGATGTGCGAACACGAATCAAACGCTTGTCAAATAAACGTCCGGGTTGCTGTATTGAGTTTTGGGTCTTCAACTCTCCAGTATCCTTCACTTCAGAATGGGACGACTCTGTCGGAACCAATGAGATGGGGGAGGGGGCAAACTGCATTGAATTACGACACCAACAGACAGGGATAAAAGAAAATGTATATTGGTAAGAACCGCCCCCAACACTCGCATAAAAGGATCTTAACGTTTACAATCTCGGTAAAAATCCTCATCTTATCCTGACCCGCGTTTTGTTGAACCAAAACGCGAAATGTCGTAAGTAATGCAGTCTATACAGAAACTACACATATTATACACACATAATAATCAAATAATTATAGTCTAGGGGTTAAACATTGAAGAATACGATTCCAGAAAAAAATGTTCCTCGATTCACTGGCAACAAAAAGACAAAAGTACGTTCGGAGATTACCAATGACATTTTTGATAGATCCTGCGTTCAAAACTGGAATATAGACTGGTTCAATGTTACCTTGATTCCACCCTCTAGTAGCACAACAAGTTGTAACCAAAATATTGCCGCTAAAGAGGATTTTAATGCGTTTTCTTGATACACTTTTCCCTTTAAATAATCAAAAAAGAAAACAAAACACGGATAACAGTCGGAAGTACGCCGCGGCATCACCGGATAACACCGAATTCTCGCATGTCAACCGCAACACGGACCTTCCATGGATTCCTCGGTCCGACCACGCTCACATCGCTTTTTGCGCGAAAGAGTTATTCCGACATTTTAAAAGTATAATATAAAAAATGTACATGTAGAGATTCACGAGGATGCTATGAGGTAAACTTTGCCGGAACATCCGTTCGATTCCAACTATCAAGGGTTCTTACGCCAATGTGTACACGGACCACCGTTTTTCGTCCCATTCCAACGACGTTGTTCCCTCCCAGGCCCTCACATCTGCACCACTGACAAGGGCCAAGCACCCTGGTGAACTTTCCCGGCCAACCCCGGGATCTAACTCCTGACCTCCTGGTTAGTGACCCAGCGCCTTACCCACTGATTTACCATGGCGTCAGAAAAAGAAGATTTTCCTATAATTGTCATGTATATATTTTTAGTTTGCTTTATTCCTTCCAATTATAACAACACAGTTAAAAATAATAAGATAGTTTACACCAGTTCGGATGGAAGCTATTTGCCACCTAAATAGGGATAACTCCAAGCCTTTAGTGGTGTAAACCGATAACACCCAACTAGTGTAGAACATTACACCAATTCAGGTGGAAACTAGTTACTACTTCCAGTAGTGTAACCTGCCTAATGCACTCAGACTATAATGTTACACTTAAATAGTTTACACCCGTGGGTGTAGATTAAGCATTACCCCTCAAGGATGTTTTGTAAATTACACTTTCATTTTAATTATTACACCAACGCGGGTGCAATTTGTTTTGTTGGATATTTATTTCAAGTCAACGACTTCTAAGTTCAGAAAACTTGAAATTGCATATTATAGACCGTCGGCTACATTAAATTGACAAATCCCCATCAGACTGATTCAAATTGAACTGCTGTTAGCAATTAGACAATCTGTATCAATTTACAGTGAATATAAATCATGAGGAAAATCAATGCACATATCCTTACAAATTGGCTGAATAATGTGGTTTATTCAATTATGCACCTCACCTGAATTAAGAATTAATAATTAAGATATTGTACTTGGTAATATTTTGGAACATTTACACGTATTTAAGTGTATACAAGCTAAAATATTCTATCCTTTACTCGTTATGAGTAAACACTCTAAAATGAGTTATAGTTGTGTTACTAGTGTAATTAACGCCATATTTTACAAAAAAGAAATTCAAAGTGGAGTACACAAATACTTTTGTGACGCAAGATACGGTGTAAAATTGACACCTTATTCGGAGGAATTTTTCCCTTAAATAATTACACCTGTTGGTGTAAATGCAATAAAACGCTTGTAGAGGGGTAGCTGATCCCAAACATCCTTTAGCGGCTACAATTGCACCTATTCTGGTGTTCAGTACTCATGAATATCGATTACACTTTTGCAACCCAATAAACGCTGTAAAATTAACGCTTTTCTATGATTTATTCCCCAATAACAGTTACACCATTTGGTGTAAATGCAGTATAACACTGGTAGTGGTGTAGTTTACAATTACACCTACCCAGGTGTTCAATAGTCATGAATATCGGTTACACTTGTTAGGTGTTATTCTTTTAGTTGGTTTCCCTTGGAAACGTATTACATTTAAAAATCGATAGCTGTGGTGTAAAGTTTAGACTTAATTAACACTGCTTATAGTTTTTAGTTACATCCATTTTTAACAGTGAACCATGAAAGAGTAACATATTGAAAAATCTACATTTAATGTAACTTTGAAGGGACCTTTGTTTTTATAGCTTCGCTTTCTACATAAAATCACCTGCACTCACTGGCCGCACACAAATGTAGAATACAAGATCTTAGTTTTAAGTCTCCATTTTATAGTCCCACGTCCAACAAACACGAAATATTTTTTGAGTAGACATTGGACTGTGGACCTTAGACCATTGTAAATTAACTTAATTGTATGATGGCATATCGATGATGTCGTCATGTATCTTTTGATGTATTTACCGGTTTAAGATTGTACTAATATATATCGTCTGACTTGATTTTTTTTTTAGGTGAGGGGAAATGCTGACCTAAATGACACATGTTTAATCTACATAATTTAAACATTTCGTACATATATATTTCTGTCCATCGTGCAATAAAAAGATAAATGAAAATAATCCTTTTTTTTCTCCGACACAATTTAGGCTGATAGATTAATACATTTAAATAAAAAATGACATACAAAGTTCCTATACACGAAAAACCAAGACAGTGGTTGAAATTGCCAAAATCGAGCACGTTGTCCACCCATAAGGCGATTAAAATAGGTTTCTCATTTTTAAAATTAGGACATGGATTATTATCACCGTGTAAGTGAATTAGAGTAAATTAGATGTTAAAAGTTATCTCGAAGGCACCGGATCATCAATTAAGTTCGTTTTACAAGACTCAGGAGTCAGAAACTGACTTCACTATAGGAGGGGGGGGGGTAATCAAGAGACCACCACCAATACACCCCCCCACACACCCTTTAATATAAATTTAAACATACATTATGCAAGAGCTAAGTCAGCCAATTGCAGATCTTTCTTTAGGTCTGAAATGTTATCTAAATTATTAATTAGACATTAATTAACTTATCTAGAACATAATCAACTCTCGATGACATCGCTAGCCTGCGATATTTACTGAATTAGAACCGGGTCTGATGTTTCTGATTAAATCCAAAAATTCCCTTTACATTGTCTAGTTTTTAACTATTATAGTGAGAACCACCAGCTCTTTATCAAATCTCCAATAATGTATCTTTGGGGGGGGGGGGGTATTCAGGGTACTTTTTTTTACATTTATATGCGACTTATATATCTAACCAGTTTGAGGGTAACTGTCACCAAATTCCCCTGCATGTAATTAACCCAATAAAAATATTTTGTTAATGCCCGAACATTTATTAATATAATATGAGACAGAATAAGGTGTTAAACTTGAGTGACATATTTTCAAATGACAAATGTCAACACTATATGAGGTGATCTGATATAATAATAACAGGTGTAGTGAATTCTACAATCACCTGATACAAGTAGTTCATTTTAACATAAATTTTTTTCAAAGAATAACTGTACGC